GGAAGGCTCACATGAACAAATGTCATGGTACACTGATCAAACTTTTACTCATTTGCATTTTCAGGATGTTGCTATTAATACCACATGACACTCAACGAATTACACTATGACATTTTGTACAAATCACTTCATCTCTAGATTCTTCTGCTGTTACTTGAGCCTCTGGTTACTTGTGGAAAAACAATGTACTAAAGTCTTATTTTTGTAGGGGAGAGAAAACTTTTCCTTTGCTGCCTTAGGTCTGTAGCTAGGGCCTATGAATTAAGCTAATAAAAGAAACTGATAGGAGAAATGGCATATAAATTTAATTGATGTTTTTAACTTTACTTCCATGGAGTTGCACAGAAAAGAAGTAAAAATTCCCCCCAGACTATTAGGCTTCTAAGCCTATATACCATTTTAACAAAAGATAATAAATTATGGAAAAGTAAATAAGGCAAAAAAAGGAGTTCGGGTTGTTAGGGGTGTTAAATTGTGGGAAAGTAAATATATGGGGAAATTAATGGAAGATAAGGGTGAGTTATTTTAGTAAGGTTTATGCAGACTCATTTCAGCATCATCTCTGTGTATAGTAATAAGTGGTGTTTTCTTCCTAGTTCAGGAGAGAGGGGACATCTTTACAAAGGGAAATTCATGCCCTGCTTTCGGGCAGAAGCAAAAGGACTGAGAAAACTTCCTCTATCTGCATCTTCCAAACTGCCTTCAGCTCAAAATATTCCTTTTGCCAAAGCAGCATATTTGGGGCTTGTATATTCTTATCCCCCTAATTTTCTAAGGGGGAATCAAAGTTCATTTACTAATGTAAAAATATCAAACCTCAGAACCAGTTCCCTATAATGCCTCACTTTGAAGAAGAAAGCGTTCCAATGTCAAATAAGCTTGAGAAATGCTAGATTAAATAAAGTTAACTTGATTTTTTCCAGCAGGAAATAACCTTTTGTTAACTAACAATCCAAGTTTTACGTTTCTACAAATGGGGAATAATAATTAATTATGTTCTTCAAACTTATTTGACCACGGAACATGTTTTTTTCCAAGTATTCTCTCAGATGAATGGTTTTTGTAACAAATGTTGAGAAATACTGGGATTAGCTATCTTTATATGTAAGTGCAAAAGTTTAAGCAGGCAGTGAAGTTAAATGGAAATCAAAAGGTAGAACCAGCAATAAAGCTGTCAGTCTGTGCAGTAACTGTGCTGCATTCTGAGTCAAGTTCCAGAGGACTGAGCTGGGGTTTGTTTCTATGGAGGAAGACAAGAATGTCCAAAGCTTTTGGATACTACTGAGTTAGAACCCTTTCTTGGGAACTGAAGAGTAGCAACGGAAAAAGAAAAAACAGTCTCTCATGCTCATTTCCATCACTGGCTCAGCACAGCTCCAGTTGTTATCATTTTTAAACATCTATTCACATGACTGGTTCATAATTACAAAGGCTAACTGCCCAGCATTTTTCACAGAATGCAAAGCACTGTTTTTAACAGCTCTTCTAGCGTGTGCAAAAGGGTCGGTTTTTCTTTCAATCTGTTTAATCTTATTTTAATTGAAGAAACATCTCTAAAACACCATATGAGTGACTGCAAGATGAAAAGGAAAAAGCATATTCACACTAGATAAGTGCAATAATATAGATGATCTTGGGGTGGGGGATACAGGATACAGAACTGATATCATCAGTACATCCCATGCAGAATGATACCCAGTGTCTTCATCTGCCAGATATTTTAATTTCAGCAGAGACCTTCTTCAGTGTTGTTATGGGCTGATTTCGAGGTTCTGAATCAGTAAATTTGATCCTTGATCTCAAATGTCAACTGCCACCACGTTTGGCCTTCTTCATCATCCTCCCTGCTCCCTGGACAGGGGCATAGCTAAGTGCTCGAGTCAAAGAATTATTTGGTAATATCCTGTCTCAAAGATCTGGAGGGAAATGGAGGGCGGGGTTGGGATGAGTACTGGTATTTACTGAGCAGCAGATATTTTCGTAAGAATTACCCTATTAACAAACAAACAAACAAATAGATCTTTCCCTCATTTTGTAGATAACAAAACTGAGACTTAGGTTATAATACTCGTCAAGGTCAAACCAAATGCTGATGAGCAAACGAAGTAAAATTTAAGTCGGCACTGGATGAATCCAGTCTGTTTTACAATATCATGCTGTCTCCTGGTCATAAAAAACCTCCTTTTTTATAGGAGCACAAATGGTCCATTACTCTCAGTATCTAGCAAAATATCTTTTATCCTCACACTAACTTCAAGGGAACTGATAATATTTAGATCTTTCCACTCACTTGCCCAAATCAATACAGCTATTTATTTTCAACTGCTGGTATTTATTTTCAACTGCTGGTAATGAACTTTCTTAACTCAGCATTTTGTGGAAAAAAGTCTAAATACTTGAATTGCTTCATTTCATGCTATTTCTCTTGGCATGTTTCTTTTTGGTTTGCTTTTAAAAATAAACTCCAGAATTATGACATATTCAAATATGAAAAACAGGATGTAGAGCGATGGGAACATTAATCTGAAATGGTCACCTGGTGAGAATACCTGTGTCTGTAGTAACTTCAAGTTAAATAGAAAATTTTTAAATTTATGAAGCAAGTACTCATGTGTGGTTGACTTAAAAAAAAAAAAGCAAAAAACTGCCCTGGTCTATAAACTGGATTCTACTCAGTCTCCTATGGTTGTGACCCTGGTTAAGAACCTTTGATTCAGTTTACTCATTATTTAAAATAAGAAAAGCTCTCTAAGTTCCTTTAAAAATTCTACAATTTTATAGTCAACTGCAATTCACTGGCCTTTCTAGTGAATAAACAATTTAAAATAATTCAAGTCCCACTTTCATCATCCCATTCTTAATTTGACAAAGGCAAAGAAATTATTTACCTTCCAGTTAAAATTTTCTTTTTAATGATAAAAATCAGGTGGCAGATAAAAAAGTTCAGTCACCGAGTTAGACAGAGTGATATACAGTTTTAGGGAAATGGTTTATTTAAGGAAAGACAGCACAAGAGTTTGCTTATTTTGGTTTCAGGTACCACGATTCATATCCTCTAAAGGCTAGAGGGAAAAATCAATCTTTTCTAGGAAAGACAGTAATACGGTAAAGCTGCTTTCCCTCTTGCTTAGCCTGATACTATATATTCAGAAATGAAAATAGTTCTGAGAGCAGTCCTCATACTAGGTGAGGCCCACAACACCTGCTTTCAAATTCTTATACCCAGAGAAATTATGTAACAGACCATTTGGTGCCATCCTGGCTCTGCTAACAAACAGAGGTGGGTTTCTGAGTTTAGTTTCCTTGGCATTTCACTCTCCTCGTTATCCTATCACTTTCATTTTTCCCTTCCCCATCCAATCTTTACGCAATTGTTGATGCTGCGGGAAGTGTCAAGATGAGACTCTAAATTATACCCACCATAGACTGGTAAAGTTAAGTAAACACTAGTTACTCAAAAATATCAGGGACTTGATTTTGGGTTCAATTTCCTGACGAATTCATCATTCCTTTGAAATGTCAAGACCAGAGAAGCATTTCACTGGCGCTGAGCCAATTCCTGGTTAATTTTTCTACACTTTGTTGGACATGGTCAGGCTTCCAGGTAGATATGCACTGGAGGAGAACTCTGGGGAAATGTGTCCCTTGGCCACTCCAGTGATGTGGAAAGTGGGGGAAGAGAACCAGTGGGCAATTTCACCTTCCCCGCACATACATATTCATCTCTTCTCTGGTCACCATGCCCAGGGACCTTGTAAGCAGAGGTTCATTGTCAGAAAACGTAAGTCACACTCACTGTCAATTCTATCATCACAGAATCACCATTCTCCCTCTGGCTCATGTGAGGACAGCACAGTAATCTCAGTACAGTGTTTCTCAAACTACAAAGTGCAGATGAATCACCAAAGGACTTTGTGGTAATGTGGACTGAGATTTGGTAGACCTGGGCTACAGCCCAAACTTTTGCATTTCTAACAAATTTCAGTGCAACACTGACGCTGCTGATTTGCAAACCACACTTGAGTAGCAAGGTCCTAGTACAGTGGCTTTCCCAAATCTGAAGCACATTTTACCTTGAGGTCTCCTTGTAGCTGGTTATCTATCAAGAGAACTAAACAGGACAGAAAACTCAGAACCTCTGTGCTGGGAGAAATCCATCATGAATACAGGAGTTAATGAAGTTCACTGATTTTCACTGCCTGGGCCCTGGACCTTGGCTTCTGTCTAGATGGATTTGCCAGGTTCTTCTTGCTGAGCTGAATGACGAATTTTGGCTCAGCCGCACCAGAGGAGGCCAATGCCATTCAGTCAGCAATTCAAATGTTAATGGTGGAGCACCTGCAAACACAAAAATGCAGGCTCCTGGGCTCTGACCCTGAGACTCTGATTCCTTAGATCTGGAGCAGCCTCAAGAATAAATAGACATTCTAGGTGGTTCTAACACATTCTGAGATCTGGGGGAAGGAAATGCATGTTCTCTTTGATGGACTGGAGTAACCTATATCCTATGGTGTCAATGCCTTTCCATCAAGGAAGACAGCAAAAAATGAAGGACAGAAAGAAATATGACCTGAGCATCTCACACTATGATAGAAGAAATGATTTCCTCCCCAATTTGGACACTTGCTTAAGGTCATTTATGGTTAATTCCAATATATTTTTATCCTTTTTTTTAGAGACGTTCACTAAAAATGTGAACTATTATTCCATACAAAATTCTTTTAATGTGGGTATGATTACAGACATAGTTAATGATCAAAATAGCAAAGGAATGGTTATTTACTTTTCTGATTGAACAAATAAAATTGGAGTTGTTCACACACATACATTCTTTTTTAATATATCCAAGAAGACAAACAATGACAATCAGCTAACAAAAAATAAGGACTGAATATTAACTAGTGCCATTATACTGGCAGAAACATATATAAAATACAAGAAGTAACTTTACCTACGACTTTGTCAATGAAATGTCCTCTCTAAGAAGGGCTATGGCTTGGCTACTCGGTTTCTCCGGGGGTGGATGTGACATCATGAGTGGTGTTATTCTCTGCTGGTACAGTTACTGGTCCTGTCCCAGTGATCTCAGAGTCAGCAGGGGTAGCCTCTGGACTGGAGCTGGCTCCTGTCTGATTTGGGGTGGTTTCAGTCTCAGAGGCTGAGGTTTCCTGATTGGAGCTGGCATCTGTTGTTTTATCAGGTACAATGTCAGCTTGAGCAGACATGGCCTCTTCTTCTGTTTCCAATTCTGTTTCTTGACTTTGAACTTCCTCACTTTCTTCTACCATAGCGGGTGGTAGCTGTAATAAAGTCTGATGAAGGAAAAAAAAAAGAGGGAAAACATTAATGAATCAAAAAAAAAAAAAAAAGAAAGAAAGAAAGAAAACCATCTGGCTTATAAAGTTAGGCTCTCGCATTATCTTCCTAATACATACTGTCATTCTAGAAAGCTCCAAAACACCGAGGGCTGTTTTATATTGCAGAGGTAACAACTCTGATGATAACAGCCTAGGTTTTGCCTATTCCATGGAATATGCTTACACAGATATCAGATAAGAAGATGAGAATATATATTAAATCTCTGGGGAGAAAAACCAATATCAAAAGCTATTAAATTTTTTCATGAAGGAACTTATTACAAACACTGGAAAAGAGTGGCTGATTAGGACTGACTGGCACACCAGCTCAAGAAAGGGCTGACTTCAATCAAGGAGCACTGTGAGGGTGAGGAGGATCCACGCCTTGAGACAGGCAGGGGGCAAGCAGCAGGCACAGGGCTTCTGCCCCACTTAACCAGAGCACTGGAGCGGCCCTGTACACCCAGCTGCCCTTTCTGGAGCTAAGGCCTGGCTTCTTTCTTTAGGAATTTTGTTTCTCTTGTTGGAAACTGAAAAAAAATTAAAGCAGTACTCACAACGGCAGCACAAAATGTGAATACTTAGCCATAAAACTAACAACATATGTACGAAGGCTGTAGGCTGAAAGCTGCCAAACACTGATGAGAGGATTCAAAGAAGACCTAAATATAGCGGAGAGGGATATCATACTCATGGACAGGAAGACTCAATATTGTTATGTTAATTTCTCCCAAATTGATCCTAAGCAATAACACTCAAAAATCCTAATTAAAACCTCAGCATGATTTTTTCTAGGGATTGAAAGAGATAGGCTGATTCTAAAATGTAAAGAGAAAAGCAGAGGAACTAGAATAGGCAAAAACATTTTGAAAAAGAACAAAGCTGAAGGAGTCACATTATTATCATTTTGGCTGTAATGTGTGGCATGCAATATCTTAGTTCCCTGACCAGCGATTGAACCTGTGCCCCTGGCAGTGAAAACGTGGGGTCCTTCCTAACCACCAGACCACCAAGGGAATTTTCAGGACTCAAATTATCTAATTTCAATATTTACTATAAAGAAACCCTAAGAAAGATAGTGTAATGGCAAAAGGAAAGATACAAAGATCAACAGAGCAAGACAGAAAGCCCAAAAATAAGACTCTCACATACACAGTCAATGGGTTTTTTTAACTAAGACCACAAGGTAAGATCTTAAAAGTTCTCAACATTAGGAAAAAAAACGTGTAACTCTGTGTGGCAAAGGATATTAACTAGATTTATTGTGGTGATTGTTTTGCAATATATAGAAATATTGAATCATTATTTTATATACCTGAAACTAATATAAAATTATGTATCAATTAGATCTCAATTTGAAAAATTGCTTTTTTAATCTCAAAAAAAAAAAAAAAAAAAGTCAGGTCAACAGAGGGAAAAAACAGCCTCCTCAGGAAATGGTGTTGAAACAATTGGATATTCACATGCAAATGAGTAAAATTCAACCCTTGCACCAAATAAAAAAATTAACTCACAATGTATCATACTTATTAAAAAAAAAACTATAAAACTTCTAGAATGAAACATTGGAATAAAACTGTAACTTTGGGTAATGCTAAATGCTTTTAGGACATAAAAAGCATGAATCACAAAGAAACAACTTGATACACTGGGACTTGAAAGACACCTAAAAATGAAAAAAAAAAAAAAAGTCACAGACTAGGAAATATTTGTAAAAACAAACATCTGATGAGGAACTTGTAGTCAGATTAAAATTTAAAACTCTCAAAATTCATTAATAACCCAAAAGAGTGAGAGATCTAAACAGACGCATCCTCAGAGAAGATATACAGAAGGCAAATAACCACATGAAAAGATGTTCATCAAGAGTTATTAGAGAAACACCAATTAAAACCACAATGAGACCACTACATACCTACTGGAATGCTAAAATAAAAAAGACCAAGCATAAGTATATGTGAGCACAGTCTATATAATTGAGCACAACCTATATAAAATGGTACAATTCTGTAAGACTACAGTCAAAGCTATGGTTTTTCCAGTACGGATGTGAGAGTTGGACCATAAAGAAGGTTGACTGCCAAAGAATTGAACTGTGGTGCTACAGAAGACTCTTGAGAGTCCCTTGGATAGCAAGGAGCTCAAACCAGTCAATTCTAAAGGAAATCAACCCTGAATGTTCACTGGAAGTTCTGATGCTGAAGCTCCAATCCTTTGGCCACCTGATGCGAAGAGCCGCTCATCGGAAAAGACCCTGATGCTGGGGAAGACTGAGGGCGGGAGGAGAAGCGGGCGACAGAGGACGAGACGGCTGCATGGCATCACTGACTCAACAGGCATGAGTCTGAGCAAGCTCCAGAAGACCGTGAAGGACGGGGGAGCCTGGCGAGCTGCAGTCTACAGTGTTGCAGAGATGGGTACGGCTTAGCGACTGACCAGTGACAACTTTGTAAGACAGGTGGGCAGTTTCTTAAAGAAGTTGAATACATACTTCCCATACTACCCAACCATTCCACTCCTAGAAATTTACCAAAGAGAGGGTACAAAGACTTGTAGGAGAATGTTCACAGTAGTTTTATTTGTAAGAGCCAATATTGGAGGCAAACCCAAATGTCCATCAATGATGAAAGGGTAAACTTAGTACATCTGTATAATGGATTATTCAACAATAAAAGGAAAGGACTACTGATACATTCTGAAGTACAAATGAATATTAAAATACTGCTGAGCAATAACAGGTAGGGGAAAAGGGTACATGTTATTTGAGTCTATTTACATAAATATCTAAAATATGGTGACTAATTATTGTGACAGAAAGTAGATCCTCAGTTTCCTGGAGAAGGTGAAATAGGAACTGGTGAGGGATGAGACGGATTATCCAGGTGTACATGGAAAACTCTGGGGGGGGAATAATGTATATGTTCATTATCTTGATTACAGTCATGGGTACATACAAATACCAGAACATATCATACTATATACTTTAGATATGTGGAATTTATTATATGCCAGATTATATCTATAAAAGATGTTTTTAAAATATGGATATTATATGAATAGTAATCTACTTTGGTTTAGCTGGTGTCTCACAAGGAATAATCAAGTACTTTAAAGATTTATTTGCCAACAGAGAAGATTCTACAGCAAGAACAATAAGTCAACTCTGAGAAAACTCACCTGATGATAATGATGTGTGGTCTGTATCAAATGCATATACATATTATATACAAAGTTTGCCATCTGGGGCATATTCTTTATTATCTGTACTTCATGGGATGGTCTCTCTCCATTCTAGAAGAAGGCCAAAAGAAAGTTAAGTACAATCCCTTATATGTGGAATCTAAAATACAACACATATGCTATGAACTTATCTATGAAAGAAACAGAGAGACACAGAAAACACACTTGTGGTTGTTAAGGGAGTGGGTGAGGGAGGTATGGACTGGGAGTTTGGGATTAGCAGATGTAAACTATTAAATATTGAATGTATAAACAATATACTGTATAGCATAGGGAACTATATTTAATATCCCATGATAAACCATAATGGAAAAAAGTATGAAGAAGAATGTATATATGTGTGTAACTCAATCACTCTGCTGTACACCAGAAACTAACACAACATTTTAATCAGTTATACTTCAGTAAAATAAATTTTAAAAAACAGAAAAAGAAAGTTAAGTATATAGTGAAAAACACTGAAAGATAACACTTCAATAGAAGTTCATGTCTCCAACTTATGTATGAACACTGTTAGGGTCTGGAGGACATAGGAACAGTAAGAGGACATTAAGATATAAAAGTTAGAGTCCAATAAGGATTTCCTTATTATGATAGCTGGTGGTATTATTTTTACATAGAAGATCTAATTCAGATCCTTAGTGTAAGGAGCACTCTAAACCAGAGATCAGATGACCTATATGGTGCTCTCAAGCAATACCGATAAGAAATGCTGCCCCACACAATGAAGAAAGTCTTACCTTTCTACTGGTTGGGAAAGGTTCTGTTGGAATTATATGCAAATGAAGTGGGCGGGCTGTGAGCTGGCTGAAAGCTGGAGTTAGTTCAAAACAGTTTTGGAAGAGGGACACTCTGGCGAAGATATAAAGTCCAAGTCTGGCTCGAGACATGGCGACCACTAAGCGACGGACATCCCTTTGAAAAACAAACAAACTTAATAATCAGAATATACCAAGATTAAAAATATATTTATGCAGCCTTTTATTTTTTAACATTCTACTAATTGTTACTGCTAAGCTATAGCAATAAAGAGTTAAGTTTCTCAAAAACTTAACAGGATAAACATTAAGTTAATCAGTGCTATGTAACTAGTTAACCCAGTAAGAAGTTACTGCTTTATTACCAACTTCTAAGTGTTTTTGAGTGGAGAGAGTAGGGGGGAATCACAAAATAACCAATGCACTGATTTAAAAGGTTTAAGTACAAAGTTACATGGCAGCCTGGATGGGAGGGGAGTTTGGGGAAGAATGGATACATGTATATGGATGGCTGAATTCCTCTGCTGTCCACCTGAAACTATCATAAAGCTGTTAATTGACTATACTCCAATATAAAATAAGAAGCTAAAAAAAGGTTTAAGTAGCAATAATAGTTCACTTGTTAGTTACCAATTTACTGTGTCACCACCATTAAGTCAATCCAAACCAGCCCTTCCTCTACTTCACTTACCAAATTCCCATGCTCTGTCAAGGTTAATAGGTCAAATTTTACTTCCTAGATAACTCTAATCACACTGCTTTATACTTATTTATAATAATTACAATACAAACAAATACAATATGATGATATGATACAATAATACCATGTCTTATTCATGCATTTACTCTAGTACCTACGCCCAATCCCTGGTTTATAATAGGTCTCAGTGTTCACATAAATAGAGATAAAAATGCCAAAATGCATGCTTCAGCTACACAGGTAGATGGGTATCTGATGAATGATGGCTGTTTCCTTTATCTTTTAGAAAGAATATGTTCTTAAAACTTTACTGAATTTACCTGAATCAAATGAACTAATTTACAAAACAGAAACAGACTTAGATTATGAACTCATGGTTGGTTCCCTGGGGAAAAGGGTGGTAGGGAGGGATAGACTGAGAGTTTAGGATTGACAAGTATAGACTGCTATATTTAAACAGATAACCAACAAAGATCTACTGTAAAAAGAAAAAAAAAAAGAGTAGCTATGTAAGCCTGATTTCACTTCATTATTTCACATTAGTTACAATTTTTTTTGTAAGAAAATATAGTTTTAGTTTCCAATATGGAGGATAGTTTGTTTTCCTAAGATGCTGTTAGATGGCTATTTAAATTTGTGAGTATTCTACAAAAGAGAAGATATTTATGAATAATAATAAAATCTGGTATAAGCATCCCTAATACCTGAAAGAAAGTGTTAAAGAGTGTTATAGGGACCAAATGTTACAAAGATCATATAATAACCAGACAGAGAATTGGTTAGTGAAATATTTATCAAATGGTTTTTCTTTGTCTCTGTATAATGTGAGATGTAATGTGAGTCTCATTTTCTGTTGTGTTTTATGGCCTTGATAAGGATCTAGTTTCCCTTATCAGAAGGAACTGTACAACATCAGTATATAATAGCAGTTATTTTGGGGGGTGTACAATCCCTATACCCCACCAACCCAAACTAAGAGAAGTTCATTCAGGTGGAAGGAGAAAGCATATCCTTTTACAGTAGTTCTGATGAACTTCTACATTTGTGACACATTGGATTCTTGAAGGAAATGTTTTCTTTAGGTTACTGCAAATCAAATTATTTTTCACTTCCTCCACTTTCCTTAGAGGCCCGAGGGGTCATGCCACAGGTGGATGGTTCCAAAACTAGTAACTAGAGGTACAACGCTAGAAATACTCAGCATGAGCTCTTAGATAAGTATTAAAACTTTATTCAGTTCTTCTCTTCTCATCCAGAAGGCTCCGTCTCTAGGCGGAGCACAGCCACAGCGCTACTGCAGTGACAACAAACCTGTTCCTCTGAGGAACTCTCCCCTCTAGTCCCCAGTACTGCAGAGCACTTAAGTGGCTCTACTAAGCTCATCTCCACTGTACAGACTAAAATCTGCAGAATCAAATGTAGGTATTTCCCAAAGACAGATTTCATGTCTCCCCCACTGGATTCTAAGCTTCATGGGGGCAGAGATAATGAATGCTAGATTTACCACTATATATCAAGAACTTAGCCTGCTGCCAAATAATAGAAGGATCTGAGAATATCTGTTAAATGAATGATCAAACACCACAAACATAACAAACTACCAGGCAAAATAAGTACAGGGTGGCAACATGAAGAGATAGGGTTCCTTGGAGCTGTATCTTGAAACTGGGCAATGGGAACTACCACCTTCTTTCATGATCTCCAGAGGATGGCTGGGAGCAGTTTCACTGACTTGCTCCGAACGAGTCACAAGCATTTCATTTGCAGCTGGGCTATTCAAGTCAGTAGGGACAAGAACAATGAATGTTGGAAAAGGGACCAGAAATGTCTCACTAGTCTAGCTTCTGAACAGCTCCACAGTGTCCTAAAACAGGTCTCTGGAACCAAAGCTGAATAGCCTGGCTCCTACACAATCACCTGTCTAGTCTATCCTAGATGGGTAAAAGACATATGGCAGGCACTTGGGAAAACTGCTTAGGAGTCTCTTAAACGGCTAGACAGAGTTACCATAAGACCCTGCAATTCTACTCCTAGGTCTACAACCAAGAGAAAGGAAAACATACTTTCTCACAATAACTTGTACATGCATCATCACAGCAGTCCAAGTAGTCACAAAGTGGAAACCACCCTGGTGTCCATCAACTGATGAATGGGTAAACAGAAAGTAAATTATTCACAAACAAAATGTTATTTAGCAATTAAAAGGAATGAAGTACTGACACATGCTACAACATGGAGGAATCCTGAACACGTTATGCTAAGTAATTTCATTTATATGAAGTGTCCAGAACAGGCAAATCTATAGACAAAGTGGAACAGAGGTTGCCAAGGACTTGAGGGGGAGAGGAAGGGAGTGACCGCTGACAGGTATAGGGTCTCTTGCTATTTTAGAGTTCTAAAATTGTGAATATAGTTGTATAACTCTGAATATACTAAAAAATCATTGAACTGTACACTTAAAATACAGTTTATTTATACACAAAAAATCATTGAATTGTACACTTAAAAATACAGTTTATTTAGACACTGAATTGTACAGCATGTGTATTGTATCTCAATAAAGATGCTACTAAAAAGAAAAATATGGAAGATGGAAGGTTTCCTTGGTATCTTGAAATTTGAAAGACAAAATATTTCACTGCTTCTTAGAAAAACAAAGACATGAAAGATTGCATCTACAAACCAAAAAATTCTATGAGGAGCTTGATAAAATTCTCACTAAGATACCTAAACTCTCTGGATAGTTGAATTACAGGTATTTGGTAAACTAAGTTTCTCCCCCTCTGTGCTTTAATAAAACTACCATCACTGTCATCGGTAGCCACTGAAAAAGCTGAACTTCCAAAGCAAAAGTTTGGCAAATATAAAAGAAGATAAATTTATTTGGATAAAGAAAAGCTGGATATGTGAGATGATAATGAAATCAGGTTCTTTTTTAAGTCCTCATTTATATGCATTTTATTATCATCATCTTTCTCTTTATTTAGTTGAGTTTTCACAAAAGTCAGGTAAAGAACGGCAGAGAAATAAAGTCATGGGAATGTGACAAAGACAAACGTACTACAGAGTAGGAGAAAAGGTGGGGAGAGGAGGAAGCAGCATTCTCGTATTCACACTGTGAGCATGGGTAAGTTATTTTAATTAGGTAAATCATAATGATGCCCTATTTAGCAGCAGCTATAAATTTCAATGTGGAAATGGAACTGCTTTTTAGAAAAGTTAGTCTCCAAAAACACGTTTGACACTTAAGTAAAAATAAACTGTATTTTAGAATGCTATAGTCTTGAAATTACTTCTTGAAACATTACATCTTTGTTTACTCCTACATAAAAGTTATTGGCTTAGTGGAACCTGATCACTCTGGGTTAAATACCAAATAGATCTTGACTTAATGACAACATTAAGAGAGCATGCAGAATTTTCTTTTTACGTCCATTAAGTAAAATAATAAAATGAACTCTCCTTACAGTTTTGCTAGTAAGTCATATGAGATGAAGGTTTATATAAAACTAAATGGCTGCTTTGTAATAAGGAGATATTATTCCCACAAAATCTCTAGCACATAAATACATCACAATAAATGATAAAAATAGGTTACTGTTTGTTTTGACAATTCTTAATCCTGAGAGAACAAATGGTTCCTTTATCCTCTCTAACACTAAGCTAAAAGACTGTGTCGGGTAAAGTCAGAAATCCCGTGCAATGAAAAATTTACTTAAGAGACTTTTTACCGCTCTACCTCCTTTAATTTCTTACGTTAAATTTCAAAGAGATATAGGATACATATATATATACAAATATTTGTGTGTGTATAACATTTTATGATCAAATGCTATCTCTGAATGTTCCTGAAGAGAAAAAAAGTTAAAATGACTAAAATATTTAAGATGCAAAAAAATTCAGAAGCAATGGCAACGATTACAGCAAGAGTATGATCCCGTTACATTCCAACAAAAAGCACCAAAAGTTGCTGTAACAATCAACTGTACTTTAAACCTGAAAACTACTTAGATATGAAAGCTCAAAATTGAAGCGCAGAGTGAGATTCAACACTATTAAGAAAATGCTCCCTTGCATACCTCAGATGGCCCACTGCCCTGGTTCGTACTAGAGACAGAAGAATGTAGTCGTTCTGTTGACCTTGAAATCTGTCAACAGTTGTCACCTGGGAGGAAAGAAAGGGGAATGTGGTATATTTCCAAAAGCAAAAACTCTTGAGAGATCTTGAGAGATCATTAAAATGATATGCTAGAAATAAAAATCTTATCCTTCAAATAATCAATCCCAAAAGAACGTAACTATATAGCTGGAACTGAAAGAACAAGTAAATGCACCCTATGAAATAAACCCTGGTGACCAGATGAGGCTATGTCCCTGTGTCACTCACACTCACAGTACTCATCTCTAACTCTGTGGGTGACGAAGTAACTATCTGCGGTATTAACGGTCTTCCCTCTGCTAGACGACTCAGCCCCATGAAACCAGGGGCCGTCCTCGTTAATTATACACCTAGTGTCCCTTTTATCTTCTTGATACAAGAGAGTACCTTTCTTTATGAAGTTTTTTTTGTTGTTGTTATAAGTAAAAGGACAGAGATAGAGATTCTTATATTTCTAAACTTTTTATATTTCAAAGTTATTCGTTTCTCATTTTCACTCTCTATATCCCTTATGGAAAGTTCCACAATGTCTGTTCCTCCCCATTCCTTTTGTCTCCATCTCTTTGATTTTGTTTTACTTTCTGCTAGTTTTCATTTTATCTCTTCCTGGGTTCTTCAATTTCTTTGTTTTGTAGCCTTCCCTTACAGAAGTGGCTACTTCATTAAGCATTTTAAAATTCATACCCAAATATGCATTCAAAATTTTAACCTGTTCTAGGCCAATATGCTTTCTGGAGTACGTTACCTTATCAATTAGTGTGTTCTGATGCTCTTTCCCTCATTTATACATTAAGCTTGTGCTACCTTCCTTTCCCCCTCTATTTCACCACTGATTAAGTGGGTTTCTTAGATGAGCTATGTATTAACAAAGAAGATAGGCTGGGGTGAGCAGAACTGTTTCTAAAGGCTCAGTGATTTTCACAACAGATGGTCCTCTCTTTCACTGCTACTACAGAGACAGTCTTTTCTTCCCCCAGATATTGTTCACCTGTAGTTTCCTTTGAACCAATCTGGGACCTGAAAGGCTTCTGCTCACCCCAATATCCACATCCACTGTTGGGTAGGAATGTGGCTCTTAGACTTCAAAGTATGCCACTCACTTTCAGAAAGTGTGTTTTTGCTGTCACTTTCAAGACTGATCCCCTAAATTCTCTTCTCCCTACATTTTCTTCCTGATCTTAGTCACATGTCATCTCACTAAAAGTGTAATTTGTTTTCTCCCACTCCCATTTTCCTCTTACTTGTGGATGATTTCCAAGGAAAGATGAAAGAGCTTTATACAGCTATGTTCACAACCAAAGTCCTAATTTCTTCATTATTAATACTATATTTATGTTTTGTTATTCTAAGTTTTCAAACTTTTACTGATAAAATCAAGGATCTTCATTTTTATTTTAATTATCTTCATTTTATTTTATCACTATCATATCACATAAAAAACAAAAAAAGTAATAAAAAAAACCCTAGGGTCTGAATATACTTGATTTTCCTTTATCCCCAAGAAAAACACTTTCCTATGTGTGTATACACGCACACAGAGACACACACACTAAGAAGCATGTGAATTATACCTCTGTAAAACAAGATAAAAAATGCTACAATTTCTATTTCTATTGTAAAGGAAATATATAATTAGATATCATTTACCAACAAAAAGTTTTAGAAGCAGTTATTTCTGGCTACTATCAACAAAAATCTTCATTGTGATAGGTGAGACAGACATTCACAGTAAATCAATAACACTGTCAGAAGTGTCACAGCATAACTTTTTATTTCATTTTCTCACATATTTTAAAAGGAGATAGCAAAGTAGAACAATATAACTCAAAAGAAATATAAATCTTTCTATCTTGCCAACAACATGAATAAGAGAACATAGTATAAAATTACCTTATTGGGTCTTCCAATCAATGGATTGCTTCCACATCGTCTGTTGATGATGTCACGAATAAGATGTTTTTGTCCATTATACGTTGTCAGAATGCTGATCTTGTCAGCAGGGTAGCCAAGTAAGCACATGTACATAAAAAGTGCCACTACGTATTCTGCCTCTCCAAGATTCTGTAATGAAAACATTAATCAGATTGTGCATTTATTTCCCTTTATAGAGAAAAATCAGGGCTTTCCAGGCTAGTGGTAAGGAATCTGCTTGACAATCAGGAGGCATATGAGATGCGTGTTTGATCCCTGGGCTGGGAAGATCACCTGGAGAGGGGCAGGGCAACCCAGGCCAGTATTCTTGCCTAAAGAATCCCATGGACAGAGAAGCCTGGCAGTCCATAGTATCATAAAGAGCTGGACACGACTGAAGTGACTTAAGTATGCAGCACGTGTACAGAAAACAGTTAACTAGTACAATTTGCTCATTCATTACACCTCAAGAAGTGACAAGTTACTATCTTGGACAAGTGAATACCTCTCATAAAACTGAGCAATTAACTAACCCTAAATTAACAATGATACATGTATTTTCATATGTATTTTTATATGCTATTTTGCATATGTGGTAATTATCTGTCCGAATTTCTATATGTATGTCTTATTTTTAAAAAACAAAGTGGGATACTATAGATACACTTTGAAATCTGATTTTTTCACTAGTATAGCATAATTCTCCCTGTCAGTAAACCAAGTTATAATATTATTCTTAGTAGCTATTCAGTATTATATGGATTAGGTTAAAGTGTAATTAATCCCTATTGATAACATTTAGGTTGTTTTTCTTTTCAAAAATAATTTGCCGTAAAAGATGTGATAAACATTTTACCATATAAGTCTTTGCAAGTTTGTCTATTTTTTAAAGGATAAATTCATAGAAGAATATTGCTTTTAATAAGTACTAACAATATGTCCACCAAATAACTTTCCTACTAGCATTGCATGAGTATAGAATTTCCCAAACCTAACCCAACAGAGGTGAAAATACGCTCCAGTGATTTATACTCGCTATACATGTATCTTTGTGAACTGTATATTCTTGTCCTTATTGTATTTTTCTATTGGCTGTTAATTCTTGCCTGTTAAATGATGAAAATAAACTCTGTTCTCAAATCAATATTTTTCTTTATGATTTTGGAAGCTTAAAAAACCTTTCTAATCCCAATATTATATATTCATCAATATTTTCTTCTTTCTGGTATGTTTACTGTTTCTTTTCTTTGGTATATATATCTTTAATCCATTTGAAATAGAAAAGTGTGTGTTGTCTCTGAGGTGGAAACCTAACTTTCCTTTCTTCAGTGGCTGGCTAAATGGTTCAGTAATACTAATTCATATAGAAAGTAAGCCAGGAAAATACAAAATGAACTTAAAGTTTCTTGTTTCTTCTTACCTGATAAAAGTAAGGATTAGGCTCAGATTCTCCAACTCCCTGAAAATCTTCAACATTAATGAGCTGGAAGTCATAGAGCAAGCCAGCGTTGGCTGTACTAAACTCCGGCAAGAGCTGCACATGGGGTAGGTTTCCTAGATTCTTATATCGCCAGTTGTAGAGGTTGCACAAGCTTTCAAAGACAAACACCCCCCGAAAAGGAAAAGTTAGCAGTGTACATTCCCTTTTAATATACCTAAGGGGGTTTCTAAGGAACTGGGTTCTTCCTGTTAACTTTCATATTACCTACTTTGTGCTCATTGTTTTAGCAATAATGCTTCTGCAACCTCTGTCTCCCTACCATCAGGCAAATCAGGAGACTGATAATATTACAGAAATGATAACTCTATCATGTTCCCTAAGGTAAATGTTATCTTTATTCCTTAAATAAGAAAATCAAGGAAGAGTCTGTACAGTGAAAAAAAACTACAAGTAACTCTATGAGAGGGAACCTATATATTTTATGAATAAGAATTAGTGTGTTCTTTTCTTGTTCATCTCTAGATTTAGATTTCAAAATGACATTAATCATATATCTTTTGGGGGCCTGAAGAAAAAGGAGGTAACAGTGAAAGGAAGCCCTTAGTTTATGTCACTTAAATTAATCTCAATGAATAAAATGAAGGAACTCATTTGTTCAGTTCACAACCCATGCTGAAAGCAATAAAGGTATTTTCCAATTTGTAGATGTGTATCCAGGCAAGTTCCTAAATAGCAGAGAGTGCTTAAGAGTCTATACAGAAGGTGCTATCGAAATGTTGGATCATGGAACTGATGTCCTTAAACAGGAGTAGTATCCCTAATATCCAGTCCCCTGCTCCCGTCTCCCATTGCCCAGTCTCCTTTACCTTGCTCTGGCCCTCCCCTGGGCATCGAGGTCCACAGTAGGAACTCCAACCCTGACAAAGCGAGTGAAGAGGGACTGCTCCATGTTTGAATACTTCTGAAAGGCCATGTTCTTAATGACTGGAGGTAACTGGTGATGATCACCAATCATAATCCAACGTTTTAGTCGGCTAAAACCATCCTGAGGATTCTAGGAATAAAAAGTGGGGAAATGGCAACATACTTTATGTATTACCCTGTTAATCTCCAATTCACGGCACAAGAGTCTTGCTATTCACATTATGGCTTTAACAGGTTACTAATTCTTGCCATTCACCAGTTTCACGGAGAAGAATCTGGCAAATTTATAGAATGACTTGTATGGGTACCACCGGCTGACAGTGTGTGAGAAAGGCTGGAGGGACTGAGAAGGCAGGCATGGACTCACCCTACACACGGTAACCCAAAGAGGTCTGGGAGGCTTAGGTCCTAATCAGGCAAAGGGTGCACAGAAAGAAACAGATGCCCAAGCAGGGAAATGGAAAGATGTCAAATTGTATCACAATTACAGGCAGCAGAAATTATACTTTTTAATTTCCTACTCTACATGTCTCCTTATTTCTTGAAGCATATTTTGATAAAATAAAAATACCAGATAACTTGGCTTTATAAAACAACTTTTGAAACCCAATTATCTATAAATTAGAGGAGCCTCTGTTCTTCAATCCGGAATTTCACATTTTTATTTTTATGCTTCCATAGTAAAGACTATTATACAATAAGAAAACATTCTTAAACATCATCATTGAATTAAAAAATTTCAGGCATAAAATGAAAAATAATGTATCCAGGGATCAAAAATAATTCTAGAAACAACTCTAAAAGAAATGAAAAAAGAGCTCGTCTGTCCTCCAGACTGCATAAAAATGTAATTTTCTTGAGAAAAACAGCTGTCTTTTCAAAACTAAGAGACAAACTATGGCTTTTTAAATAGTACTCCCAAATAATACAAACTACTCAATAACCAGGAAATAAAGGAAGTTCACATGCTTAAAAGAGAATACTGAACATAATGAAGTTAAGGAGAATACATAATCATAGCAATTAGCACCCCGAAGCTCTAGTTTTCTGACTGTACCCTCCAGAATTCTTAAACCACTACTTTGTCTCAATTTCAGTATCTTACCTGTAGAAGAAGGGGTATAAAAGTTTCTATTTCCAGAATCTGAGCAGCTTCCTCCATTAAAATGTTGTCATACTGAGAAATGGAGAAAAAGAAAGCTTGTGAAACAGTTTGAAACCCAAACAGCTACCACCATGACTGTAATAAGCATCCCAAAATCTCTCAAATAATTCAGATACAAATAACATACAAATTATTCCAACAGAAAGTTTATGATCTTCTTGACCACTGTGCCTGAATCCTAGTTTCCAGGAATGTTAGGCGTTGCACATCTATAAAATAATGAAAAATCAAGTCTTGCTCCAACCGAAGGAAATTTCATTCTTTGTGAATCTTCTATCTGCCCAATTTCTTCTAGATTTATTCTCATCAGGTTTTATCTTTCCCTTCCTCTTCTAATTCTGATTGCTATTTATAGTATGATATCCTATTCCTCGTAAAATTCCTTCTTTGAGACTCTTACTAAGCACAAAGTAAGAGGTCGTTTTCTTTTTTCAAAGTTTTCTCCCCTGATTTTTTTCCAAGGAAGTGGAAGGTAGGGGGAGTATATTTACTCTTAATGCTTAATTAACTTTTTTCTTTTAAGCTAACTGTTTATGTATCCTCTAGTTTCTGCACTGGAGAAGGAAATGGCAACCCACTCCAAGTATTCTTGCCTGGAGAATCCCAGGGACAGAGGAGCCTGGCGGGCTGCCGTCTGTGGGGCTGTAGAGTCGGACACAACTGAAGCAACTTAGCAGCAGCAGTTTCTGTGCTACTCATTTTTACCAAAATATGCTTGTATTTGTTCAAGTCTGGTAGTTGGGTTTCTACTGGACATGATGAAATTTAAGGTTCAATTCTGTACTGTTTTCTACTGAAATTACCTTAAGTTTTAGGCATGTGGATGGGTATCTTCTCTAACTCTATCTGATGCTAAATTTCCATATTACAATGATTAATTAGGTCATCCTGGTGGGAACCTAGGAGGAGGGGTTCAAACAGCCATATTTTCTCAGAAGTTCCCACGTGGGGTCTCAAGGTGCTAGACACAATATGGAGAACAGAATGGGAAAAGCTCAAAGATGACAGCTTAAAGAGACTCCTTCCTGAGAAACAACTCTGAAAATCTAATGTGATTTAACTTATAAAAATATATTTATAGCTCCTGTTAAAAAGGAGATTTTAATCGCAAAGCAAAATTATGCCACAACTATACTGCATGTATTAAGGAAGGAAAAGAGTAAACAAAAGTGCTTGCATGTCTCCTTGGAGACAGCACAGAATCAAAAGACAGTGCCTAAAATAGAAATTTAGCATTTTTTATTGATATAAATGAAAAGGACACAGGAAATATGAAAAGAGTTGAAAGACTAGATAATTGGGGAGTGGGGAGTAATGTGAAGGGATACACTGAGCACTCACGTAACTATCTTACTAGCACAACGTAAGAAAATGATTAATGAAAATATGATAAGCTATGAGTAATGTTTTGTAGATTATGCACATGAACAGCTGTAAGAAAGCATAAAATGCTCAGTTTAGATTGTATCATTTCCCTGTGGTGTTAAAACTAATATGATTTAATAGCAAATCCAAAGTATATTTTATGTGTCAGCCCAAAGCAAGAACAAAATATTTAGGTGAAAACTTTTCACTAATTTGCAAAAGATAAGTTCACACCCCTAGGTTAAGTTCACACTACCTTTTAATACATTATCATATTTGTCCTACCTTATAGCTGAGGAAACTTTAATCCAAGATCTCAACAATTCTATCACCTTGAATTTATTTAGCACTTATCTTCCAGTGACCTCATAACACTTAAAAAATGTCAGCTATTTTCATCAACAACAAATGTTTTGCTAACTTTGAATTCAAACCAGTACATGAAACATTAATAACATCAGATAAACCAGTTGGAGGGAAGTTAAATGATTTGCATTAAAATCAGAGATTAGTCAGTACCACTAGCAAAGTCACAAAAAGTGTCTGCAAACTCAAATTTACTGATCAATTATTACATTACATTTCAGCTGAGTAACAAGTAACAGGCTGTCTTTACCCTTTGGCTCTCCAGTCCTTATCCTGAGATGGAGTCATTTAAATATCTTATTTGACAGTCTAAATAAGTATATTCCATATCCTCATACAGAATGCTTTTCATTTACTGAATGAACAAATAACTGCAGTGGATGTGTGCTTAAAAGGTAAATAAGGCAAGCATACAGATTTCTAATAGGTGAAAAACACTGTCAAATGTTTTTATAAAGTCTTTAGTTCTGTTTGGAGATTCTTTTAATACAGTGAAAGTAAATTAATTTACCTTAAAAAGTATTAGAAGCTATTTAGACAGTCATATGGCTATAATGTTACTTAAAACACACATTAATACATTTCATAACTACATTTAGAAAAGTTATTTATTAGAGTTTACTAATCGTAAACATGGGAGGTTATTATCACTTTAGAGACATTTTAAAGTAATTATAAATGCAAACCTCAGTAAGAAGCAATCATTCAAGGGAAAGGGCCTAGTATTAACGAGAGAAGAGAAAAGAAAGGAACTAACAGCTGCACAGATGAATTAAGGAGCTAAAATATAAGTCTTTACCTTGAAACCTAATTTGACTAAATCATGTCGTTTTAGGGCAGCATGAGTACAGGTCATAGCAATGATTTTGGCTTCTTTCACCAAAAGGTATTTAGATCTGTCTAGTCCACTTCGAAGCAGTTCAGAGGCTCTGAATTCCTATGGGAATGGGGAAACAATGAGATACTTATTTTAGGAAAATCATGCATATATTCAATAACCCAGTTTATGAGACTTTATCTGCAAGCTTAATATAAATATCTCGGTGGGGCCAGTGGTAAAGAACCTGCCTGCCAATGCAGGTAAGACGTGAGATGTTTGATCCCTGGGTTGGGAAGATCCCCTGGAGGAGGACATGGCAACCCACTCCAGTATTCTTGCCCGGAGAACCCACGGACAGAAGAGCCTAGTGGGCTGCAGTCCCTAGGCTTACAGAGTCAGACACAACTTAGCAGCAGCAGCATAAACTAAGCCTATTATCCAACTCAATGAACGTGAGTTTGAGCAAGCTCTGGGAGTTGGTGAAAGACAGGGAAGCTTGGCATGCTGCAGTCCATGGGGTCACAAAGAGTCAGACACAACCGAGTGACTGAACTGAATGGACAGAACAACAATTCTGTCCATGATTAATAAGTTACTAATTAAGTTCAAATAATAACTGATATTAAAGCTACAATTTGGACTGTTTTTTAATATAAGGTAAAATATTTACTGTGTCAACAAGAATACTGCATATCGATCACCCTTGTACCTCCAGGAAAATAGACACTATGTCAAGCATTCATAATGAAAGGAATTTATTGCAAGGAACCCATTTATGCAGGTGATGGGGGGGTAGAAAAGCCAACCAACGAATGGTGACATAACCCAGAGATTGGCAACAGCAGAATATCATGACCATCCGTGGGCTAGGAAGGATAAAGAGGAAGAAGTGTTACCTAAGTCCAGAAACTGAGGTATCAATATAAACTGGAACCGCAGTGGACCAGGTCAGCAGAAACTGGAGTCATGTAAGGGATGAGACCCCAGGCAGAGAGCTGGTGGTGAAAAATCCTGGCTTCCTTCTTTCCTCTATTTTTGCCACATTTCTCATTGGCTAAACCCAGCCAGAAGTCAGCTGACATGAGAGGCTGGGAAATCAAGACTCTAAGGACCAGTCCCAGCCCAGACCATGGCAGAGGATCCCAGAGCAGAGTAGGGGAATCAACAGTAGATGGATGTAAGGAGTAAACGAGCCATGCAGAGTACCTAATATCAAGTTTCATCAAGTCTGAACATTATGTCATACTTATGTCAGACTTTTAAACATTTGTTTTGGTTTATTCATTTTTAAATAATTAAAGCATCACAGGCACAGGTGGAGGTACCCTGTATTTCCTTCTTCCTACTGTCTCCCCGGACAGCTATTATTATAAATTATATGCTTTTATCCTTTTATATTCTATTTATGTAATCATAAGCATACCACAACACTGTTTTGCAGGTTTTACAATTTTATTTATCATTATCATATTACATATATACTACATATGTGTATATATTATATATTTATTATTCTGTACCGACCATTCATCCATTTCTACCTACCTACTCACACCATGCGTCAGTGTTTACTGAATACTCACTATCTGCCGGATACTGTTGTAGAAGTAGGGATAAAATCATATCTAAAAGGTACAAAGACTTTTAAAAAGAGACGATCTTTGCCCTTTTAATTTGAAGTAATCCTAAACCTTCTGAGAGGAATGTGAGTCTGAAATGTGGTCCTTTTACATTATTGCTGTAGTCTTCCAGGGATGTTTCCAATAAGGAATGAGAAAACTTCCTAGTTTTCTAGGAAAACTAGGGGCCCTGGGTTCCAAACAATCTTCTCTGTCCCCTGTGTATAGTCGTGACTCTTATTTCACCATAACAATCAGGAACATCTTGGATAACACAGCAACCTCACTTTTTGCCCACAAGTCAAAAGCAAAAAGAATTTGGAATGGCCAAATTCTAAATGAAGGAGCTATTGTTAAATCTCCTAAAGAAAGCATTCCTTTCTTAAATACTAAGACTTTCACACCAGAAAAAAAAAAATGGCGATTCAATTCATATCATAATTTTTACTTATTTCTTCAACTAGAACATTACATGCTTCCAATAATTCCACTTAAAAGTAATAATCTTGTTTGCTAGATTTGAATATTCTACTTACTTAAAAAAAAAAAACCAGTTAAGCTTAAAACCTTTAAAGGAAATTAAGAAGAACTTGAGAATCCTTACCTCAAGCTGAGTAAAGATTTTCTTAATATGCCTGAAACATCCTTCAGCAATTTCCATGTCTTCTTCATAAGATCGGCCTTTAAAAATGGGTTGTGGGGCATTTGCAAAGTACTCATGAAACGGGAAGAAAGTGGATACTTCAGTAATATCTGGCATCATGTTACTTTTATTTTTCACTTTGCTGATATACTCTTCCCAACGAGACATTACCTGTAAGAAAAAGAGACTTGAGGTTAAACTGGCCAGCCCTTATGTTTTAGATGAACTTCCCTGGTGGTTCAGCGGGAGAGAATCTGCCTGCCAATGCAGGAGACTTGGATTGATCCCTAAGTCGGGAGGATCCCTTGGAGAAGGAAATGACAACCCACTCCAGTATTCTTGCCTGGAAAATCCCATGGACAGAGGAGCCTGGCAGGCTACCGTCCATTGGGTTGCAAAGAGTTGGTGTCCAAACGACTGAGTGACTAAACAACAACATTTTAAATAATAAAATAAAAAATGCGTCTAGTTTGGTCTTCTCTGGTGGTCCAGTAGGAAAAGGAAAAGAAAAGCAATCTTTGACCCAACCAGACTGTTTCTTACCCAAGTCACTGACAAACTGCTCTTCTTTTATAAAAGTAAACTTTAAGACTGTAGGGTAAAAAACCCTTAAATAAAACATGTACAGATAGGAAAGAACCCTAGAATTATCTCATGGGACTTTTTATCTCAGATGTTTCAGATTTCCCATGCATATTCAAAACAGTTTATGACTGATGATCCAAAAAGCCCTCTCTGAACAAAGAAATTCCTTATTTTTTCACTATCTCAGTTTCTTTCCATATATGGTTAAGTCCAGCTCTAGTAGCTTTTTAATCAATTTAGCACTTGTCAATCCTACTCTGAGACCTTCAAAATTTTTTGAATTCTCTTTAGTATACATATAAAAAACTTCTGGTTAAGCTGACTATGTATTTGAAAGCTCATTTTATGACTTTTTGGATATAGATAGTTTAAATATATGCTGGAGTAAATGTTAACTATGACCCTACTCAGTTCCTACTTAATTTTTGTAATTCTCTCAGTTTTTCTGTTATAACTTCAGTGTTTCTCAAACTGTGGTCTTTAGGCAGAATATCTGAGAAGCTAAATAAAAATGTAGATCCCTGGATATCATGTCATATTAAAAGAAAGTCTCTGGGGACAGAGCTTGAGAATTTTCCTTTTCAACAATTTTCCTAATGTGATTATTATGTGTTGAAAACTGTTGATGTATACTGTGAGGCCTCCAGTTCATATTTTTCAAATTTATTACTTAGGCCTCAATAATTTATATGTTATTTCTACTACTATTAAAAGTAGTTTTCACTAAGAGCCTGGTGACTTTTATCTTGTGACAAACATGCACTTAAGCATGATCATTACTCCATTATTCAAAGTTCTTAAGAGTCTAAAACGAAGATAACTTTGCAAAATCATGCATATGTCCCATGTTTCATAAGGAAGCATGAAATACACTCATTTTGAATGGACTCAACTGGTTTATCAGTTTATAATGAGCATAAATTTTTTTCATATACATTTAAAAATTTCAACACTGTGATTTGTACCTAAAATATATAAGTAGCATTAGTACAAAGAGAACAAATAGTTATACAAAAATCTTCATTATTTGATGTTCAATCCATTTAAAATTACTAGTAAACCAAGTAAGTATTAAAATCTTATTTTTATTCATTTTATTTGGCTGTCTATTTCTCATTAATTTTCACACCCACAAAATTAACTCTAAAAAAAGCAAAAACATACCTCTAAATTGAAGTCAAAGAATTTTTAACTTAAACTCCTTACTTTGAAATCAATTCTATAACAAAATGTATTTTGGGAAATTTAAACAGAAAATATGCTTTTCTTTATTCCTTGATTAATATGCCTATTAAAAGTAAGTTAAAAAACTGCATCTGTTATACTGTTAGCTACACTATTTAGTTATATTTCTATAGTAATGAAAATAAATGAAAAAATAAAAAAGAGAGACTAGAAACTTTGTCAATAACAAAAAAGGAGAAGAAAAAAATTTAAAAGTAGCAACACTGGCCTTTCACTGAATGAGTCATCAAGTAAAGTTATTTAGCAAAGAAAATTGAAGACAATAGGAGACACAGCATTTAACATCCACAAATATAACTCTGGCAACAGCATATATTTTAATCTACTCAAAAAAATAATTTTCAAGAAAGGATTTCCAGAACCCATCCCCATTTCTAAATAAAGAGTATATTCCAATAAAGTATGATTTGCATATCTTTAATCTCTTATACCTGATACAAGAAGAAATAGCCCGCAGTTTCACAAGTATATGAAGCATCTCCTGGAACCCCGAGACTCTTCTGCAATCGTTTGACTTCTTCTAAAAGTTCTATTCTTCGAGCTAGGACATAATTAACTCTTCCATACCTAAAAATTTCAATTAAGCAAAAAAGCAAAATTATATTATGACGAGACTTTCAAAGAAACTGTCAGCAAAATATTTAAGAAAATCGTAACAGAAATAATAAATGAGCAAAGAAAATAAAAGGTAGAAAACATAATTTATATTTACTACGTAGCATTGGTATAAAATAACTCAAGTGGTAGGTCTTTAGTTATTGTATACCAAAGCTACTTAAAATCTACCAATGGATCAAGGATGATGTGCAAATGTGTTGGTGGTTTGTGAGAAAGGAAAATTAACTATATTACTAAACACCTTTAGTTCAGCTATCTTTTCTTTTTTCTTCATAAAAAGACCGTCACAAAGAAGAAAACACTATAGTAGATTCAAGTGCTAGTTCATCTCATGACAAACCAGAATATAGTTTACAAACTGGCTACTCTAAATACCACTATCATAAAAGTAGGTTAGCTCTAAAAGTTCTGAAATGTAATTTCAAAATTTATTTGCTTATTCTTTGGCATTGAACACAGCTTGGCATCTGGACCAAATAGGTTCATAAATATTTGCTGAATGTGTAAGAAACTGAAATTTGGAAAGTACCTGATCCAAAGATAGGTAGTTAAGAAAAAAAAGTGGAACCAGAACTGGATGCCAAAGCCTGTGCAATTTCTTTCTACCATAACAAAGTGCCTGCTATGATTCCTCACCACCAAAAAAAAAAAAGCAGCAGCAGTACACAATGGAATCCTATGTAATATTTGCTCAAGTATTCTATCAATCTAAAACTATATTAAAAAGCCTAAATTAATTATAAAAAGGGAAAGCAATGTACAGGAATACTTCATTTTATTGGGCTTCACTTTACTGTACTTTGCAGATACTGTATTTTTTACAAATTGAAGGTTTGTGGCAACACTGCATTTAACAAGTCTATCACTGTCATTTTTTTCCAACAGCATTTGCTGTCTGTATCAAATTTTGGAGATTCTTGAACTATTTCAAACATTTTCATTATTATCATATTGGTTATCTGTGTTCTGTGATCTCTGATATTATCATTGTCACCACTTTGGGGTGCCACAAATCATGCCCATGTAAGACGGCAAACTTAACTGATGAATGAGCATGTTCTGACTACGTGCTCTGCTCCATTAATTGGTTATTCCCCCATCTTTTTAATTATGACAAAGAGAAAAATGAAATAATTGCATAATCAAAGAAGCACACACATTACTAATAAGGCCTGGAGCTTGACTTACCCATCAGAAAGCAAAAAGAGTTTTTCCTCAAGAAAATTGGTAGTACCAGAAATCACTTTAAAAATTCTACTTCTTTTCTATTATAATATTCTCTAAAAACTATAAATTATGCTGCAATACACTTATAATTACAGTACTTAGCACTTCATCAGCCTGTATATATTCACCAAAATCTGAATTAGCAGATTTTTAGAGTTGAGTCCACTTGTGTAAGTTAGGTTTAACAAGAAGAAATACCCATGGGAAGAATTCAGAAGCATTACCAGCTGTTCAAAAATTAAGAATCCAGAGCCCCAAGTAACTTAATGTGTGTTGATCTTGCCCTTTGACTTTTTAAAAGCTAAAAAATATTTGGTGAGCTCTTTAATATAAGAACTCAAAATAAATGCAATGTGGTAATTTAATACTCTTTTAGTTCTTCTGATGTCTATAATCAATTTAGTAATGATTACAAAAGTAATGTTCAATAGCCAAAGGCTGTATTAATTATGTACAGCTGTTAATTATGTCTATGTCAGAAATCAAGCTTTAAAAACTAGTTTAATTATAAATGAAAGGAGCTGTTTTTTATACAGCAACTTTGAAGGAAAAATCAAAATACCAAAAGCAGAAGAAATCTGACTTGTAAAATTTAGTCACTTTATGTCACATTAACATAAAGTCCAGCTAAACTGGCAATAAATTCCTGAAATAATACTTACAACCCCAAAGCTTATACTATCACTAATCTCCAGGTGCATTTTGTTAACTGAATCCACCTAATAGATGCCCAGATTATATGAAATTAAATGTCTAGATGAAATGTAAAATGGAGTTGTGTAAAGTTGTATAGTTTGGGTTTGGCAATGTTGACTTCAGTTAACAGAAAGCAAATGGAAATCTGCAATTTAAAAAAGATGAACAAGATAACTCTTTTCACTAAAATAACCATGTGTTTGAGGGGGAAAATGACATAAACATGTAGAACTGGAGCAGAGGGAGATCATGACTGGACTTTGGGGTCAACCTAGTATACCCATGCTGCTGCTGCTAAGTCACTTCTGTCGTGTCCAACTCTGTGCGACCCCATAGACGGCAGCCCACCAGGCTCCCCTGTCCCTGGGACTCTCCAGGTAAGAACACTGGAGGGGGTTGCCAGTTCCTTCTCCAATGCGTGAAAGTGAAAAGTGAAAGTGAAGTCACTCAGTCATGTCCAACTCCTAGCGACCCCATGGACTGCAGCCTACCAGGCTCCTCCATCCTATGTAGGTTACGCTAAAACCCTTCAGAATTCAGTTGGGTTATTCACTGCTCTCTTTCCTGTTGCTTTTTTCTTTATTAAAGAAAAAGAGGAGAAGGTTAAAAATTCTTCATAAATGAGTTTCAAAACATTCCCATTTGCTCACCTGCTGAAATCTTTCTCGGTCTCCAGCTCTTCTTCTCCATGACCAAGACGCAGGAGGTGGCGCTCGTCAATGTCTAAAGCCATGATTTTCTCAAACAACTGGTTCAGGGCCTGGAGAATAAAAAAAAGAATGAATGAGTTTTAAAGAATCAGAAGGCTCCTTTAAAAGTAACAAAAACTAACAATCACAAGGGTAGAAATGAATGAGTATTGCCCAGTCAGATAAGAATCAAAGTCTAAACACAAGGAAACATATTACGCCATTTATAATTTAAACGAAAGTGTTTTTATTGATTTGTGATAATGCAATATATGTATGTGTAGTCAAATAATAACTGGAAATCATAAAAAGTCATCTATCTATTACATCTCTGATAATTTGTGAAAAGAGAAGGCTTTGGCTCAGTTTCTATTTCCCTCAAGTAGTAATAATTACTAAAATAATTAGTGATGACATCAAATTTCACTTTACTCAACAAAATTTCTATGAGTTGCAGAAAACTGGAAGGGTTTTGTGGTTAGAGAAGGCCTCCCAGGAGGTGTGTTGATAGAAGGCATCAAGAGGACCAGAGAGAGGAAACCAAAGTACAACACTCAAATCTTAGGCTGAGAGTCTAAATTAGCTCTTGACACAGTAGGGAGCAGAGCGCTATTTGCAAACTGTTCTGATGAAAGACATACCCATGAAATGTTCATCTTTGGGGTTTCCTGAAATCCTCGTACTTATTATCTGAACATCTGTAGTCACAAGGTTTTGTAGAAAGGCAAACGTTTCATTGCATGTAAAGAAATACTAATAAAAATGACATTTAAAGATTAGCCCCCACTCAAATATTTCTCTGAATTTACCACTAGTCTAGCCCTGACCATGAAGTCAATATCCAGTCTTGTAAACATCCAAGCTATAAAGTATACAGCTATCTTTTACTACCAAAATTCCAGCAACTAGAGCTCAGAATCTGATGAGATAAACAAAATTATCTGAAAAAATAATCCACACTATCCAAACTCTTAATATTCTCCATCTAAAACTTGAGATACAATAGATCAGACCACATGGCATTAGTCACTATTTAAACCTTCTCTATCTAAACTTACGAACCACATAGATTTAGAGGGCAAAAAATACTCGCACATGGCAATCTCAGAAAAAACTGCAAGATTTCATCATAAATTAAAGCGATGTTGGCGTATATTATCTAGGGTGAAACAGATCACCAGCCCAGGTTGGGTGCATGAGACAAGTGCTCGGGCGTGGTGCACTGGGAAGACCCAGAGGGTTCGGGTGGAGAGGGAGGTGGGAGGGGGGACCGGGATGGAGAATACATGTAAATCCATGGCTAATTCATTTCATGTATGACAAAAACCACTGCAATGATGTAAAGTAATTAGCCTCCAACTAATAAAAATAAATGAAAAAAAAAAAATAAAGCGATGTTGGAGAATGGCTTGAATCACATATTCAAACCAAGATGGGGTATACAAACTCTGAAAAATAAACAATTTGCATTAAAGAGGATGATTTGATTATCAAAGGATCAAGGATGTCTTTGGCTATTTTAGCAAAATAACATCATCTCTAAAACAGTGCTACACAAGTCAATCATAAGTAGAGGATACTACAGAAAGTCATTTTCCAGTTATGACAAAATTTGTTTAAAAAAAAAAACCAGTATGTTAAAACAACACATGAATAATATCTTACTCATTCTAAGAAGCTGAAAATAGGTAAAATTATTACAGACTAAATTTCATTAAACAGAAGAAAGAAAAAGTCCATAGTTTGCTTCTTTTATCAAGATAAAGCCTGATTACACTCTCCCCTGCACAATTTTAGTATACCATACCAGTAACTTACAAACACTAAAGATAAGAAAACAGAGTGAATGAATTGGATGGACAGTTAATAGTTTTAAAATTCTGGGATTAAAAGTTGATGAATAACAGAATTAATAGCACTGAGCATTTAAAAAACCCAGTGCTTCTTCATAGACCAGTTTTTTTGAAAAAACTAGTGAACTGAAAGCACTATTTTTAATATGTATTCAGAGAAAACAAATACCTTGGGCACAGACTACAGTGCAAGTTTCACAACATGTTTCAGAAGATTCTGAGAGTTGCCTGTCACATTTTATGTGAGAATTAATAAATATTACTTGTTCTTATTTCTATGACAGCTTTAGAATAAATACCCTGGCACACATATAGATGTAAAGATCATTTTTCTTCCATTATTTACAAGAAGAGAGTTTGTTTTTCTTGTTTTAGCTATTTATAAACGGTCAGTTGTTCAGTCGTGTCCAACTCTTTGCAACCCCATGGACAGTAGCCTGCCAGGCTTGTCTGTCCATGGGATTCTCCAGGCAAGAATACTGGAGTGGGTTGCCATTCCCTTCCCTAGGGGATCCTCCTGATCCAGGGATGGCAGCTGGGTCTCCCACATTGCAGGCAGATTCTTTACCATCTGAGCCACCAGGAAGCCCCAGCTATTTATAAATGTTTTATGTATTGGACCAGCAACCTAAAACAGTCCACCCATATTCATATGTACACTTCATAAGAACTTAAAATTCAATCCAGTGTCAATATGATATAGGTTTAGTCTTTTAGGAATATCCATCCTAGTAGCAGAAAAATACTACTAGTAAGGGGTAATGCTTTTAAAGTAAAAGCTCTAGCTACGAATGGAAGATGGGGGAAAAAGTCAATTACCACGTATCCAAATATTCATCTCAGCTTTTCTGCATGTGGACTGCCTCTATTAGAATGGTCTGGTCGTGACCAGTGATACTCCAAGATTAACTCAACAACAAACACTATGCTCATCAACCTTTCCTGATATTCTGTGTGCCCATAATCAGATTATTGTATAAGCAGAAACCTACATTGTGCTTCCACGCATCTCCTGTTCTGTACATGCACATCCACTTCACACAAGCATGTGCACACATGAGCGCACATGTACACACACATTCCCTTTTTCTTACCTGATTGGAATGAGTAACAATCAGAGTCCTCTGCTCTGGGAAATTGTGGTAGATGTTGGATATAATTTGAACTGCCACATCTGTTTTTCCTGTACCTGGTGGACCCACAACCTAAAAAGCAGATGAACACATAGCAAACTATTGAATTACCACATTGTTAGAAAAAGAAAATTTTAAACTTGAAAGATAAAACAAGTTAAAAAATTTGCTAGGTAAGTTCAATGCAACATGAAGAAAGTAAGAGTTAGTGCACTTGAAGATGAATCAATAGAAATCAGCCATCCCGAATAAAAAGCAGAAAAAAAGATTCACGACCTCATGAATCCATGGAGCAATATTAAAAGGTCTGATATCCATGAAGTTCTACAGAGGCAAAAGTAAACAGTGTAGAAAAGTATTTCAAGAAATAATGGCTGGAAATTTCTCAAATCTGGCAAAAGACATAAATCAACAGATTCAAGAAGCTCACTGAAGCATAAACAGAATAATACCAAAGAAATCTAAGACCAGACATACAGTAATTAAATGGTTGGAATCTAAAGACAAAAAATCTTAATAGTAACTAGAGAAAAATGATATATTGCATATAGCAAAAAGACATTTCAAATGATTGTGCACTTCTCATCAGAACCACAGAAACTAAAAGGAAGTGGAATCACATTTTTAAAGGGCTGAAAAGAGAAAACTATCAATGAAAATTCTATGTCCAGTGAAAAACATTTTAAAGAACGAAAATGAATTAGAGAGACTCTCAGATAAAAGAATACAAAGGTTAATTCATTGTTAGCTGATCTGTTCTTCATATTGGTAAAAGAAATTCTTCAGACAAGGGAAATGACACCAGGGAATTCCATGGTGGTTCAGTGTTTAGGACTCTGCGCTTCTGCTACTCGGGGCCTGGGTTCAATCCCTGGTCAGGGAAGTAAGATCCCACATGCTACACAGTGGGAAAAAAAAAAAGGAAATGATACCAGAGGATACTTGAGATATCAGGAATAAAGGATAAATGGTAAATGTAGTAGACGACTCTTCTCTGGAGTTCTTTAAAATAGGTTTGATGTCTGTAATAAAAAATTTTAATATTGTGTGATAGTATTTTCAATGTATTTACAGGTAAAATATATGACAACTACAACATAAAATGGGAGGGTAAAGGGACTTATATGGAAGCAAGGATCCTCCATTCAATTTAAGAGACAAAATATTGATTCTAAGTAGGCTGTGAAAAGGAAAGTATGTAAATTATAGTTCCCTAGAGCAGCCATTAGGGAAAATTACAAAGGAGATATAAACAGAATAGATAAGTAGAAATGAGACACTAAAAACTATCGAAATAACTCAGAAAAAGGCAGGAAAAGGGAAATAGGAACACACAAAAAGGCAGCAATCGTAAAAAAGAAATAATAAAACGGGAGGCCTAAATCCACACACATCAATGAGAACATTAAATGTAAATGGACTGAACACACCAATTAAAAGCAGAGACTTCAGAATAGAGGGAAAACACCATGCCCAAACATATGCTGTCTACAAGAAACTCACTTCAAATATAACAGGTAGGTTAGAAGTGAAAGGACAGTAAAAGATGTGTCACGCAAACACTAATCAAAAGAAAATTGTATTGGCTATATTAATATCAAAGTAGGCTTTAGAGCAAAGAAAGTTACCAGTGATGAAGACAGACATTACACATGACAAAAGCATCAATTCACCAATAAGACACAACAACCCTGAAAGGGTACGTACATCTCCATAACGCTTTAAGACACATGAAGCAAAAGCTGACAGAACTGAACGGAGAAACAAATTCACAACTGCAGCTGGAGACTTCAACAATCCTCTCTCAAGGAAGAGAAGTAGTGAACAATAGCAACAACCAAATGGCGTACATAGGACACTCCACTCAGGGCAACAGAGCACATATTTAAGTGCACATGGAATATTCACCAACAGGTCATGTCCTGGGCCATAAAACAAACCTTAATAAGTTGAAAAAAATTAGAAAGTATTCAATATGTTCTCTGACCATAATAGACTTAGAACAGGAAACCAGTAACTAGAAGACAACAGGAAAATCTCCAAATAATTGGAAATTAAACACACTTCTAATCAGTGTCAACAGAACTTTTCTGCTAATGGCCAGCAAATAAACACTTTATGCATTGTGGCAGCATAAAAATGGCAGTACATGAACGGCCATAGCTCGATTCTAATGAAACATCTTTTATGAACATTGAAATGAGTAGTATCCAATGACATAAGATGCCACAATTACTTATACACACTTAATTCAATTGGGTTTCTGTGCTTAAAAATGGAATATACTCTGAAAATTTGATGCTTACTTCTAGTCTGAATCCATTTAAGAACTAGTAGAAGAGTAATTCTCTTACCATAGTTAGCCCAGGCTGCATTCCAGCACGGATGGCCTCTATCTGTGTATGAGTGAATTGAATTGTATTCCTGCAAATAAGAGTTGATAAGAAATTGGTTAAACATAAAGGTGGATGATGCTAATAAGAATTTAGACAATGAGATGTCTGAACATTTGCTCTGTATTTGTCCCTGGTCTCCCAATCTCTTCTTCCTCCCATCCGACCCCTTTTTGTGGCTATGCGTGTGCAGCAGAAAGTACATAAAGACATACTCTTTTAAAACATTTTAAATGTACAGTACAATATTGCTAACTATAAGCACAAGCAGATCACGTGACTGACCCAGTCTATTCTGAAAGACTTTCTTTACCTCTGCCCCTCCCCAGACCAATTAAAACTGAATGAATCTTGTGGAAAAAAAAGACTACAGTTATTTTTCAATATGGTTAGCCCAGATCTTATCTGTAGTGTCAAAGTACTGGTTCCCCATCTACTACCAACACAATGCCACTTTATTACTCATGACACACACGAGGGTAGCTGCTAAATGTAACACATGGTCATGAAGTAAGAACCTGTGGTCACATTCAGGAAGATTGCTAATATTTCTTTTCCATAGTACCTGAAAATGTTTCTTTTTGAAATATTACTACACAATGGTAAAAAATGTCTGAACTACTGAGTCAACTAACAGAAGAAAAGTAGAGGGTACAGAATCAGAAGTTTCTTAAAATTTTCAAAGAATCAGAAAAACTTTCAAATACTACTAATCCATGTGAAATAGCAAACTATTGTCTAATATTATAAGTAGCAGAGGCAGTGAAATTACCGTTTGGGTTGGTTGTAAGGATAAGGGCCTCTATTAGGAATAACATGAGGTTCGACAATCAAAGTTTTTGCCTCCTCCGTGTCTTCATCTTCCCCATCAACATCTTTCCGCTTCTTCCCCTTTCCACTTCTTACTGGAAAAGTTATCCTACAAGACCAAAACCTTCGTTTATTTTCACAATTAACAACAATTTGCCAAGTACCTGCCTGTCTCATTCATGACACTGTACAGAGGACAATCATGAGCCAAGAATCATTTATGGTTTAAAGGAACTTTCTCTGCATATAAATTTCAAAAAAGTAGACTTAAAAGCACTGAAATGTGGTTAAGGGTATTTAGATTAAGAAAAAAGCCATCTGATTAAGGGAGAATCAAAGAAGAAACATTTATCTAATTTTTTTTCTATAGGAAATAACGTTTTTTTAACTGGGATAATATTCATATAAAAGTCACCATTTTAAAAGGCTCAATTCAATGGGTTTTAGTACATTCACAATGTTGTACAGTCATCACATCACTACTCTCTAATGCCAGAATATTTTCATCACGCCAAAGGAAACTCCCTGTCAATTAAGCAGTCACTCAGTATTCCAACTCAAACCTAGCCTCTGGCAATCAGTCTACTTTCTGTCTTTACATCAGACTATTCCGGTCATTTTGTGTAAACAGAATCATATGGTATTTGTTTTCTTCTTCACTTAGCTTCTTCACTTAGCATTATGTTTACAAAAGAAAATTTACATACTTAGAGCATATTCCCTGTAAAGTGCTTTACACGTTGTCCTTCATTTAATCAGTAAAGGCTTTATGGGAAAGCTAGTATCTAAAATAAATTTCAAAAGACATTCCAGGAAGAAACAAATAGCCAGTTCTACAGAAGTGTAAGATTCAGTAGAGAAAATTAAGGCTAGAGAGAAAGACTGGCACCTTGTTACAACACCTCTGGAATATCAAGCCTTTAAGGCAGAAGTTCTTAGCCTGGGGTCAAGGATATCCCAGGAAGCAACTCCCCATAGGTACCTGGTGGAAAGTCAATGAAAACTCTTAAGATTAAACTAAAAAACTAATTCTCTATTTGTACTTTTTCCAGTCTGTTCACATTCTGAAAAAAACAGATTAAAAAAAAGCTAAGAACCAAAGCAGCTAAGAGGTCAGTTTCTAGTCAGACAATGGAATGACTCTGGCAGTAGGCATCATATAATGGATTTAAGAAAGGCGACAAGAGGCAGGAAAGACACTACCATTACAAAGACTGAAAGTGCTGAGGATTTAGAGATTAGGGAAGTATGGAGGAAGACTCAGTTTGAGAATTTAAAAGGGTACATGTTTTTAATATGTATAATTATTATATTTATATTTAATGGTTAATTAAAACCTATATGTTCTAATTAGCAACTAAGAAAGCAATTAAGTCCTTTGCTAACATCCCAGGTATACTGAGTGCTTTGCCACTAGCTCATATGATGGAATTCATGAAGCATTCAGTACTTCATGTACTCTGTTCTTTTTTTTACTTAAACTAATCCAAAGCTCCTTTAATTCTGAGTATAACAATATTATTAATATTTAAAATTGTGAAAACAAATAGGGTTAAAAGAAAAAAAGAATTTTTTCCTAAAAAGCAAGAGTTCAAAATCACATGGCTCTTTATATTAATTAGGACTTATTTCTTCAGTCAAATGCTACAAATATATCAATATAATACTCTCAAACTGATCGCTTGTAAGACAAAGGCTACTTTTACTGTGGTCTTAAAATAGCTACTACACAAAGAATTAGAAATAGAATCAAATAAAATAAATTTATCCCAGTGATTATATGGGGAAGGTGAAAACTACCCAAACAAAATCTAGATATGATACTTAAAACTTATTTTAGCTACAGTCCTGATGGTCTCACTCAGAATGACTACAGAAAGCTTGGAAAGGAGTGTATCCAGTTTTGACTTTACCTGAAGGGGGGTATCTGGAGAGCTGGGTCATCCACAGTTACTTTAACATTATGACCAGGAAAGCTGGTTTTCAAATGTTCAATGGAGAGAAATGTATCATTGAAATCAAGGGTGGCAATCTGATTGGGCATTTTGGAATAATGTGCACTACTGGGATCCCCGTAACCCAAAATGATGTCGTGCAGCCAGTCAGGGACCACACAGTCAGTGTTCATCAGGTTCCGGATCGTCTCCAGCACAGCCTGTCAGAAGGACAAAAATGGATTTGTCAAGACATCTCAAACATCTGCACTTCAGTGGAATGTAGAGCTGGCTGCACTAATCCAGAATTCCCAAGTGTTTCAAGGCAAGAAGCTATTTTCTGCTGACAGGTGCTCGGCTAGACTGAATCAACAGCTATATTTCCAGCTGATACCATACACTGAGTTAAACAAAAGACCAAACTTAGCAAGAACAGCTTATCCATTAGGAGATCATTTAGACAGAATGTCATAGATGAGTTTATCACTTGACTTCTGTTGAGTAGGATGAAAATTTGATCAGTTCTACACAATAGCAAGAAAACATTATAGAACAAACCCTTGAAAAAAAAAGTCTCCTCTTAGAAATTCCTGGCGTTTCCCCTACCTTATAGCCTATAGTTCCTCATTACTGAGACCACAAACAACCAGAAGCACATTAATGTACGCCTTGATGGTGAAACACACCACAATTGAGAAATACTAAAATTAGCACTGCTAGAGATAAGAAATAAAAAATAAATGAACAATGATAAAAATGAAATGTCTAAATTTCAGAATGAAACAATTAGGACTACAATAAGAGGTCCCTGTAATAGTTAATACATAGTCAAAAGTAATGACTAAAAGTCAAGGCAGATTCTTAGACTTTCCAATAATTTTCAACAAAGTGATCTATGCAACATATGAAAATCAGAAGGTAAGGCAATTAATTTCAAAGAATAAAAAAACAGATATTTTTATATTATAAATGCTATGCATCCAAAAAGATAATGAAATAACAAGATAGTGTATGTTAATCACACTTATCTTATTTTCTTGCACTAACCTCTACCTAAAATTCTCTTAGTCTCATCAAAAGACAAAATAAGATTTAGCAAATAAATTTATTTCAGATTTAATCTATAAGTTAAGAATTTAAGAGATTTGTTTAAAATCAAAACAAAAGCAGTGATCATGATTTTAAATCTTTTTAAACCTAGTATCTGTGTAGTTATATCTTAAAAGTTATTCAAATGAAGACACAGTACTTTTAATTATATAGCCCACAAATTACCTTAAAGTTATTTTCCTTTGGTTTTCTTCTCATTATTACATTGAAAGTTTCATACACATCTTCTGCTCCATTTTGTATAGTATTGGTCATATCTTGTTGATACTGATTTGGATCCAAAAACACTCTAAAAGTCCTTGATTCTCCTCTAAGACTGGGTCTGGGTTCAGGTCCTAGACATTTTTTTTTAAAGTTTGTTAAATGAAATATATACATTTCAAATATCAAAGTAAGTTAGCAGTATTCCTTTTCTAGAAATGATGAGTAAAGTATTCAGACTTAACTGCAAGCCATTCCTCCAACTAGAATGACTTCCACTCATCCATTTCAAATTCCAAGCTGAAAAGAGTTTCTCCTTTCTCTAAATTGTTACTATTTCTTCCCAGAACAATCCTGTGATGTTGATGCCCTCAACTAGAATAGGCACCTTACAAGTCAAAGAACTTTACTTGAGTCAGTTACTCATAGCTCCTTCTGTGTGTGTGTGAATATGTTAGTTGCTTCAGTTGTGTCCAACTCTTCTTGCGACCCCATGGACTGTAGCCCGTGAGGCTCCTCTTGCAGGCAAGAATATGGGAGTGGGTTGCCATTTCCTTTTCCAGGGGATCTTCCTGACCCAGTGATTGAATCTGGGTTTCCTCCACTGCAAGCAGATTTTTTACTGACTGAGCCACCAAGGAATCCCCAAGGAGATGTTTCTAAATAGGGTTATGCTGGCATCTTGGGCAAGATAATTCCTTCTAGAAGACAGTTCTGCTTAGGTACTTAACATCCCTGGCCCCATCCATCAAACATTAATAGCTGACCATTGCCTCCCTACCCCAGTCATATGATATCATAGATACCACCATGTATTTTAAATCACAGGACAGTGTTGTTTCCATTTATGAGCCAGTGCTATCATGAATCAGATCAGTGAAACTTAAAAAGGAAAAATTAAGAAAATATATCAGTGAACAACTATAGGAGGTATTCAGAGGTTTTTAAAAGCAATAAAGTATCATAAAAGGAAGAGTTTTAAATATAGGCAATTTCAAAAGAGCCTGCCCAAAATCTAATACAGAAGTCCAGAAACCATATTATTTATTTCTAAAACTGGGTGGTAGGTACCCTACACATTTCTATATATATAATCCTTTGTGCTGATTTAGTATATAAAACTAAAAAATTACCTAGGATGCAAAAAGGCAAAGAAATTTATCATTATGTACACGTACACTTTCGAAAATAAAAATCCTCATACCGTCTTCAATGACACGCCCTTTATCATCTAGCATGCCCTGGATTTCACAGCCTCTGACGTAAACTAGGCCAACCTGCTCAATAAAAGGTCTTCTTCGGTCAAACTTGGTGCCATAAGGTTTTGTGGGACGCACAGTAATTAAAAAGCATACATCATGCTTCCGAAGGCCTAGTAAAACATCAAACACATTTTCACTTATTAGAATGCTGCTGCTTTCTGTCTTCCATTGGTAAATTCTCTTCCTTTTATCTTTGGAAAAGATATAAAAAACATTTAGAATAGCAGAGATGATCAATGATTATATTTACTTTGTAACACAATTATAATTTCCTATACCTTTAATACTCAATGTTTGACAGCAATAATTAAATAAAAGTTTCTCTTTATATTAAAATGAGAAAATTTATGCCATATATACATTACTGGATAAGTCCTCTAGATCATGTTACAACTCCAAAATTAGATGTTTGTCATCTTTCTTATTTCTAACATTCTTAGTAAGTAAACAAAAATATGGCTGGTATCTATATCATATTTAGCAGGTTTCTAACATCAGTTTAAAACTATCCATCAGTGTCATTTCAACAATGGTCTAACTGCATTTCACCAGAATAGGTCAACCCTAGAATAATTCATCAAGGCATGAAAGCACTTTTTACAGACAGCATCTTGAGGAGACAGCCAAATACATGTTGCTTCAGTTGGCAAATACTGAAATTTTCATAAGCAAATGTCAAGAAACAGGCGACTTGTGCCAAAGTCCATAGTTTCCCATTCATTAGCTCAAATAATGGATTTTAAATAAGATTCCCAACTCTATTAAAAGCAAACATACTGGAAGATGAGGGATTTTTATTTAGACCACACAGCATGTAATGCTACATGTCATTTTTTTTCTCATTCATTTTTTATTAGTTATTGTATAGTATGAATGCAAATATAAACATTTTGCTTGCTCATAACCTTGGTAACAAGATAAACAACTCAATCAAATCAGCAAATGTGAGTGTGGCTAACACTATTAGCACCATTCTGGTGGCTTCAATATGAAATATGGTTCAAGTGTGCTAGAAATAATAACTGACTCATAATAATGAATTGATTGCTTATTTCCCAACAAATTCTAGGCAATGAAGCAGGAGAACAATGAAAACGAAGGGGAAATGATCTACTATGTGAGTTGCACTGCCTATATAACTTCTGATGCACGCAACTCATTGAAACCTCCAAGTCTTAGAGTCAAACAGTTGGGCCTGAGAAGTAATTTTGTCTCTACCAATGTCACTTTTTTGCTTCACAGAGGGATCATGTGGGATGTCTCAGTCCACATTAAAAATACTTGTATTACAATAATCTCAACTCTTTCAACCATTTGCATTTACTCCATCCTGGCTCTGTCTTCTAGATATTTCAGTTTCATTAATTCTGTTTCTGTAATTTTAAATGGGGTAATGGAGAAGAGAATGACCTGAGCTTCATACTTTCTTGAAGAGACAATGATCTTTTATAGTATTTAGCTTCATTTCCGCAAAACTTTTGTTTTTTTATAGGACAATGCTCATTACTGTTTACAGAACTTCTCTCTCATTTTTTATTTGGTTGCTCTATCTGGAACCAATAAAGGGCCTGCATTTTGGCTCTGGCTTCCCAGAAAATACTCTTCTACCCACCATGCCCCTGTTGGGGTCCCAACTCGCAGGCACCACCTGAGCTCCGCCTCCTGCCAGATCAGCATTAGACTCTCATAGGAGTGTGAACCTCACTATGGTGAATGCTCCTTACGAGAATCTAATGCCTGATGATCTGATTCTGCATTATGGTGAGTCATATAATTATTTCACTATATACCAGAGTGTAATAATAATAGAAAAAAAAGTACACAATAAATGTTATGCGCTTGAATTATCCCCAAACCATCCCCCTACTACCATTCATGGAATACTGTCTTCCACAAAACCTGTCTCTGGTGCCAAAAAGACTGGGGACCACTGCCCCAAATAAATCACTCATCCCACAAATAAATCACTCATCCCACAATACCCTATTGTTTCTTATCTTGCCCATCAAAATTTACCCATTCTATTTCTCATCTGCCAGAGGTCCATTAAAAAAAAATAAGATGACTTGATGGCCTTCTGATTAGCAGTCTCCAAAGTAATGGAAGTAAGGGGTTCCCAAGGGGTTTGGGGTAAAGAACCCCTTTCCCCTTTAACATCATAATGAGAGCTTGTCTATATATCTCTACAAAGGGTCTTTGTTTCCCCCCAAGTTTTATTTCCAGGTATCACTAGTACTTCTAGGGGTAGCCAATAAGTTACTTCAGTTCATTACCCACTATGTAAAACAGTATTTATCTTAATACCTCCTTAAGCTCTAAGGAGAATAAATGTAAGACCTTCCTCAGCAACTGAATGCCTCTCTCACAGTTCAGCAATAACAAAAGTATACATTATTTTAGATGTGAAATGTGCCAGATTGGAACAGTTTTGAGGGATACAGGAGTCATAAAAACAATCTGTCACAAACTCTACCCACTACTGTGGCCATTTGTTAAACATCTGGCCAGCTCTGTTGCTGGATTCCTTCAAAATTACTTGACAAATATATCATGCAGTCCCTGAAGTTACAAATAGCTGTATCGAGAGCAGTAATTTCTGAAAACTGATCCATTAAGGGACTATCCCTTTCTTTCTGGCACGCCACAAAGGTAGAAGGCGATAAAGCCCACCAGCTCTGGTTTCTCATAACAGGGTAGTGAGAGCTGTCACAGACAGCTGGGAATAGAAAAATGCCAATTTAAATCAGTTTACAAGCCATTTCTGACATATTTTAACATTTAAAATGCTCTCCTCTCAGCTCTGCCAACTGCAATTTTTAAAACACTCTGATATGCATGCTATTTTATGCTTTTTAGTAAAGTATTAAGGTTATTTAATTACTATTCTGTATGATCCTTGGTGTTTTTACTAGTAATAATTATAAATCAATTGCCATTTTTTAAGCCAAACTTTAAATATAAAATTTAGTACACTTAAAAGGGCAATATTTAGTATATGTGTTTTTGCTAATGCTCTAAGCAAAAGTCTATAAAGTAAAAGACAAAAGGTAACCACTTCTTGAAATACAAAATTACCTTCCCATTCATCTTTGATGTGATCTCTGACATTCAGATTGATGGTAACATCCGCACGAACTCGGGTTGGCCAGTTTTCACCTATGTTGGGTTTAGCAACCTCAACCACTGTGAATGCCACAATGGGCTGGGCCATTCGTGCCCAGCCACCAAACACTACACCGCCATACTCTGATTGCCTAAAAAGCAGAAGCAGATGATTACTCAAACAAGAAATAACTTTGCCCAACTTTCGGACAAGTTAAACTAGTAACTAAAATTACATGTTTAGCTAGTATTTGATCCCTAACAATAATATGGAAATCTTAAGAAAAACATGTAATTTATATATGTAAGAGCTGAGCCATTTTGTTAAAGAATAAAATCATCCAGCATTCAGTTTTATATTTTGCCCTTTCTCCCTCTATAGATAGTTGCTCAGTTGTATCCAACTCTTTGTGATCCCATGGACTATAGCCTGCCAGGCTCCTCTGTCCATGGAATTCTCCAGGCAAGAGTACTGGAATAGGTAGCCATTTCCTTCTCTAAGGGATCTTCCTGATCCAGGGATTAAACCCAGGTCTCTCGCACTGCAGGCAGATTCTTAACCATCTGAGCCATCAGGGGATATTTCTAAAAGGTGTTTCAAAATGCTTTAGAACAAATTAGACTTAAAAAAACTAAAGATAAGCAAATGATATCTATGCAAATGATTTCTTTAGGGGACAATATTTAAGATATTGAAAAGATATTGCCATGAATGGGAGTGTGGGGAATAATCAAGCTAGGTCTAATAACGAGAACCACTAACATGTAAATACTCATTATTTCTTCTTATATTAGTGCTTTAGCTCTTACATTAAACAGTGTATTTGGGAACTTTGTAATATTAAAAACTGCAGCAACACTCCAAAATTGGAAAGTACTGCCTAAAATATGCTTACCAAGACAAAGAAAATCAATATCCTAAGGCTTTTGTAAATAACAAAAAATTGCAAAACTACATGACATCAAAGAGTGAAACTAATTAAAAATAAAGTTTGCTACTCCAATGACTTGGTTAGTACTGACACAATTTCTAAAAGGCAATGTGTGTGTATGTGTTAGTTGCTCAGGCATGTTCTACTTGGCGCTCTCATGGACTAGCCCTCCAGGCTCCTGTCTGTGGAATTCTCCAGGCAAGAATATCAGAGCGGACTGCCATTCCCTTCTCCAGGGGATCTTCCAGACTCAGGAACTGAACCTGGGTCTCCTGCATTTTAGGCAGATTCTTTACCATCTGAGCCACCAAGGAAGCCCCCTAAAAAGGCATTACCTTGAACATAAAAGCTTCTGTAATAATTTTCTATCACCTTCTCCATTCTTTACAACTTTAATATAGCTGATAGACCATAAAATTCATTCATTGTAAATGTGTAATTCAGTAATTTTCAGTAGATTTATAAAGCTGTTCATCCATCACCACAATCCAATTATAGAACATTTCATCATGCTTTAAAAGATACCCCTCACCCACTTGCAGTCAATCCTGTTCCTACTCCCAAGCAACCATTAATCTACTCTCTCCAGTTCCTTCCCTCTTTATAAAATCTACCTGCAACATGAGGTATTAAAAAAGTACAGATTTCTGACCCTCATAAGCACATCCTCTTATACTGCTCAGTAGTTTCAACAGGCTGAAAAGATGATTGGAACTGTGCAATGAGTAAAAATGCCTCTAATTTTCCTCCTTCAAGACATGAAACAGAAAGAAGACCCACCCTTTTAGATCTCATTAGTTTTAACAGTTTTCAATGATGGGCAGAAAAATAAATTTTTCAAAATTTAGAAAAACTTATTATCAGAAGTTATCTCCAAAAAGATGTATGTTCTACTCACAGAAAATAATGTAAGCTAAAAAAAATTACTTTACTAATAGACCATAAGAACTCTAAGTATTATTGCTTTATTTGGCATTTAAGTAAAGTGTAAGTGCATTCTACTTGATGAACTGCTAGCTATGAAGTCCCTATTTTGCAAAATTATCAAAATTTGGTCCAGAATCTGAACATATTAAGTGCAAGGTAGCCATAAATTGTAAGGCAGCTTTCTGATCAAGCACTCCCCCGGGGTCCAAACAATGGGCAGTAATTTCAGCAAAGCTGTGGGCAGAGATGATCAGCCAGAGGGTATACAAATTTCACAGTGCTGGCCTGCCCACTGACTCAACTGATTATTAAGTCAAAATATTTTATGCTGTGTTTTATAGTCTCACCCAGAATAACTTTCCACATAATAATTAATTAAAAAATAGAACTGTGTAGGAAATAAAATATGGAAGTGAAAAAAAATGGATCATAATCACAGAGTCCATGCAGCTCTCTGTAATTAGTCAGGAGAGAGGCCTGGGATACCTGAATCAGTTCACATTTAAAACACATTAAGCTTTTCACAAAGAATGCAGTATAATTATATATATGTCTGCATGGTATGACACTAATGTGATGAAAATTCATTTTAAAGAATTCATTTACTCATTTTCAGTCATTTGTGATATGTAACTTATCACCAGTAATAATTTCATACTTCAAATGAAACAGTGAATGAAGATCATTTACCCAAAGTCAGTCAAGTCTGAAAAGCAAAACTAATCTTCACAGATCTTATAATGCAGAACTGCCTACAACAGAATGAAAGGCTTTTCTTAGCTAAAGGAGTTCCAGACGGAAGCTAGCAGGTGGAAAGTCGAGTTTGGGTCAGAAAAGTTCCTCAAATAACGGAACCTACTCAACAGGCCCTAAAAGCGAGGGCTGACGATTCCATCTCTTTAAGACAACCTATGGAGGGAGGGCCAGGGAAGATTTTCTAATATTGCACTCTCTGCAAAGTTCAGCTATGCCCCTCATCTCCTGCCAGGTCCTTTAGAGAGGCTGACCGAGACTAGTGGTGACAGCCGCAAGAGCGGTTGGGGTAACAGAATACCCCTTTATCATAAGCTTCTCCCAGGACGTAAACTGCCCTGCCGAGTACAGGCCTGCTGGCCAGTCCATCCCCTTCCCTCTTTACCCTTTAACTAACGCCCGACTTATTCCCACTCCCACCCCACCTCCCAGAGCAATGATCTCTCCTGCTTTTCCCTCAGTCTCACTCCCAAGTACCCAGAAACATATTTTCTATTTTAGTATTTTGGATATATCTAATTCACATTGAAGAATTTCTCAAAGAGTAAATATTTCATATTTTAAAGTACATCTTCACGCCAGATGTATTATTTCTAAATACGTGTGAGGTTTCTGACAGAAGTATGTCAGCCACTGTTTGCATCTCTTTGTTGCGAGTGGAACCAATTTACTAACCATGGCTTCATTCTGCTGACACTATCCTCGATGTCCTGCCTAATTTCATAAGTTGATTCTAGGCGGAAGAGATTGAAGTTCCTTAGAAGGTAGTCATGAAGAGTCAAAAATTGCAAATTCAACTTGGGAAGAGCAAGACAACCTGAAAAGGAAAATAACATCCATACTGAATTTTTTTTTTTTCTTAATCAGAATCTGCTTTATATATATATAAAAAAACCCCACAAATTTGTTAAGAACCTAATTTAACAGTGTTTAAAATACAGCATATTGGAAAAGGTCTTATTTTTGTTTCCATACAGAAACTGAAACCAAGTTAACAAATGCCATATATTAAGATGGGGAATAAAGGATGAATTTCATTAATACATGTAATCTGTACATCTATGACTCATATGCAAACAGTGCTTCTAAATAGTGCTTAAAGACACTTAAAAGAACTGACACAAGGGTTCTAAAAAATTCTTTCCTTACCACCTAATTTACATTTGGCAAATCTCAAAGTAAATAATGCTACTATAAACACAGCCCATGACCAAATTTACCAAGGAAACTGAATTAGCATATTATGTTACATAACTCTATCTTCAGTGATCACCACTGTGCTCTGAACCTTTGCCTTTCTGATAGACTTTAAGGATAAGGCATTTATGTTATTCCTGAAGTTCTTTCCCTTCTCTGACAATATTAGTGAATAATATTCTTTCTATTACCCTCATGTAACACTATTTACCTTGGATAATAAATAACCAAGCACCCAGCACCTGCATCAAAAGGTCAAAAAAGAAGAACCCCAAAATACATTTCCAGTGACATAACTAAAGTTACATCTATAGCATTATTAGGTCTCCTTAAAACACAGCTTTATGGGCACATTTTATACAGTATGATGTGCGCGCGCACACACACACACACACACACACACCACTATTCATTAGGGAACGCTTAAGTTTAATAAAAATTCTTAATGCTAAGCATTCAAAACACTGAATAGTTTCTAGCTTCTACAGTTGCACCTGAGGGTACCAAAAAATTACCCTAATGTATGAAGAGTAAATCATGAGAAACGCTGGGCTGGATGAAGCACAAGCTGGAATCAAGATTGCTGAGAGAAATATCAATAACCTCAGGTATGCAGATGGCACCACCCTTATGGCAGAAAGCGAGAAAGAATTAAAGAGCCTCTTGATGAAATTGAAAGAAGAGAGTGAAAAAGTTGGCTTAAAACTCAACATTTACAAAATGAAGATCATGGCATCTGGTCCCATCACTTCATGGCAAATAGGTGGGGAAATAGTGGAAACAGTGACAGACTTTATTTTTTTGAGCTCCAAAATCATCGCAGATGGTGACTGCAGCCCTGAAATTAAAAGACGCTTGTTCTTTGGAAGAAAAATTATGACCAACCTAGACAGCATATTAAAATGCAGAGATATTACTTTGCCAACAAAGTAATAGTCAAATAGTCCGTTTGGTCAAAGCTATGGTTTTTCCAGTAGTCATGTATGGATGTGAGAGTTGGACTATAAAGAAAGCTGAGCAACAAAGAATTGATGCTTTTGAACTGTGGTGTTGGAGAAGACTCTTGAGAGTCCCTTGGACTGCAAGAAGATCCAACCAGTCCATCCTAAAGAAAATCAGTCCTGAATATTCACTGGAATTCATTCATATTCAGCTGAAGCTGAAACTCCAATACTTTGGTCATCTAATGCAAAGAACTGACTCATTTGAAAAGATCCTGATGCTGGGAAAGACTGAAGGTGGGAGAAGGGGATGACAGAGGATGAGATGGTTGGATGGCATCACCGACTCAATGGACATGAGTTTGAGTAAACTCCGGGAGCTGGTGACGGACAGGGAGGCCTGACGTGCTGCAGTCCATGGGGTTGCAAAGAGTCGGACACGACTGAGCTGAACTGACTGATACAGCAAATAGAAGTATGTTCAGGTACATATGATGACTTCCATACTAACTTTCACGTTACAGCTAAATGCTGTACTTCATTATCATACCTTCCCCAGAATAGTATTCAGTTGGGACAATATTTTCATCCCATATGATCTTCTCAGTTGGATACAAAGGCATCTGGTTCAACTGCTGAATCTGAGAAATTCGACGCTCATGACGAGATACCTAAAAGAATCAAGTTTAGGATCAAAGTCAGAAACATCTTTTTTTAATCAAAATAACTTATTAAAAAATTCACCATGACGTATGGAATGAGAAGTTTCACAATTTTCATAAAACTTAACAAGAGATATTTTTTCCTTTTTCCATGTTCTCCACAAATCAAATATGAAAGAGGTACTGATTATGGTGAACTTTGGAATTCAACAGATCTGAGTTTAACTCCCAGCACCTCTACTTACGGGCTATGTAGATGCTGGGCAAGTTACTGCAAACTCCCTGATTTTAATTTCCTTTTCAATAAAACAGATTAACTCCCCTCTTAGGTTTCCTATAAAAATGAAATGGAATCCTGTAAAACAGTGTCAAAGAGCTTGGCACATGCTGAGACCTTAAAAAAAGATAATGCTATAGCATACAGCACTCATTAATGCAAGAACAAAATGGGAATCCTAAGTTCTAGGCTATGGTTTTCATTCTTGTACTAACTGGTTAAACAATCTGGGTAAGTTTATTAATAACTTGGCTTCAGTATTTGTAAAATGAGAAAGAGAGAGCTGGACTTAATGACCTCTATGTACCCCTCCATTGTTAGTATTTTAGAGATCTATCTCAAATATAGAAATAAGTTTGTAACCTAGTTAAGAGATGCTAAAATAATATTTGAAAAACCTGTCACATACTTTTCAGTAGAGATATTATTGTTGTAGAAAAGAAGATACCATGCTATCATGTAAAGAATATGCATATCCTAACTTTTAAATTATAATTTGGTTGGATATTAGCAGAATTCAAAGCCTGTGAAAATGTTTTAAGAGAGGGAGAAAATGAAAGATAATGATATAGCACTATAAATTTTTAAAACTGTTTTCTTTTCACATAACTATTTAAATTTTAAGGATGAAATTTTAGCTGTAAGACCCTAAAGAGCATAGACAGGATCAATTTTATACTCAAACCAATTTTCCATTAGAAAGGTCCAGGAAAAATCCTCATTTCTTTCTATAGTAAGGATTTATTATTAATCTCCAAAACCTGACTTACCAGAGAAGATTTTACATTGTCAGAAAATAGGACAAGGAATTTTTAGAAAGCACTTTCAGTCAGAGACAATGAAAAGTGACTTGTAAGAAGGAAGGCAAAGAAAGTGACCCAAGACACAATTCATCCAAGTGAATATATGGATAAAAAGTATTCTCCATACTTGGTTAATTAAAAACCCTTCCCAAGAATTTCTCTCCAAATGGCATTAAACACCTGTCACCAGGCTTAAAACACCTGCTACAAATAGTTTCCTGTTACTACCCAAAAACAAGCATATCATCTTCCTCTTTACAGTTAGGAACTGTGTTTTAAACCTTATATTAACTTGAAATACATCTCAAAGCCATTTGCCTATTATTATGTGTAAAAAAAAGATATGTACAACACACCTCCATGCAGTGTAAGTTTATACAGGTATAAAAACATGTTTGAAACATACAAAAGACAACCCAATCTTATAGTAATCAGGAAACAAAGAATTAAAACAAGCTTTTTTTTAAAAAAAAAACCCATGAGACTGGCAAAACTGGGACACTCATAATACCCAATGCTGAAAAGAGCTGAAGGAGACAGACTTTAACACACTGTTGATGGGAACATACAGCTTCTGAAGGACAGTCAGGCTGCATCTTTTACCTTCTAAATAAGCACACGCTTCAATCAAATAATGTCACTTCTAGATACCTCTCCTAAAGGTCCACATCTGAGCACAAAGAGGCCTGTATTAGGACTACATTATTATTTGTAAGAGTGAACATTGCAAACAACCTAGATACTCATGGTAGGATATGGTTAAATAATTATCCTCTTTTGGAAATATCTTATGGAAGTTTAAAAAGTAAGGTATATCCATTTCCCTCAAATTTGCTGTGAACCTAAAACTGCACTAAAAAAAAAATAAAACTTCACAAAAAGCTTGAGTTAATGCTCAAACTAAGACTCATTTCCCAAAATGACTGAGGAAGTGATAATTTTCTCCATTTCTAAACATTCATGAATTCTCTAGTGATAAAGGTATGGTTTAATATTCAAGGTGCTATATCTAAGTGATGAAATGAAAAATAAACAGATAAATTATATGAATATATATGTGTATTATCCATGTATGTGTGTGTGTGAATGTAACTGTGATCACTTAAAGGCAGAAATGCTGTCGGTCATCTCTGTATCCCCAGAGTCTTTAATCCAGTGCTTGACACAGATGTTGCTCACAAATGTCTGCATGGAATGAATCCACACCAGAAAGCAGTTTTAAGAGGTAAGAGACTTGAAAAAAGTAGTCTAAGAGATTAAAAAGAAATCTGACAAAATCAAATGCTGATATGATCCAAACCAGGTAAGAGAATCTACCAATATTTTAGCCCAGAAAAAAATATCTCTACCAACCTATATCTTTAAGAATGATTCAAAAAACTAGGAAAAACATGCATAATTCAAGGAACACTAATATTTACCAACAATTCTAGAAGAAATCCTTTATCAAAAGTCGTGTCTTCAGCTTTAGGAAGGGTTGGTAACAAGCAGAGGTATGATGCCACCTGGTGGAGGGTATTGGAACTGCAGAATAAAAATATTGAGATCAGAATATTGTCTTACAATTATAACTTCACTTTTGAAAAGTAATTTTACAGGGAACAAATATATGAAATCAGATATGAATACTAAACTTATAATACAGACTTCTCAAAGTCTTCTGTAAACCTCTCATAGTCCTTAGATCTTTTCAGGGAGGCTTCAAGGACATTTTTTCATATTAATACCAAGACATTATTCAGGCTTTTTCCCACTGTCTTAACTTGTACAGTGACAGGAAAATGTGACGGTGGGTAAAGCTGGCGGCCTGGATCAAGGAAGTGGCACCATCCAGTGCTGTGAGTGGTCATGGCATTCCTGCTGCCACAGTCATTTTTTTTTTTAATTTATTTTTAAAATGTCCATGATGAAACAGCAAAGATTTATTAATGTTATTAAATTTGGACTTGAGTATCTGTTTTTTAGAAATTCTGTGTGACAGAACGGGAGGTATATCCTTTGCACACATGTTTTACTTGCATGAATGACTGACAACCTATGGTTATTCAGATTTGAATAAGAGCAAAAAATCTGATCAATAATAAACCTGTCGCTTCAATGAAAATAACAGTTTTGACAACTATGAATAAAGCTACTATATAAATCTCTGGACAGATTTTTCTGTGAATCTAAGTTTCCATTTCTCGTGGGTATGTCTGAGAACACCAGATCAAAGAGTCAGTGCATGCTAAACTGTGTAAGAAACTATCAAGTTTTTTCCAAAGTGGCACTACTACTTTGAATTCTCATTAGCAATATATAAGAATTGCAATTGTTCCACATCTTTGTTAAGAGTCAATACCTTGTTGCTTTTATAAAGGATTCTAATAAGGTCTATAGTGGTATCTCATTTTGATTTAAGTTTGCTTTTCCTGAATAACTAATAATGCCAAATGATACTAGTACCTTTCTATAGACTCACTGAAATCTATATATTTTTTTTGGTGAAGTATCTGTTCATATCTACAGCCATTAAGTTTTTTCTTGTTACTGAGTTCGAAGCTGTCTGGATACTAGTCCATTATCAGATATGAATTTAGCCAGTATTTTCTCCCAGTATGGGGCTTCTCTTTTCATCCTCTTAACAATGTCTTTCAAATGGAAATTTCAGATTTTGACCAAGTCCAATTTATCAGTCTTTTTCCTTTATGGCCTGTGCTTTGCTATCTATGGAAAACTTTGCACAAAGCACAATGACAAAGATTTTCTCCTATACTTCTTGGAAGTTTTAATTGTGATATTTATGCCTATGATTTATAGTTAATCTGTGTATATGATATGAGGAATTGGTCAAGTTTCATAGTTTGCATATGGATGTCCAATTGTTCTGGCACCACTGTTGAAATTAGCCTTTTCCCATTGAGCTGACTTGTCACCTGAGTCAAAAACCAACTACTCGACTCTATTCCAGTGATCTATGTCTACCCTGTTTTCAATACCACAATGTCTTGATTACTGTGACTTTACAGTAAGTTTTGAAGTTAGGTAGTGGAAATCCTCTAACTCTGTTTTTTTCAAAAATGGTTTTGACTATCTTAGTTCCTTTGCCTTTCCATATTAGTTTTAGAGAAAGCTTGGCAACTTCTGTAAAATTTCCTGCTGAGATTTTGACTGGAATATACTTACATCTATAGATCAATTTGGGCAGAATTCATATCTTAACAGAGTCCTCATTACAAGACCAATAAAGTTCTACATGCTTAAAGATGAATGCTATCTAGACTTGCAGTGATCAATTTCACAATAAATATAAATATTAAATCATTACATTATACATATGATACTAATATAATATTTTATGTCAATTACTCCTCAAAAAAAAAAAAAAATTAGGGCTCAGAAATCAGACAACCAACTACCTAGGTTCAAACCCTATAACCTAGGAAAACTGTATAAGTTATAAAAAAATATAAAAAAGAAAGCTACGACAAAGAAAAAAATTTTTTTAAAAGGTAAAGATATAAATTTTACAAAAAAGAGAGATGTATAATTATATTTAAGTAACCCAAAGATAAGAAAAGCTAGAGAGAAGCTAGTTTTAACTGTCAATAAATAGCAGTGCAACAAATAACATCAGGTAAAACAGTCCAAAAATAACTAAAAGCAAGTAAAGAAAATTAAAGTCCAGTTGTCCTTTCATACTGCCTTACCTAAGAGGTCCGAAAAACCTGACCAAGGATTCCCGAGCATCCACCTCTGCCACGTTGGAGAGGGCAAAATCATACAGCTCAGGGAAATGTGCAAAAGCAGCTCTCTAGAAAAGAACAGGGAAAAAAATTAACGCCGACATATAACACCTTACTGCCTAACAGGAAAAAAGTTTTTAAAGAGTATTAATGCACTTCTCTTTCTTACATGCTTCTGCAGTGTGATCTCTGCCTTGTTCAAAAGCACTAGGTACAATAGGAAAAGAAAACAGAATTGCTCTGGCAAGGGTGTAAAACCAGAGTCAATGGACAGTTTTTGATTTGTAAAGTCACATTTTGAATACAGATGATAAGAGCCAGGAAGGCCAGCTTCACTGACGGGAAAAGACAGAAAACAAAACAAAACGCCTTATGACTAAGAACCGGCTCAACAAACTAAAAGGAAGTCTCAAGGGCAAGTCCCACGGAAGAGGTGTCTGAGGGGCCTACGGCGTAGAGCGCACGCGCCCCGCTGGCCTCTGGCACTGAGGGAGGAGAGGCCCTCGCAGGCTAACACCTCCAGCCAGCACGGGGCAAGCTGCGAGAGAACAGAAAGAGCAGCGCCATGCTGATTGATTCCGTGTGAGAGGTAACGCCTCCAGTCCTTGATGCCGAGGGAAAAGACCCACAGGTTCTGCAGTCCCCTGCAGAGGACTGCCCAGAGGCTGCCGAGGCCACGGGTAAGGCCTGCCACGCGACCGCCACAGACAACGGCAGAATGAGCCTGCGTCAAGCCTGCAGGCGAGCTCCCCGAGCCAGAAGATGGAGGAGCCGGCTCGCAGGAGGACCCCGGCACCATCAAGGTCGAGCACTGGGACCCTGCCAGTAGGCGGACGACCAGCCTCCGAGAGGCCAATCGCTGCGCCCTGCCGGTGCCAAGAGAACAGCGCACAGCACGCCAGCCGCGGTCGCTCCAGGGCGGAGGCAGAGGAACAAAAGCACTGATGCTCCGAGAAGAGCAGGAAAGGCATCTGAGCTGGGACTGCGCGCAGCAGGGCAAGGGCCCTGAGAGAGAGTGGGCCCGATGGGGAAAGACAGTCGGAACCTAAGTCGGGTGTGGCTTTACACAGTCCCCACCCGCTCCCCGCAAAAGACTCTTTAAAAGCTTAGGATCTTAATTACCTTAAAGTAAGAAATGAAAGTCTTCTTCTTCCACCGGAGGGAATGGAGTCCACGAGCACCATGAGCTCAGTAATAAAAGCAAGCGTGCTTTGGGGGCATAGCTGAGCTGCACTGGTAAGTTTCAGCCCCGTTACACGCCTTTGTCTTTAAAATGTATGAAGTGTACACACATACTTTGGCAAGGTGAAATACTCTTTCATAAAATAAAGTTGATATTTAAACGCACCAAATTTGCCCAATAACTAATATTTTTGAGTGTCAAATATCAATATACTGATTCTCAAGACTGAGGACCATAAAAGAAACCTTTCTCTTTCATAAATCCATCAGAATTAGCAATATTTTAAAAATTCAAGATGAGCATCCTATTAAATAAGTACTTTTCCTATTTGTACTATATAAAACCTAAATTATTTATGACACAACTTCATGGAACAGATGCAAAGGCTATAATGCATTTCCCTTACCTGGAGAGAAGTAATTCTATCATAGTGAATAGTTGTCATCTCATTCTCTGTCAGAGCGTTCCCAGTCTGGTCATTAATCTCAAAACCAGTATAGAACTTAAGCATGTCCAAAAGCTGAAAGGATACATTTAAATTAACAAACTGTGCGAACATGAGAGCAAGAAGGCAAAAACAGACACTATTAAAAATAATAAATAAGTCCACAAACCTTCTTAGAGGTACCGAAAAGCCCTGGAATGTAAACACTACTACAAACATTTCAGAAGATGTACAAATGTTTTATTTAGGTGAGAATAAAGTATACACTGTGAATAAATTGTTAAGTCTATCTCATATACTTGGTCTACTTCTACAGGGAAGAACTTAAAACTGCAATCCCAATACTAAAGAAACATTAAGGAACTAATCAAAGGAAGTCAATCATTTTAATGGAAAAAAAGAATCTCTCTACATCACTGTAAATATATAGACCCGTACAATTAGAGGGAACTCCTGAGGGTTTATGCCACTCAGAATTCTGCAATTCTCAATTAGCGATACTCTTCTCTATATTGAGAAAAAAAAATAGCAAGGTAGGAGGAAAAGCTAAGTTATTCATTCCTCTCTTGAGTCTCCATGGCCATCAAGCCCTTTCCTTGGCTTAGTTCCTGCGACTGCTAAAGGCCTCCTTTCCCCCTGTGACGGCAGCATCAACAGAATCTGGGGCTGCATTTGCTCCCAATTTTTATTATTCTTAATTCTAACCTATAGCAGATCAGATATTAGGATTTTTTAAATCAAGTTTTTTCAGAGTATGGTTGATTTACAATGTTGTGTTAGTTTTGGCTGTATAGCAAAGTGAATCAGTTATACATACACATATATTCACTCTTCTTTAGATTCTTTTCCCAAATAGGTCATAACAGAGTACTAAGTAGAGTTTTCAGTGCTAAACAGTTAAGTTCTTATTACTCATACCCAGTGGTGTGTATATGTCAACCCCAATCTCCCAATTTATCCCCCCTCCCCGATATTAGGATTTTAATGTATTTTAATACATGCGACCAATCACTGGGTAAAATTTAGTAAGAGAATAGGAAAGAAAGGAATGCTCACAGACACAAGATAAGAGTTTTTAGGACAGTATGTAAATATATACAAAAATGTTATCTCCAGCTGTGATCACACCAAAGGCAAGTGTTAGAAGCTTGTTAGAAGACTTTCCTTCTGGATGACACTGTAGGAAACGGGAAACCTGATTACTCTGCCTTCCTAGACAAAGCAGGAAACCAAGTGCACTTGCCTTTCAAGTCAAGGCAGCAGACCAAGTAGATACACACTTCCGCTGTACCAACCGCCCGTCACTATCATCTCATGGAAAGAGGGCCAAGATATTAGGTTCTTTGCTAATATTTAATGACTTTAAATAACTTCCCCTGAAATTAATGCTTATCATTTATTTATAGTCCACAGTAGTCACTGACACAGAATCAAAATATATGAGCACGTGGAACTATAGCATACATAATTTAGCCCAATGATAACATCACATATTAACAAAAGTTTTATTAGAATTAACTATCCTCCTCAATTTTAATAATGCTGAATTTTTACTGTTTTAATAAAATGAGTATTTAGAAGAGAAAAAAAGATGATGATATAACATTAGTAGAGGCCACCTACATGAGGCGGCATCCACTTTGTACGTCAAGATTTGGTTTCACTTTAAAATGACTAATTTGGAATCTACATCATTCAACTAAATATTTAGCAAAAATTTACTTTGCGCCATGCCCTGGTACTCCCAGTTGCATGGCGAAGGAAGAAGAAATCAACTTAGAAATGAAAACAGTAAGTATATTCAGATACACAAATGCTTACCTGGGAAAAAAGATGGCCATCCTCTTCTCTACGAACAAGATTGGAAAGGTAACAGTGAACCAAAAGGTGGGAGTCATCCAGGATGGTATTAAACCAGCGTCTCGTGGGGAGTAGGGCCTGGAGAAAGTCATCACCACAGCAGTTAAGTCTGCATGCTCTCCCAGCTAGAGGTGAAGTCCACTGATACTCCGCACAGAAGTGTTAATCACACACAGAGCGCCTTCAGCCCCTCAAAAGACACTGCACAAAGCAAAGGGTCTAGTCCATGCTACAAATAAACTCAGTGGTAATGTTTCTAAACAAAATATAGCACTGGAGAAAAAAAAAATCTCAGATTCTATCTTGGCTGGTAGTTTTCAAACAAAATCCTATGTGAAATCCCAATATATACTGTGTGTAGTTTAGAAATGGAAAAAAGGGAGTGAAAATCCCTAACTGGAGATTCCTTTCTCAGTTTCTCCTTCCCACATCATCCTATGACAGTCAGCAAGACAATAATGGAAACTATGACAAACATGGTTCTGAAACCACTAATCTAGTCAAATACCCTCAAGTTAAAGGGGAGGTTATTGAGATCCTCAGAGATTACAGTTTCCGGCAGAGCTTGAATCTGAATGAAGATCTCATGAATGACAGCTAGTCCAATACTCTAATCCTCATGTCTAGAAACCACCCTAGCTCTCCCAATAAGAAATGAACAAAAAGGATTTTCTTTCAACTTCCTGCATTAAAAAGGGAGAGGAAATGAAAGGAAATGAATTCAATCTCAACTACGCCAGTTCTGCATCTGAACTTTGCATCAAAAACCTAGTAGCATGAAATTTTTTTAAAGAATTTTAATTTTAAAAATTGACAATAGCAAGCAGCTATATCTTTCATCATCAACAATATTAGGCACACTTAGAAAAGTGAGATGATTAAAAAGATGGCCATAAACCGATGACTTCAGCTCTTTTTAAAACTCTATGAAGGGGTAATTAAACATGACAGAAAATAAATTGCCCTTGCTGGACTCATGCTGATTTACTAAATAATGTTTTGAATACAAACACAGCCCTTTGATAGTCACTTGAAACTTTAAGAGTCAATCACTTTTGACTTTCTTCTCTATAAGACACTTGAAATAGGTACAAACTAAGGCCAGCTTGAGGTGATAAAGAAATATTTCATATATAGTCATGGGTTTAATCTTGCATATATAATCATTAGCTTCCTTAATGATTATGTAACAGAAAAATCACTGTACACTTCTTACCTCTAGATCAATCATAAGTTCAATAAATCTTTCACAGTAATGAACTTTGTCCATAGTGACAGGATCTAGACATAAGAGAGAAAACATATTAAAACTTTCTTACTTAGGTCATTCTATGGTACTGTATCTTAAAATTGGCAGTTATTTAGTTATTTAAATAAGGTTATTTATCTCATTCATCAGAATTGGACTAACTATGATTCAGAGTATAGACCTCACATATTTTCAAAAAGGGCAGGCCTTACCCTTACATTAAGCTCTATAAGGAGGAGAAAATGAAAACTATAGCTTGCATCAGAGACACATTTTAAAAATCAGACCTGCAAAACTATTTTTAAAGTGTTTATTTTTAAGGCCATTTTCGTTTTCAAAATAAGTACAACTCTGTGACATGATATACTTTCAGACTACAAATCTCTATTTTTTCCTAATGTCAGAAAATGTTCTGTTATTTTACCAGTTGAAATCATCCTGGCAAGACTGTTTCAATTGAAAAGGAGAAAAATTTAGGGTCCTTAGTCTAAGGACTCCCAGCAGTGAATAACCCAGTGCTAGACCTACAGAAGGTGTCCTACAAATGCTTTATTTGAATTTATTTAAATCTACTTATTCATTTGTTGTACATAGGAAAATAGAAGGGTTTATGTGAAGAAAGAATATGAATACTTTTTTAAGTAACACACGCCCATAGTTCAAACCCTAAAATAACGTAACTATAGAATTTTACGGCTAGAAAAGACCTCAGAGAACATCTTACTAGCCTTTCATCTTACAGGTGAGAACTGAGGACCAGAGGAAAATCATTTGATTTATGGCCAGTTAGAACTGGAATCCAGTTTTCTGAGACACAGCCTAGGTCATACAGTTGCTAAAACTAAAGAATTTAAACGAGTGACTTTTAAATTAAATCCATTCAAACTGGTCCTCTGCTGTATCTTCTGTTCTTATTACTGGCAAAGGAAAATAATTTTGTCCAAAATTTAAAAATGAGCAAAATCTGTATTCCATATTTTTATTTATAGCTTGAGAAAATTACTGGAAATGGCCTATTTAAAATTAGAACATGATGCTTGGCACTCAATTTCTGAGTTCTGGTGGATAAAGCTGCATATTTTTACACTAATTGGCCCTATGAGGCATGTTGTTCGAGCTGAAGCCCTGTTATTCCAATTTTGGACACCAATAAATTCTTATCACTTGCTTTTTGTGTGTACCGTGTGTTTTTTCCTTCTTTGATAGCAGCCCTGACATTTCAAATCATCCTACACAGATTTCTTTTATAACAATTGATGTGGACAGTTGTTTGCAATAACCTTGCAAAATGGAACTACAGACAGTCTTTTAAAAATTAGTTTTCTGTTTTCTAACTATAAAAACCATCTGGTTTTGTGCCCTTTCTAAACTGGCACACTATTTTCATCCCTGTTGTTTCCTTTGCCAGCAAGTTAATAAATTTTGATTAAAGCTCAAGATCAATCTAAGAAATTTTGTTTTCTGACAATATATTATGACGATGGCAACATTTAGTGCTTTGTTAGTCATTAACATTTCTGCAGGCCCTGTACTGTTATATTTACTTGGCTTTCAAACCTTTCTAGATGACATCAATTTTTTGAGGGTGCGAGGTGGTGGGGTGCTGCCTCACTTCACGGCTTGTAGGGTCTTAGTTCCCTGAGCAGGGACTGAAGCTGGGCCCAAGGGAGTGAAAGTGCCAAGACCTATACTGTGGACCAGGGAATTCCCAACCTGACACTAATTATTATACATTACTGGCTATCATTATTAATACTTGTGTCAAGGAAACCAAATCTAAGTCCTCTTTCCAGGTTCAAGGTGCTTAACTGAAAGATTTAAATATATAAACATTAGGTGACAGATTATAAGCATATGACAATTTTTTCTTTATACTAATACTGGTAGTAATATATCTCAAATCTGGTACCATAAATTAGCATCTGTAGCATTATTATCTATTCCTCACTGAATTACAGGTGTGATTTTCAGTTGTAAACTATTACTTGGGGAAAGTCAACATTTCTAAGTACACTATTGTTGTATTTTAGTTTAAACAAAGCTACAATCTCTGATCCATATGTATGGTATAACCTCTGGTGCATATAAATATGGTACACCTATTGAACTGTTCTTAGATTACATTTCAGTTAGAAAATAAAATATTAACAACCAATGATAACATCATACATAGCATACACATACTTTTATTAAGTAAACAATACCCTATTTGCACTCACTAGATGCTTATGTCAATCTTGCCAACCCAGCAAAATATAGCTAAATCCTCTTGGTACATCAAGCTCATACTCATACACACACACATATATGTATCTATATGCAGTGGATAATTGTGATATATTTTGAAGTTTATACTCCACATGGGGATCACGATGGAGGAAAATACTTGCCATTTCATCTTATAGCTCATATCTCAAAATAATTCTCCTCTTCCCCTCCTAAACAGTATTTGATATGGCTTGAAAACATTATTCAGTACCAAATTATAAATGCCACGTGGATAGGGTCTGTGACTCTCTTGTTTACCATGTCCCAGAAACCTTGATCTAAACCTGTGTGTTATAAGGAAACTCCAAAAATAACTGCTAAATAAATGAACATTTCAATAACCATGCTAGTGCCCTTAAATGATATGAATTTCTAAGGCAGTCACAATACTCAGACAGGTAGCATACTTGAAAAGGGAAGGACATAATCCCTTGTCAATGTAATTTAAAATCATTTGGAGAGCAGTTTTTAGACTAAATATAAATACCAGATGGGCATCTGAATGGTAACTTCACAAATGAGCTGAGAAAAGAAAGATCGTTACCAGAAAGCGGGACTGATTTCAGCACAGAGATAAACTTCTGGATGAGTTGTGAAAGAAATCTTCTTTCTTGATAGGCTCTAGAATCAGAGAGATAACAAACAGGGAGCAAGTTATTTTTGAGAAATAATTATTTCTAAAGTAAAACTTAAATGCTGAGCAGCCTTTCTTACACTGCTCAAATTGTTTCATTTCTTTCTGAAATCAGGACCATAATTTAAGCAGCTTCTTCTTTGAGAGAAATACAGCATTACATGAAGAAAACAGGAGCCTCATTGCTGGCCTAATAACCAGCCAAGAAAGCATCTCTGTCTTATTATAAAAGTTTTCACTTGTGATTTAAAGGTCAGGACTAGAAAGGAGTTTTCAAAATTTCATTTATAGTCTGCCTTCAACATTAAAAATCTAATACTTAAGTATGTAGTTGAAACGAGCAATTTCATACTTTAATATGCTTAAATTATTAAAGAGTACTACAATTTAAACTAATATAAATATTAGTTTAAAAAACAACTTTTTACTCATTACTAATTTAAGATGCATTATGTGCCAACTATTCAAAAACCAATCATCACATATTGGACAGCTACAAATGATTATGCCAGCCCTGTTGGGAATAACAAGCAGGGAAATGACTAAAATATACTTAAAATGACGACGTCATAAAACATAATCAGTAACACAAGCCAACATTAATTAGTCAAACTGCCTGACATTAACTGAGCACCTACTGCACTAGGATATGAGCTGTGTTAAGGACATCATACAAAATAATCTAATGCTGACAGCACTCCTACAAAACAGGTACTATTCTGTCCTGACCTCACATTGAGGCTCAAAGAGGCGCAGTAACTTGCCCAAACTTACACAGCAGGTGAGTGTGAAACCTAGGTAAGTCTGATCATAGAACTTACACTCTAAACAACTATACACAGTCTAATCATTACAAAAAGAGCTGATGTTTCAACGAAAAACACTGTGTGTTTCCATTCAGAAGCAAGCACTGCAGGCTTAGTACTTGGTCTGGAAGACTGCTTATTAAAAGGTTAGCCTCAATTAAGTCAAGTAGACGGGCAAAGGTAGTTAGGAAAGGAATGTTTAAGAAACGATGAACAGTTTATTAATTTGGAATTAAATCATACTGAGGTAATGGAAAGAGAGGTTTAAATTTTTAAAAAGTAGTCAAATAACACAAAGATATCATGTAAGTAGCCCAATTAAGGGGTTGTTGGTTAGAAAGATATCATGGAAGAGATGAGACTGGAGTCTGAAGTTAAAGAAAGGATATTCCTATTCTGACCCTGTTCTCCTGTCCTCATACCTCTCATTTCCTTATTCCCAAACTTGTTTCTCTGACATCCAGCTTTTTTCAGTTTCTCTCATTTTCAGTGATCACCAGCGCAACTCCAAGCTTCCCGTCTATCCTCAACTCTCTTTTCACAGTTTATATACTTCATTACATAATCTTACTCATACCTATGACTTCAACTGCTATCTATGGGTGAACAGAGTATTATCCTAAGTGGATGAAAAAATAAGTCAGAAGAAGTTATCATAGGCTCAAGAAGTGAGTCCTAAGCATATATACATAAGCAGAGGGAGGAAAAAAAATGAGTGGAAACAACACTTGAGGATGAAGAAAGAAAAAAGGATCATTGCTAGAAGAGTCACAGAGTAAATAAAGCAAGATCACAGGTAGACCAGTTAGCTTGAGAGAGAGAGAGAGAGAGAGAGAGAGAGAGAGAGAGAGAGGAACAAACCTCTTGGAGCAGGGGTCCCCAACCCTGTGAGGAACTGGGCTGCCCAGCAGGAGGAAAGCAAGTGGAGCTTTATCTGTATTTACAGCCACTCCCCATCACTTGCCTGAGCTCTGCCTCCTGTCAGATCAGCAGAAGCATTAGATTCTCATGGAAGCACAAACCTTGTGATCTAGGTTGTAAATTCCTTATGAGAATTATCCCTGAAACCATTCCCACTCCCTGCCCCGGTCTGTGGAAAAACTGTCTTCCATGAACCGGTCCCTGGTGCCAAAAAGTTTGAGGACTGCTGTCTTAAGAGTATACAGATTCTTCCCTTCCTTCCTACTAACAGAACTTTGTTTGATGACATAAATGCTTGCTACCAGACTTTTATCCAATTGATAAATACTATTAAAATAACCCACACCCTCATCTGCTTCCTTACCCGTTGTATACTTCATTTATATTCTTCCTTAGCATGAACCACTGGATAATATATCATAAAATCCATCTGTTATTAGCCGCTTCCCCCAACTAGAATGTAAACTCCACAAGAGCAGGAATTAGTTTATATTTTGTTCTATGCCATATTGCCTAGACCTATAATAGTACCCAGTAAAATAATAAACACTTAGATTTATTGAATAAATGAAGTGTATAAAGTGGAGTGTGTAAGTCACTGTTAAGAATAAAGGAATGGGAAAAAGAAAGAAAAACTGGACTGACAGCCTGAAGACTGTGGAGAAAATTGAGACCCATCCATGATGAACAAACCATGATGGACGACAGGCAAAGGGAAGACCAGTGATAACACTTGTGACTGGGGCAGAGATAAGGGAAAGGAGAAATGATGATGTGTGGCTTCTCCACTGAAACTCTGTAAATAGTATTTCTATGATGCTCTCGGTAAAAGCACTTCTTAATTGTAAAAGCACTACATAAAGGGAAAAACAAAGCAAGTCGGCAGCATCTAAGACTCACAACTCAGCATAACAAACCAACATGGAGCAAAGCTTTGGCAACATACTGCTCTCTTGCTTCTGGGTCCATCTTTTCATCATTCTTTTTGATCAAGTTCCAGAATTTCCTTAGCTTAGGTGTCTTTTTTAATTCTAATTCCAATCGTGCCTGAAAGAATGATGTGGCATTAAATCAGCCATAACCCCAATGCAAGAATATAATATAGCACAAATAGGATAAAACCAGATAGGAACGTGACAAATGCTGGAATCTAAGAAACTAATACCTACACTTTAAAAAACTAGCTCAATTCCATTACCTGTCAATAGAAAAAAAATTAAGACAAAAGAAATTTCTCATTAAGATTTTAAGCTCAGTAATAAATTTTCTTTCATATTTCTAAATTTCTAAATTTTCTCTCTTATTTCTAAAATTCAGGACTTCGGTTTGAAAAATATGAGCATTAACATTCAAAGTTCAAAAAGTCAGTCTGAAACAATGCACATAAAACAGCTATCATAATAAGGAAATGTCCATACCACCACTCTTTCTCACGGCACTGACGTATTTTTAAGTGAAGTCAGTCAGTCATGTCCGACTCTTTGCGACCCCGTGGACTGTAGACCACCAGGCTCCTCCATCCATGGGATTCTCCAGGCAAGAATACTGGAGTGGGTTACCATTTCCTTCTCCAGGGGATCTTCCCAACCCAGGGATCGAACCCGGGCCTCCCGCATTGGAGGCAGACGCTTTAACCTCTGAGCCACCAGGGAAGCCCATTGGTAATAATTATTTATAGGTGCCTGTTTTAACCTTCATCAACAGGTATCTATGAATGAGCCTGTATATCTGAATGTCTGCAAAACCACCCACGTGCAGGAAATGAAATTCTGAATACAGTATTATATAGAAATCTGAGTTTTAACTTAACTCCCTAAAACCTGTTAATTTGGCTTTGATACTCGCCCATATTATCCAATAAGACTTTGATGGAAAAAATGAAGTTGCTAATATTCAACATAATTCTGATGTTCTCCTATAGCTATATGTACATTCCATTCAAGGAAAATTAAAAATTCAAGTCTGTATTTAGTCTCATCCAAAGACATATCTATGAATAATAATATTTTACTAAATTAACTCCCTTTATGAGCTCAATAGATATTACCTTATTTCACCTTAAAATAATGACATTAGGAGAAACGTTTATTGGCTTACACACAAAAGCTTTAAAACTGAAAAAAAACTACACCTATGATTAGTTAATACATAGTAAATTAGACAAATTTGGTGGGGGAGTTTTAACTGTCATTTTATATTCATATTAAAGCTACACCATCTAAAACCACATGTTCCACTTACAAATACATGTAAGTTTCTGAACTGAGATACTTACAGGCTGTAAGCCCATCCACATTGGGAGAGAGATAAGCTGCTGTACTTGACTCCGTATCAAGTCTACTTCCTGTTTAAAACAGTCATGGGGGGGGAAATATGCCATCAATTCTTTCAAATTAACAATTTTTTCTTATTAAGAAGTTCAATCCATTTTTAAAAAGATAAAGCTAACCCTCATGATTTGCAAATTCCGTATTTGTGATTTCATCAACTTGCAAAATATATTTGTAGCCCTCAATTCAATACTGCCAAGGCTTTCACCGTCATTCAGGACAGCACAGAGCAAAGTGGGAACTGCCCAACACGCACGTTTTGAGCTGAGGTTAGACAAGGTGTGCTCTGCCTTCCTGCTTCAGCTCTCTTACACTAGCATCTCTTTTTGGTCTATTTAGTGCTACTCTCTCACAATATTGTGATTTTTGTTGGTGATTTTGCTATTTACAATGGCCCCAGGCACAGGGCTTCAGTGTTGTTCAGTGTTCCCGGGGGAAGAATGCTGTGATGTGCATTCTCTTAAAGAGAAAATACTGTGTGTTAGGTAAGTTTGTTCAGACATAAGTTACAGCATTTATGTAACATAAGTTACATAAGTTAAGTTCAACATTAACAAATCAACAACATAGTTGTTGTTGATCAACAACAAAGTGACTTTAAACAGAAACACATAAAATAAGGCTATACGTTGATCACCTGATGAAAACGTGACCAGAGGCCTGCATGAAACTCTCTCTGTATTTTCCCTAAGAGCAGTAGTTCAGTTTTAAGCGAATTCTGTGTTCACAGCTATTTTTTAGAGCATAACTACCTCAAATAATGAATACTGGTGGTAAACTGAAAAAAAGTACCAATAATAATAAGCTAGCTTTTAAGTTAATTAAACTAGCACCAAACTACCAATACTAATTAAATCTTGGTTTTGTTCCATTTCTGACAAGGAATCACATCTATTTATATTTGCTTTGTTTAATTTAATAAATGTTTTAAAGAGGTAATACTGAATATAAATCTTTTTCTGGTCTTTCCAAGACCCATGTGAGGTACTACATGGAAACAGACAATAACCATTCATGTATCAACACTGTTTTCAGGGTAAGAAAGAACCTCATGCATTATCCTGCATGGGTCTAAATGCACTATCAATTCAGAAGCACCTTTATACACACACACACACACACACACACACACACACACAGAGGTATATACCTATTTATTTAAAGATAAATACCTTCAGATAACCACCAGAGAGAAGTACAAATAAGATATTACTATAAATGTTTATTTTTTAGAACATAATCTTACAAAGAATGAAAAATGTATCATAGGCAACCCAAGAGATTTTGAAAGATCATCCATAATCACCCCTGAACAGTCAATTCAAAATGGAACTCTTCTGCTGACCTGCCAGGTTATGTATGAGGTATGACTGAGAAGTAAGGAAGCTATGTTCCTGTGTATAGTTTATGACACTGATCTCATTACTCAATGTTCATGTTAACAGACTCTTTGCTGCTCTACATTTGAAGAATTTCAGTTCTTATCATTTTACTTAGAAGCTAGATAGAAAAAAGAATGGATCAAGTCCAAATCTATTAAAAAGCAAACAGATCCTACAAGATAATTTTCCCAAGAAGAGGCTGAAATGTTAGCACTGTCCTCATTCTTCACTAAACTATGAGGAGCTTGCTGCAGAGCTAATCTCATTTACAGTCAACTTAAAAGAGTAAGAAAATCTGAACATTCTCCCAAAAGATAAAGTAAAATTACCAAACTATTGAAGCAGTGGTCAAGAAAAAGCAGTAAGACTGTCTGTTCGTGGAGTGAAAATTCACCATCAGTTTCAGCTAATGCTGCTTTCAAGATGCACTTGAAAAAGAATGGGAAGTGATCTGGCTTCTTCTTAAAAGTCTGAAAAGAGAAAGAATAAAAATTCATTTTTGAAATGGCTTGCTCACCCCTTTTGCTCCTGTAAGCGAACACTGGCAGATTTTTTAGAACTCTATTAACCAACTGTAATAATTATAAAAAGATTACTTGCTTACTTATAATTCACTGTGGCAAGTCAAATATAGACTTCTGACAGGGAAATGTGAGAGTTGCAGAAATTTTCAGCTAATAAAATAACGGCTTTGGTTCCTTTATTTTTTCTTCAAGTATTAGGCTGGTAAGTAGCTTAGGATTTGTTTCTTTATTAAAAATCTGAAGTGCTTCAGTTCTTTTAATTTAAACAAAGAAACATCTTGAGCAAAAACTGAAGTCTTCATATTCTATTTAATCTCAAAGACATCCTTTCCTTTATATTATCTCTTTACTCTTAATATACACATAACATTTTAGAAAGAAAAGACAAATAATGTGAACATGTTCAAGCTTCTCTGTGAGCCACCTCCCCATCTCTGTTACCGCTCTCTTCTTTTATAGGCAGGTGCTCCAAATGTATGCCCTACACTAGTTGTTTGCACTTACTTCTCTAAAACAAGTTTCCGTGTACAGCGCTCCCCTGAAGCTGTTATAACTGTCAAGTCCTGAAGACGCTTACCATCCCTTAACTCCTTTTTGATGTGAAGGTTTCTCTTCTTTGTCAGTTTACAAGGCAGTGTCCCTGGGGATCCAGCCTCATTCTTCTTCTCCCTCTCCCATTACTTCAGATACCATATGCTAATGATTCTAAATACACATCTTCAGTCCAGATTTCTTCACTCCTTAGATTGCTTTGTCTACTACAATTTCATCTAGATATTCCAAAAGCAATTTAAACTCAGAAAGTCCAAAACTCAATTCAACAATTTTGTACCCGCCAAAGTATTCCTCAACCCTCTTCTACCTATCTTGGTAAGAGGCACCTCTCATCTTTTACATTCAGTTGCCCAAACCTGGAAGGTTACTGAAAATAATATCCCCTCCCTCAAGCTACTTCAATTATCAAATCCAATCAATTTTACTTTCCAAATCTGTGTAACCTCTTCTCTTTATCTGTATCAACTCTAATCACCAAAGTGGTCTTTACAGCATGAAAACTGATGAGGTCATTCTCTGGTGTCCCTCTCCCTTCCTCTGGAGGTTTGAAGCAACTTTAAGAAAGCTCTAAGATTTCTCAATAAGACACAAGGCCCTTATACAATGGTAATAATGAATATTTGAGGATCCATGGATTTAATCTTAAAGAATGTTAACACCTTTTCATTTTGGAGACCACCCCCTCAAAAGAGATGGCAAGTATACACAGCTTTCCTTCATTTAAAGAAGTATGATTGAGGGGAAGGAACTCTTTTGATGAGCTGACCATTTCATAATGGCCAAAGAAAACCTAGATTTTGGACCTTTGTTAGCTGACCAAGTCTCTGTTACAGTAGTTCAAAGAGAAAATGTCAATTATAAATTTCAAAAGAGAAAACAGATCCCAAATCAGATAAAGAGAAGACTGAAATTACAATATAAGCACCTGTCTTGACTTGATTATTTTTTTTTACCATTTATTTTTATTAGTTGGAGGCTAATTACTTTACACTGTTCATCGCAGCACTGTTTATAATAGCCAGGACATGGAAGCAACCTAGATGCCCATCAGCAGACGAATGGATAAGGAAGCTGTGGTACATAAACACCATGGAATATTACTCAGCCATTAAAAAGAATTCATTTGAATCAGTTCTAATGAGATGGATGAAACTGGAGCCCATTATACAGAGTGAAGTAAGCTAGAAAGATAAAGACCAATACAGTATACTAACGCATATATGTGGAATTTAGAAAGACGGTAACAATAACCCTATATGCAATACTGTCTTGACTTTAGACATACTACTTTACTTGGGTAAAACTATAAACACATACTCTCTGTTGTGAAACAAGGCCCTGAAAAATATTATCTCATTGAACATTATCTGAGCTCAGTTCAGTTCAATCACCGTCATGTCCGACTCTTTGAGCTACTTAATATAAAATTTACTTTATCTGATGTAAAAGTCTTTATAATCCATGCCATTCTTTGTTTTAAGCACAAAGCAGAAAAATAGCTTCACATTAATAATTTTTCAATTCACAACATATTAAAGAAAGAACTAAAACCAAAAGAAATGTCATTGTGTTGGCCAAAAAGTTTGTTTGGCTTTCTCCATACCATCTTAGGGAAACCCTGAACAAGCTTTTTGGCCAAACCAGTATTTTTCACACATGCATTCTTTTTCTCAATATTTACTTTATTTTTGGATAAAGCCCCATTCTAAAAATGTTATCAGTAATAAAGCTACTTTGTGACGGCTTCAGCTAGCACAGCAAGAAAGCTACGAAGTAACTTAAATCTGTTACCTCCCATGCAGGGACATTTTCTCTGAATTTTTCATTCACCATGCAGCAGATCGACATTAAATAGGCTTTGCTGGACACTTCTGGAGAATAATTCATCCAGAGGTAATTTTCAAGATACTGGCTGTAAAGAATAAAAAGGCATAGAATATTTCATTAGTTACTACCATATCATTATATCACTCCCCTGAAAAAGTCTAATTACTTACACCTTCTTGAAAACCTGTATTTATAGTCTGAGAGTCCTTCACAAACTAATGTATAATGTAGGTCAGTCCTACTATTGCAAACATGTGTAGCAAATATGGCTCTGGAGAATGAGAGTCTTATACTTTCAAAGTAAGAAAACATCAAAGATTACTGACATGTATCATTATCACCATTAGAGCACTGGATATTTCCTTATCTAAGGTGCTTCACAGAGTAAAAAACAAAAATATCTGACAAATACCAGCTCTAAAATGATACAATGGACAGCTTCACAGACAAAAGTAACTGAGAAATGAACACAAACTCATATCAGGACCAAATGATTTCTGAAAACTAAGAAAAAGACTTACCCAAAAAGAGGATCTGTTACTTAATTTACAAGGCATTTAACATAAGTCAGTTTTCAAGGTAACTGGCATTTTCTTTTCAAAACATCAAAATTCTTATTTTAAGACTGGTGAAAACATTCCTAAACTAAGTAATTCTGATTTTCAGAACAAAACTTAACCATTTCTTGTTCAGAATAGTTATAAACTTCAATTACTGTCGTGGGCTGTAAAATCTTCTCAAGCACTAATGCAGAACACAGAACTTTTTTGTTTCTATTTTAAATCACTCCACATGAATAACTTTTCAATATAACTTTTCACTGACGTCTTCATGTATACATGCAAGCATGCACATGTGCACACACACAGCTGTGCATTTCAGATTGCCCTATAACAGAATTTTTCTACTTCCTCTTGAGCTTCAAAGGTCTCCTCATGTTGATATTTCCAAGGGTTTATCTTAGGAATCATTCTTACTGAGTTTAAAGAGCCTAGGAAACTGGTAAATAGTATTTTATCCTAAATAACTGCCAAAAGACTCCAAGTTATAGACTACTCTCTCATATAGTAAATGCATGAAACTTTGTATCATTCTTTTTTTACAAGTTTAAATTCCTTTTCCCTAAGTTATGCCCTTCAGAACTTCTGTTAGCAAGTCTCTTAGTATGAATCTGTCTGAAATCTGTTTATTTCATGCAGTTTAGCTGGTGACAGAATTCTTTCTTGGTCGATAGTTCTGTTTTTCTATTTACTAGACTCATTCAACTATCTTTTCTATTATTGCAATTGCAAAGTCTACAATCAGTCAATTTGTTCTTCTTCTTCTGAGTAATCGTTTTTCCTCTAGCAGATTTTAAGATTTTTGTCACTGTTGCTCTGTTCACAGATATACTTCCTGAATCTTACAGACTCATGTTTCAACTGTAGAAAATTCTTAGCCATCATCTCTTCTAAGTTGCCACTCCCTCATTTTCCCTAAATCTCTGCTGAAACTTCTAGTGGGCCTTCTCATTCCAGCCTCTGTATCTCTTAATTGCCTTGTATGCTTTACACCTCTATTTCTCTTTTCTGTTATTTGTTAATTTTCTCAGCTCTAAATCCCCATTCACTAATTCCCTCTTTAGCTGTGTCTAATCTATTCAATTTAACCCCTGAGTTTTTTTAATTTCAATGACTTTTATTTTCATTTTCCCCCAGACCTGTCCATTTTTAGTGTCTTTTTTCTTACACACATTCTATTTCTTCTTTTATACTCATAATAATTTTAAACATGATTTGACAGTATGTATATGATTTAATTACCTGTGGTTTTCTGAGTACCTAATTCTGCTCTTCATTGCTTCAACTAAATCTTACTGTAATGTGGCCTGTAATTTGACAGTCTGGACTCACATTCATCAGGGTTTTAGCTGTACCACTTTTTTTTGCAGTTTAGTTGGAATACATATCATTTCAGAGTATCTTTATATTTGATTCAGCCAGATGCCCCACAGATATCACTGGCTTGCCACAGTTTTTAACAGTAATATCATGGGTAATACCTGATTACACAGTCAATTCCAAACCTATTCTTTACATTTTTCAGATGAGGAGTCTGAGAATATGAGAGTCAATGATCTGCCCAAGATGATGCACTTATCTCTGTGATAAATAGATGATACAGACCATACTCCAAACTACATCTCTTTAAACCAAACTTAAGGACTGTTCACTAATTCCCTGATTCTATTTTGGCAATTGCAGCAAATGTAACCTATATAATGTAACCTATAACAACATGTCCCTCTGATGAGTTTTCTCAAGATTCAGTTCACTCTCCTATACCTAGACACCTTCTCCATGCCATCTCACTTTCCACTCTAGCAAGAGACCATCAATCATCTCTACTACAAATGAGAATTATTGTATCTGGAGGCTGGCACAGAGAAAACGGCATTTTCACCCAGAAATTACATAAAAGTTCTTGGAAGGTAACAACGCACTTTTTCAGTTATTAAAAATCTTTCACTGTCATTGGCGCCAAAATATGTTCTGCTGCTTTCTCCTTTGGTTCTTGCAATTCTCTTGGTATCTGGTATCTGCCAGGACTATACAACTCTGGTTTTACCCTGTGTATCAGCAACCACTTGACTTTTATTGTTCTTCCTGAAAGATGGCATGGTATGATGAAAAAGTATATTAATCTAAGGGTCATATGGATCCAATTTTTAGCCTAAGTGCTCTCTATAAAATAAGGAAGATCTCACTGGAACTATTATGAGGGTTAAATGAGATCAAGTATTTAATAACAACACAGTTCTTAAGATATAGCAGTCATTTCACTTACAAGTCAATTCATAGCTACAAACTTCAATTTTTCTCTGCAATAATAATAATAACACCTCAGCTCAGTTCAGATCAGTTCAGTCGCTCAGTCGTGTCTGACTCTTTGCGACCCCATGGGGTGCAGCACGCCAGACCTCCCTGCCCATCACCTACTCCCAGAGTTTACCCAAACTCATGTCTATTGAGTTGGTGATGCCATCCAACCATCTCATCCTCTGTTGTCCCCTTCTCCTCCCACTTTCAATCTTTCCCAGCATCAGGGTCTTTTCAAATTAGTCAGTTCTTTGCATCAGGTGACCAAAGTATTGGAGTTTTAGCTTCAGCATCAGTCCTTCCAATGAATATTCAGGACTGATTTCCTTTAGGATAAACTGGTTGGATCTCCCTGCAGTCCAAGGGACTCTCAAGAGTCTTCTCCAACACCACAGTTCAAAAGCATCAATTCTTTGGTGCTCAGCTTTCTTTATAGTCCAACTCTCACATCCATACATGACTACTGGAAAAACCATAGCCTTGACTAGATGGACCTTTGTTGGCAAAGTAATGTCTCTGCTTTTTAATATGCTGTCTGCTGCTGCTGCTAAGTTGCTTCAGTCGTGTCTGACTCTGTGCCACCCCATAGACGGCAGCCCACCAGACTCTGCTGTCCCTGAGATTCTCCAGGCAAGAACACTGCAGTGGGTTGCCATTTCCTTCTCCAATGCATGAAAGTGAAAAGTGAAAGTGAAGTCGCTCAGTCGTGTCCGATTCAGCGACCCCATGGACTGCAGCCTACCAGGCTCCTCCATCCATGGGATTTTCCAGGCAAGAGTACTGGAGTGGGGTGCCATTGCCTTCTCCGAATATGCTGTCTAGGCTGGTCATAACTTTTCTCCCGAGGAGTAAGCATCTTTTAATTTCAGGGCTGCAGTCACCATCTGCAGTGACTTTGGAGCCCCAAAAAATAAAGTCTCTTACTATTTCCACTGTTTCCCCAATCTATTTGCCATGAAGTGATGGGACTGGATGCCATGATCTTAGTTTTCTGAATGTTGAGCTTTAAGCCAGCTTTTTCACTCTCCTCAAGAGTCTCTTTAGTTCTTCTTCACTTTCTGCCACAAGGGTGGTGTCATCTGCATATCTGAGGTTATTGATATTTCTCCCGGCAATCTTTTTTATTCTAGCTTGTGCTTCATTCAGTCCAGCATTTCTCATGATGTACTTTGCACATAAGTTAAACAAGCAGGGTGACAAAATACAGCCTTGACGTACTCCTTTACCGATCTGGAACCAGTCTGTTATTCCATGTCCAGTTCTAACTGTTGCTTCCTGACCTGTGTACAGATTTCTCAGGAGGCAGGTCAGGTGGTCTGGTATTCCTGTTTCTTGAAGAATTTTCCACAGTTTGTTGTGATCCACAGAGTCAAACGCTTTGGCACAATCAATAAAGCAGAAGTAAATGTTTTTCTGGAACTCTCTTGCTTTTTCGATGACCCAACAGATGTTGGCAATCTGATCTCCGGTTCCTCTGCCTTTTCTAAATCCAACTTGAACATCTGGAAGTTCACGGTTCACGTACTGTTGAAGCCTGGCTTGGAGAATTTTTAGCATTACTTTACTACCTTAATTTCGAGGTGAGTGCAATTGTGTGGTAGTTTGAGCATTCTTTGGCATTGCCTTTCTTTGGGATTAGAATGAAAACTGACCTTTTCCAGTCCTGTGGCCACTGCTGAGTTTTCCAAATTTGCTGGCATGTTGAGTGCAGCACTTTCACAGCATCATCTTTTAGGATTTGAAATAGCTCAACTGGAATTCCATCACCTCCACTAGCTTTGTTCGTAGATGCTTCCTAAAGCCCACTTGACTTCACATTCCAGGATGTCTGGCTCGAGGTGAGTGTTCACACCATCATGATTATCCAGGTCGTGAGGACCTGTTTTGTACAGTTCCCCTGTGTATTCTTGCCACCTCTCCTTAATATCTTCTGCTTCTGTTAGGCCCATACCATGTCTGGGCCCATTATTTGCCCATCTTTGCATGAAATGTTGCCGTGGTATCTCTAATTTTCTTGAAGAGATCGCTAGTCTTATGCCATTTTTGTGAGGATCAAATCAGTTTATGAAGGGAGTTGTTGTTTTTCGGTCTCTAAGTAATGTCTGACTCTTTGCAACCTTGGACTGCAGCACATCAGGCTTCCCTGTCTTTTACTATCCCCCAGAGTTACAGTCATTAAAACAGAGACTGACTTCTGATGCAGACTATACCTCAAGAGAGTGTGGAGAAGTGGAAAAACCATGAACTTTGGCATCGGACACTGGCAGCCTAGCTCCACCAGTTACTTAAAACACATTATCTTGAATAAATTACTTAACTGCTCTGATCTCAGTTTTTTTCCTTCACTATATGGAAAGTATAATGCTGACTTTTTGCAGGATTGCTATGATTGCTCTATATATAAAATGTTTAACACTATGTCTAGCATAAGGTTCAATAAATGAGAAATACTACTATCATCAACAACAATCTTAGCTTTTACTTCCAGTCTACTGGCCATACCTAGCTGTAATATAATCTAAATTATAATCTAAAAATTGCATATCCTCTTCTGCCTGAAATATCTGTAAATGGTTTAGGTCAGGACAAGGTTGGTTTGGTAATAATAAATAAGCTTGGAAGGAAAAAAATGGCTATAGAATGCATTCCACTTTACTGCCATTGTAACTAGAGGAACCAAGTAAGAGTTCAGAAATTGCTTAGCACACCCTATCTTAATTAATGAGAAACACTTCAAAATACAGTTACTCTAACAATGGAACAACAGCCTTGAAAACAAAAGATGTCATACACATCCAAAATAAGCCAAACACAAAAATATAAAACTTCAAAAGTCTATAGTAATTATTTTCTTACCAACTCACAGAAGTGTACAGAAAACCTAGTTAAAAGTTAAGTCATACTGTCATCTTTAACATCATCAAAGTAAAGTCTGTTAACTCACCTAAATTCCAAGAGCATTATCTTTCTGATGGCAAACCTAAAAATATAAAAGTCAATAGTAAAAATATTTAAATAGAGAATATAACATTTCTAAGTTACTAATACAGATGTATTCTGGAATCTTGTTTTAATACTGCCTCACATATCAGAATAATTATGTCCAATAAAACACTGAAGAAAGCAAATTTTGCTTTTATATATTTTTATTTTGTTCACTTTATTTATTTTTAAAAACTAAGAAGAATTACATCCTATTCATATAACAAACACAATTAGCACCACGACATACAAGTATATAACACACAAACTAATAAGCCGAGTAGATTTAATAAAAACCAAGTTCACATCAATATTCATAATATTGGATCACCGATATTATTGGATCACCATTGCCAAAAGCTAGTCTGCCTCAATTTCTTAAGCACTAATCTTCTTTCATTTAATGGTAATCAAATGGAAACGTTCTGCTGAAGTCATGCCTGCCTTCCTATTTAAAGGACACAAATGTGTATTACAGACATGTCATGTAGTTTTGATATTAAGTCTAAAATATTAGAAAATTGTAGAGGCAGAATCAGATATTTCTGTATATACTTTAAGAAACAGAAGTGTTTGTTTTATATGGATAAATGGTCCTGCAGTTACAGGGTATCTCTGCAAAGATAAGTCCAAATGTCCACTAATGTAGCTTTATAATTTTGTATATTAGAAATAAAGTAGCCAGACCATATGCATGCCACTGGATATAAGCTTCCAGCTTTGCAAATTAAACTTGCTGAGACAGGTAAAGAGCTTAACTAATGTTTTATATATATATAAAAGATATAAAAATGGGTCTAGAGATTAGACATACCAGAAAATCTTTAAAGGATGAAAAGTTACAAGTAATAAAGACAAATATTACTTATACAAAGTTTGTTAAAAGGTTGACAAGGACTTGACATGAACTTCTGAGCTATCTACTCCAGATTGATTGTTAAACAGAAGATTAAAAAATCAAATAATATCGGTGAACAAAGGAAGCCAGCCACAAAAGAGTACATATTATGTGGTTCCTTTTTTTTTTACAGTTTAAAACCAAGCAAAATTAAACTACAGTATTCATGTTTGCATATTTGCATATTTAAATGGTAAAGCAAAGGGGCATACAAGGGAATCCAGGATGCTGACAATGTTGGTGTGTGTTTTTTTTTAACCTCGGTGGTGGTAAAATTCAGAAGGCTATACATTTCTGTACATTTTATGCATTATCTATTAATTTCATTGTAAAGAGGCTTAAACATTTTTAATGAAAAGAAATCTAAACACTGGCAAAAGTAAACTGCTCTATAAGTTATCCCTTTTTCTTCAGTATAAAAATCACTTAGATGGATTCATAATTGGATTAACAATTAAATCACAGTGTATGGGTTAAGAGAGTCCTAAAGAGCAAACGGACCCTGTCCTATTTAAGAACAAAGTACTGGATAAGAGCCAGAGAACAAGGATTTAATAACTGGCGCAGCCTCTTTATCTACCTATGGTAAAATATCTTGGGCTAGTTACTTAACCTCTCTGTACCTCAATTTTCTCATCCATAAAAGGAAGATAACAGTTAACGTGTTGGCTCACATGTGATACACCTTAAGAGAGGACTGCCTGATCATTCACTCTAAAGTGGCAGTCTTTGTCACTGTACCCTGATCCCACTTTAATTTATAGCACTCACAGCCTGCTGACGCTACATCTGCATATGTTATCTGTCTACGTAAGAATTAGAACATAAGCTCCATGAGTTAACAACATGAGACTTTACTTGCCATGTTCACTCATGTACCCTTAGCACTAAAGTGGTGGTTGGTGCTCTAAGTAGGCTTACCCGAGTCCTCTATTCATAACTCTACACCTAGATACCTAACTGCTTATTCTACATCTATAAGGCTCTTTAGTAGCTAGAATTCAACATTTCTATACCCAATTCCACCACCAACAACAGCAAAAGTCAGGAATGGCAGCTAATCATCTGACTACCTTGGCCGAAAACTTTGTGGAGTCATCCTTGATTCCTCCCTTCCCACACTTATCACATCCAGCCACCAACCATCTTTTCACTTCCCTCTCTCTCAAATTGGTAACTCCTCTGTATCTCACCTTCCCATGCTAATCCATGCCATTATTATCTTTAACCAGACTACAACAATATTCACCTAGCTAACTACCTGACTCTGGCCCCCTCCAACGGGGGCATTTTTCAAATACCACCATCAGGCTTCACTGGTTTCCTACTGCTCTTTAAATTTAAAACAAACAAACCTTAACATGGTCTTTGGTCCTGTTAGGACCAAAGGCTCTAGAATCAATCGGGCTCAAGAATCAATCATTAAAACAAAACAACCAGCCTCTTATTTTGACACTGTGTTTACAATATTTAGTAAAATTCACCCCCTAATTTCATGGAACACATGAAAAAAATAAAATCTGCCATTTTATAAGGTCTATGACATTCATAACATGAATGTTTCCATTTCATACTAAAACAGTTAGTCAATTACCTTTTAAAATACTGATTGGGCATATATGTCTACAGGTGCAAATATGGAAAAACATCCAAGACACAGTTTTAAAAAAATCACAGGGGTAGGGAACTGAAACCCATGTATATATAAATAAAGACACTGAGGGTTAAGGGTCAGGGAAGAAGATTTACTGAAACTTACCCCCTTCTGTGTATTGTTCAAAATAATTTTTTATTATATATATAGCTTGTACAAAATATGTATTTCATTATTTGGTATTCAATTATCATGTATATTTACTTTTCCAATTTTAAAATAATCTTTTGAAAAGATATATCAGAAAATGGTAAGAAAATTAGTATTAACTAAACTGAAAATTTAAAATCTCCATGTTTAATCTTCCTCACATCCTTCAAAAACAAAATAAACCCTAAAGAATGTAATCTCTCTAATCTGAGTTAAAAATTACAAGGCAAAGAAATATCTTGACTCTCCAGCAGCTAGACGTAATTTTTCCAGCTACCATCTCCTTGATGACCAAATCAAGAAAGAAAAGAAAGTTCCAAGTTTATAATTACATTTAGTTTAGAAACTCAGATGAGATCCAAGTTAGAAACAATAATTCCTATGTATAAAAATTAAACTTGTTCCTACCTTGATTTGACAATTTCTTTCTCATATATATCTTCAATCACCTGTTGTTAAAAATATAAAAATGTTTAATATCTCAAATTTTTTTCAGACTCTGAGAGTTTTCAGTTACTGAGATTACACAAAACAAGTTGTTTCGGAAAGTTATCAAATATTACTGCCAGTGAAATAATACTTGAGAGATATTTTTTATAATCCCATTATATTCCTCAAAATGTAAAATAACAAGAAAGCGAAGGAGTAGAAAAAATAAATATGTCTACATAAAAATAATCATAGAAATAATTATTAAAATGATGTATTTATTTCATTTCTAGGGAAAACAAAAATTCACAAGATCAGGATAATTTTTAAAACATAGTTTTAACAAAGTATACTAAATGTTACCAGGCTTCATCTAAGAGCTTTAACAATGTGTTTTCAAAAATTAGAAAGCAAACTAAAAGCACAAAGAGACAACAGAAACAAACGCCAATCGTTACATTCTGTTTTCCAAATGCATGATAAAACCTCAGATTTCCACTTAACTTGGGTTAGGGTAGGTAAAATGGTATGATCCCTAAGAATTCAGGTTCTGGAGTTGGAAGCCTGATTCAAAGTAGTCACCTTCACTGCTGATGGCGACAACCTCTGCAAGTGCATGACTGCTACTAAGGCTGTTTCCCAGTATACAAAAAGGATCTAATTATACTATTAAGTACCCCATGGGTTTGCTAAAAGACAACACACATAAGGAATTCAGCCCAGGTCCTTGCATATGGTGAGCCTTTAATAACAGTTAACAGTAGCAGAAGTAATAGTAGTGCTAGTGATGAGTAGTTTAAAAAAAAAGTTAAAATTAAGAAGCGCTTTAACATGGTATAATATAATTTTATGGTAACCATGATATCCTTTAATTGCTCAGAGTATATCTGTCAAATAAATGCTTGTGGGTTGTAAAGGCAGGAAGACAATGAGGCAAGCAAACCTTGAATTTACATGAAATTTCTGTTTTCTTCTGCTTTCTTTTTATCAAAATCTAAATTATTAAAAAATAATAAAATGAAGGGCATAATCTTCTTTAAATACCAAGTGAAAATAAAAATAAAATTTTTCTAAACAGGCATACATAGCTTCATCTAGAATTATCTCTAGTATTAACTAAAATGATCTAAATGGTTAACCAAAATTTAATCTCTAAAAATCTTGATCTAATTAGGTTCAACTCAATCTAGTACCGTCATGAAGATAATTTTGTCATCAATGGAAAATGACTCAACAGATACAACATATACAAGCATAAACATATACAGACAACATAAAGTAAGATAAAGCAACCTGGCCAATAATTAAGAGTAACTAATGTATATCAAGTTTAATATCTTCCTAATGAATAAAATGGGATTGCTGGCAAAACAAATATATTTATAGATAAAACATTTAAGCTCAAATAATAAGAAATTTGGGGTTGAGTTTTACTAAGAGTGCCTAAAGTACCACAATTCGATTTATAATGGCAAAGCTTTATGTCAGTCTTTACTACATGTTAAGTGGCATGCAATATGTCAGCTCTATTATATTTCACATCAGCTCTCTTTAAGAACCTATTTCAGTAAGAATTAATCTTACGTTTAGGCTTTTTTCTTTTCAATTACTCTAAACTGTGTCACATGAATCCTAAGCCCATTCAATACACTAAACAAGTCACCCCTCTTCCACCATTATTGCAGATCTTCATTGCAGTTCATCAACCAGAGAACAATAGATTCTATCCTAGGTGAACTGTCAAAAAAACTGTAGGAAAACTTCTGTATATTTACAAAGACATTCATTACATGGTCATCTAATAATGATAAATCAAAAACAATCTAAGAATCTATGAACAGGAAAATCCACACACACTTTTTAAAACGCTTAAAGGAAACACAATAAATGATAGTAGAGGTGATCACTGAGTAATGATCTTTTATTCTCCTATGTGCAGCCTCTGTATTTTTCAACTTTTCTCTTAAGAGTAATCATTAGTTTAGAAAACCATTCATTTTAACTTTAAAAAAAAGTGAAAAGCTTTTGATGAATCAGCTGTTGAAAAAGAGACACAAAGAGCATACTTATTCGAAAAGGATGCTGCAAATCAAAAGTACTTACCTTTATATCAAAGGGTGACTTTTTCTTGATATGGGGTGCCCAATATTTACATGCTAACTGCAAAAGTAAACAGTATACATAGTAAGTCATATATTCATACAGCTGTAGAGCTAAAAGACCAAGATCATTCTGTAACAAGCATTCCTGACACAGTGCCACGCTGGATAAGAGTCATTTAATTACTAAGGGGACTACATGGGCTTGCAGACCAGTGAGCATCTTCGGCCACAATCTACTGACTGTCAGTAATACCCTGCATGGCACCCTGCTACTGTGATTTTAAAAACAAAACAAAACATACCTTTTTATTACCCCTAGGGGAAAGTTAATAACCACAGTCAAACATCTTCAGCATAGAGCTAAGGAAACCCAGGTTTAGAAAAATTAAATGAGCTGCCCACAATATATAACAAGTGAGCTAGTATTAAACACCAGATTCAAAGTCCTCAGGAATGTTGATGTGCAAAACAATAAATCTTTAAGTGATTAGCACACACTCAGGAGGGCTGCCCTGGTGGCTCAGTGGTAAAGAATCCGCCTGCCAATGCAGGAGTCAGTCAGTTTAGTCGCTTAGTCACGTCCAACTCTTTGCGAACACATGGACTGCAGCACATCAGGCCTCCGTGTCCATCACCAACTCCTGGAGCTTGCTCAAACTCATGTCCATCAAGTCAGTGATGCCATCCAACCACCTCATCCTCTGTCGTCCCCTTCTCCTGCCCTCAATCTTTCCCAGCATCAGGGTCTTTTCTAATAAGTCAGTTCTTCGAATCAGGTGGCCAAAGGCTCCAATGCAGGAGACTAGGTTTCAATCCTTTCGTCAGGAAGATCCCCTGAAGAAGGAAATGGCAACCCACTCCAGTATTCTTGCCTGGGAAATCCCATGGACAGAGGAACGTGGCGGACTCAGTCCACTGGGTCACAAAAGAGTCGGACATAACAATAACAGTAGTCTATTACGTGGAGAGCATTATGTCTCAAAAGAAACAATGTACATACTTTAAGAATACTTTATTGCTAAAAAATGCTTTCCATTAAAAAAGTGAGATCACAGAATTCAGATCTCTGATCTTCTTTATAACTAAGATTTAACGTCTACACCTCATTCACTCAATAATCATTAGAAAGCACCTTCTCTGGTTAGGTGCACCAGGCGCTCAGAAATCATGGAGGCAGGGCAGGGAAATGGTACTGTCCCTACATGCTCTCTGTCTCCATTTCTACCATCCTTCCTTTCACAAGTTTGCTCTCCTGGCTTCTTTACCTACACGCCATAAGGCATCTGCACTTGCTTCTCCCCAGACTGTTTCCCTGCTCTTCCCCAACTGGCTCCTTTTCTGGCATTCTGGTCTTAGGTCAAAAATCACCTCAGAGAGGACCTTCCTGACTGCTTTTATACACTCCATCTGCTTTGTCACAACGCCGTTTCATTTTCCTGATAGCAATAATCACTGTCTGAAACTACCCTGTTCATTTACTGACTCATCTCTAAACTGTAAGCTCCCTGAGGGGAGGAAACTAATAACTTCTACCAAAAATTTCAAGTATATGTGAAAAGAGGGTTCTAATCTAGTCTGGAGCTATGACAAACCTAAACAGCATATTAAAAAGCAGAGACATCACCTTGCTGACAAAGGTCCGTATAGTCAAAGCTATGGTTTTTCCAGCAGTCACGTATAGAAGTGAGAGTTGGGACCATAACGAAGGCTGAGCGCCTGAGAACTGTTGCTTTTGAACTGTGGTGCTGGAGAAGACTCTTGAGGTCCCCTGGACAGCAAGGAGATCCAACCAGTCAATCCTAAAGGAAATCAATCTTGAATATTCACTGGAAGGACTGATGCTAAAGCTGAAGCTCCAATATTTTGGCCATCTGATGCGAAGAGCCAACTCATTGGAAGACTCTAATGAGTATTCCAAAGATCCAAAGACTGAAGGCAGGTGGAGAAGGGGTAACAAGAGAATGAGATGGTTGGATGGCATCAGTGACTCACTGGATATGAATTCAACCAAAGGGAGGTAGGGAAGGACAGGGAAGCCTGGTGTGCTGCAGTTCATGGGGTTGCAAAGACGCAAAAACCTCTCCAAATTACTGTAGATTGATGACAACGAATTAACCATATAAGAAAAGGGAAGGGGGTAGGGGTAGCGGGTAGGGGGGCGGAGAGGATTAGGATTCTAAGTAGAGGGAACAATGTTGAAAGGCCAGGGAGTGAAAGATAACACAGCAAAATTAAGTGCAGTTCAGTATGGCTAAAACACAATTAGAAAAGGGGAAATAACAGACAAAACTGGATATAAGCACAGGCTAGATTATAAAACACATTGGATGATTCCAGTCATTATCCTAAGGGCAATTAGAACTCATTAGAAATTGTAAGAAGATAAGTGAGGTGATCAGCTCTGTACTTGGGTAAAATCACTGTGACAACAATATGAAAAATGAGCTTGAGGAGAGCAAGTGGAAAGACAGGAACACAGGTTAGGATACCTAGGTCCAGGAAGAAAACCATGGAAACCTGGCTTAGGGCACAGAGAGCAGACAGATTTAAGAGACACTTAGAATGTAGCAAAGTGCAGGCTAGAAAAAGAAGGACTCAAAGTGACTCCTATGCTTCTGCCTTGGCAAACCTGCTGAGACAGGGCACAGAGAAGAAAGAAGTTGGTGAGTAGTAAGTTCTACTTTGAGCTACTTGCACTGTTAGTCAATACCCCAAACAACAAATAAGGATTAGGAATGTTGCTAAGAGCTACCGGGGTTGTATTTCCCTGTTCAAAGCCAACCGCGGTTCACAATAAAACACAGTAACGGGTTCTAGAGGAATACTCACGCATTAGCGTCGGAGACTGCTCTTCCTAGACGCCTTTATTTGGAGCAAGTCTCTTGTCTGATTCTCATCACTCCGCTCAAAGATCGAGGTTACTCTAAGGAGAAGAATAAGCCTATCCCTCCTTCAACACTCATTTCAGCATCACCTCTGCTACGAAATCTTGCCAGTCTCAGGTAGACTGGGGTATTCCTTCTGCGAATTCATCGCTCCAGAGACAAACTCTAGCATGAAAGCGTTCTTTCCATGTTTCTGTATCCCCTGGAATGTGAACTCCTCAGGGCAGAGCCTCTTTAACCACGGTTTCCCCAAGAGCTAGTACGGCGGCTGGCACCCAGCACATACACTTTAGTAAAAAGACCTGAGTTAATGAATTGATGAACAAATGCCTCCTGGGTGCTCCCTTCCCGAGGAAAATTCCACCCCCTGGCCTCACAGCCTCAGAGTCCTCATCCCTTCACACACACACCAGACTCGCCCTAGCCCACCTGGGTCACGAACTCCGCGTTGATCTGGGACACCGTAGGGGCCACGATTTTCTTGGGCTGAGCAGGGGCCGTCATGGCAGCACTCTCTCCGCTCCAGTGGAAAAGAAAGGACCGCTCCGAGCAGCGGTGAATCCGATGAACTTCCCCTAAGAGGCGATTGCAGCTGCCTGATTCCGAGATGCAAAAACTCGGCGGGGCTCAGTATTCTCACGGTTTACGGTCTCACTGGGAACGCGTACCGCAGCTGGTACATTCTTCGGGAAGCGGAACGCAACAAGGCCGGAAGTGCATGCGAAGTGTCGGCTCTGAGCTAGAGAAGCAAGAGCTGCGGCCTCTCCCGCTTCTGCCCCCTAGTGGGAAACCGGCAGAAAGACACCAGAGAGACTGGATTGATGTCTCAGTGGCCTGATAGACGGTGTTGGTGGAGGTTTTGTTGTTAGCGTTGGGAAGGAAGAGGGAGACTTGGGATTTCTTTCAACCCTAAAAAAAAAAAAAAAAAAAAAAAGTAGTAGTGAAAAAAAATTAGACCGGGAGGCAAGGCTTGATTTTAACGTTTTAAACCGATTCATGGAAATATAAATTAGTCTATAAGGAACTGCACATATTTTGTGTGAAATCTGATCTTTTTTTCATAGGCACACATCTGTGAAGCCGTTACCAAAGTCAAAATAATAAACATATCCAGTGTCTCTAAAAGTTTCCTACTACTCCTTTGCGATCCATTCGCATCCCTCTTCTACCCATCCATTCGCACTGATCTTTTTGTCACTGTGCATGCTAAGCCACTTCAGTCGTGTCCGACTCTTTGCGACCCCATGGACTGCAGTCCACCAGGCTCCTCTGTCCTTGGGATTTCCCAGGCAAGAATACTGGAGTGGGTTGCCATTTCCTTCTCCAGGGGATCTTCCTGACCCAGAGATCAAACTTGTGTCTCAGCATCTCCTGCACTGGCAGGTAGATTGTTTACCACTGAGCAACCTGGAAAGCCCCTCTGTCAGTAAAGAAAAAGGTATATACTATATTATTTCATTTTTGTAAAATCCTATTAAAAGTATATTAACCTACAGATTAATATATAATGTATATTAATGTATGTTAATCTACAGTCTAATCTATTAATTACAGATTAATCTACTAATCTACAGATTAATATACTTTTAATAGGATTTTACAAATATGAAATATGTACCTTTTTCTTTCTTGTTTTTCACTCAACATAAGGATTTTTATTATTTATTTATCTTACTGGCTGAGCTGGGTCTTTGCTGCTGTGCTTGGGCTTTCTCTAGTTGTGATAAGCAGAGGCTATTCTTTTTTGCAGTGCACAGGCTTCTCTTTATAGAAGCTTCTCTTGTTTCAGAGCACAGACTCTAAGCACACGAGCTTCAGTAGTTGTAGCATCTGGGCTCAGTCGTTGTGACTGGAAAGCCCTAGAGCATGAGATCAGTAGTTGTGGTGCGTAGGCTTAGCTGCTCCAGAGCACGTGGAATCTCCCTGGACCAGGAATTGAACCAGTGGCCCCTGAATTGGCAACTGGATTCTCATCCACCGTGCCACCAGGGAAGTCCAACATAATGATCTTGAGGTTCATCCATGTTGATGCATGTATTAATAGTTCATTCCTTTTTATTGCTGAGTAGTAGTCTATTTTATGGACATAGCACTGTTTGTTAACCTACACATCTATGGATGAGCATTTCAATTGTTTCCAGTTCTTGACTGTTCCAAATAATGCACTAAGAGCATTCTTAATGTAGACATGTGTTTCCCTTTCTCAAGGAAATACCTAGGAGTGGAATAGTTGGGTCATATGGTAGGTGTATGCCTAAATTTTTAAGAAACTGCCTATTTTCTTAAGTAGTTGTACTATTTATATTCACAACAGCAGTGTATGAGAGTTCCAGTTCCACTTCTTTCTCATCCACACTTGGTATAGTCTTTTTAATTTTTGCCATTTTAATAGTTATGCGGCATATCTCATTGTAACTTTAATATTTATTACCCTAATGGCTAATGATGTTGAGTATCCCTGTGCTTCTTTGCCATTCACGATTGTGGAATCCTCTATTCAAATTGTTTGCCCAATTTTTAATCGAATTGCTAGTTTTATCTTATCATTGAGTTTGAATGCATACTTCTACCACTAACAAATCCATTCAAAAATTAAACATGTGCCTCTAGTAAACCTTGCCTGGATTACCATAGGCAAGAAACTGGTAACACAGTTGCCTCTAGGGAGGAAGTACTCGGGGAGGGAAGAACAGGAGCAAGGGAAGTCTTATTTTACATTTTATACCCTTTTGAAACATTTGAATTTTGTAATATCTATAGCCTTGTTTGAGAATAAACAGTTGTGAAGGAAAAACAAAAGTGTCTGTAAATATGAAAATTAAATATGGAGTCCTTTTCTTCTCCTAATTTCTATGGTATAAAGTTTGTTTTTAGAACTAAAGATGATTTGCATGATCATAATTTTAAATGCAACAGATTTTGAATACATAAAGTATCTAATTACACTTTAATTACAAATAAAGTCTATAAAACAAAAGGTAAAATAAGATTTTCTGAAAAGCTTTTATGATGAGAGTTGAAAGGTAGAAAGATTTTGACAATCAAAAACATAGGGAGGGATATCAACACATTAGAAGGCAAATTCATTCCAAGAGTGAATGAAAGGCTCTAAATGAAAATAGAGATTTACAGATAATATAAGATCTGGTAATGATGACTCCATTCATTTCTTTCTTTACATATTCGGTATACATTTGAGAATGTACCAACATTAGATACTGTTTTATTTATAAAACATAAAATCATGCCTTCTCTTGGTTTCCAGAAACATGTATTGCTAACAACACTTTAACTCAGTGGTTCTCAAAGTGTAGTTTCAATACAGCAATAACATAACTTGTTTAAGTGCAAATTTTCAGGCCCAGCCTCAAATACTGAATCAGAAACTCTGAGGGTGCAGCTCACCAATCTCGCTTTTAACAAGCCCTCTAGAAGATTCCAGTGCATACTAAAGTTTGAAAACAACTAATCAACAGGGACAATTAACATAGTTAAGAACAAAAAGCAGTGGGATCCCTGGAAATGGAGTGCTCTGGTAAATCAAAAAGCCTTCCAGAGGAAGAAGTGTTTAAGCTTAAACTTCAGAGAATGAACGGAAGTTAGTCAATACAGATGTAAAATAGTATATGTTCCATGTTGTTTAATAACACCGTTGTACCACTTTTCTTTTTCAGTTTAGTTCTCTTTTTTCCTGTAATGGAATTCTGTTTCTTTAATGGAATACTGCTAATAGAATTCCAGCAGTTAGCCCTGAAATTCTAACCCCTCCTAACTGACAATAAGAGAAACCTCAACAAGAAAGGAATTAGTGTGTCCTTTCACCGCTTCTGAAGAGCAGCTCTCTGCATGAAACAGTCCCAGCCAACATCACTTCTAAAAAGGATTCTTAAAAGACAGGCAGACTTCAAACATGGTGCTATCCCCTAAAAAAGTGTGCAATTATCATCGGTTATCTTACATAGTGTAAATTGAAATCTGATTTCTGCACATTTAACTTTAGTTTCCTTGCATAATGATGGAATAAAAACAAATGAAACCTGGCTCAAATAAATCTCTAATTTGAATAGAGTATGAAAGTTTGTATCTAATTTAAATTCATATTATGTAGGTAAGATCAGTTCAGTCAGTTCAGTTGCTCAGTTATGTCTGACTCTTTGTGATCCCATGGACTGCAGCACGCCAGGCCTCCCTGTCCATCATCAAATCTCAGAGTTTACCCAAACTCATGTCCCTTGAGTCAGTGATGCCATCCAACCATCTTATGCTCTGTCGTCCCCTTTCTCCCCCAGGCTTTAATCTTTCCCATCATCAGGGTCTTTGAGGTCAGGTCAAATGATTCAGCGCTTCGCATCAGGTGGCCAAAGTATTGGGGTTTCAGCTTCAGCATTGGTCCTTGCAGTGAACACTCAGGACTGATCTCCTTTAGGATGGACTGGTTGGATCTCCTTGTAGTCCAAGGGACTCTCAAGAGTCTTCTCCAACGCTACAGTTCAAAAGCATCAATTCTTCGGCACTCAGCTTTCTTTATAGTCCAACTCTCACATCCATACATGACTACTGGAAAAACCATAGCTCTGATTAGATGGACTTTTGTTGGCAAAGTAATGTCTCTGCATTTTAATATGCCGTCTAGGTCAGTCACAGCTTTTCTTCCAAGGAGCAGGCGTCTTTTAATTTCAGGGCTGCAGTCACCATCTGCAGTGATTTTGGAGCCCCCAAAAATAAAGTATGCCACTGTTTCCTCATCTATTTGCCATGAAGTGATGCAACTGGATACCACGATCTTAGTTTTCTGAATGTTGAGCTTTAAGCCAACTTTTTCACACTCCTCTTTCACTTTCAGCAAGAGGCTCTTTAGTTCTTCTTCACTTTCTGCAATAAGGGTAGTGTCATCTACATATCTGAGGTTGTTGATATTTCTCCTGGAAATCTTGATTCCAGGTTGTGTGTGCTCCATCCAGCCCAGTGTTTCTCATGATGTACTCTGCATATAAGTTAAATAAGCAGGGTGACAATATACAGCCTTGACGTACTCCTTTTCCTATTTGGAACCAGTCTGTTGCTTCATGTCCATTTTTAACTGTTGCTTCCTGACCTACATATAGATTTCTCAAGAGGCAGGTCAGTAGTCTGGTATTCCCATCTCTTTCAGAATTTTCCACAGTTTGTTGAGATCCGCACAGTCAAATGCTTTGACATAATCACAAAAGCAGAAGTAAATGTTTTTCTGGAACTCTCTTGCTTTTCTGATGTTGGCAATTTGATCTCTGGTTCTTCTGCCTTTTCTAAAACCAGCTTGAACATCTGGAAGCTCACGGTTCATGTATTGTTGAAGGCTTGGAGAATTTGGAGCATTACTTTACTAGAGTGTGAGATGAGTGCAATTGTGCGGTAGTTTGAGCATTCTTTGGCATTGCCTTTCTTTGGGATTTGAATGAAAACTGATCTTTTCCAGTCCTTTGGCCACTGCTGAGTTTTCCAAATTTGCTGGCATGTGGAGTGCAGCACTTTCACAGCATCATCTTTCAGGATTTGAAATAGCTCAAATGGAATTCCATCACCTCCATTAGCTTTGTCAGTACTGCTTCCTAAGGCCCACTTTACATTCCAGGATGTCTGGCTCTAGGTAAGTGATCACACCATCGTGATTATCTGGGTTGTGAAGATCTTTTGTGTGTGTGTGTGTGTGTGTGAAGATCTTTTTTGTATAGTTCTTCAGTGTATTCTTGCCACCTCTTCTTAATATCTTCTGCTTCTGTTAGGTCCATACCATTTCTGACCTTTATTGAGCCCATCTTTGCATGAAATATTCCCTAGGTAGCTCTCATTTTCTTGAAGAGATCTCTAGTCTTTCCCATTCTATTGTTTTCCTCTATTTCTTTGCACTGATCACTGAGGAAGGCTTTCTTAGCTCTCCTTGCTATTCTTTGGAACTTTGCATTCAAATGGGTTTATTTTTCCTTTTCTCCTTCACTTTTTGCTTCTCTTCTTTTCACAGTTATTTGAAGGCCTCCTCAAACAGCCATTTTGCTCCTTTGCATGTCTTTTTCTTGGGGATGGTCTTGATCCCTGTCTCCTGTACAATGTCATGAACCTCTGTCCATAGTTCATCAGGCACTCTATCAGATCTAGTCCCTTGAATCTATTTCTCACTTCCACTGTATAATTGTAAGGGATTTGATTTAGGTCATAACTGCATGATCTAGTGGTTTTCCCTACTTTCTTCATTTAAGTCTGAATTTGGCAATAATGGAGTTCATGATATGAGCCACAGTCAGATCCCGGTGTTGTTTTTGCTGACTGTATAGAGCTTCTCCATCTTTGGCTGCAAAGAATATAATCAATCTGATTTCAGTGTCGACCATCTGGTGATATCCATGTGTAGAGTCTTCTCTTCTGTTGTTGGAAGAGGGTGTTTGCTATGACCAGTGCATTCTCTTGGCAAAACTCTAGCAGCCTTTGCCTTGCTTCATTCCATACTCCAAGGCCAAATTTGCCTGTTACTCCAGGTGTTTCTTGACTTCCTACTTTTGCATTTCAGTCCCCTATAATGAAAAGAACATCTTTTTTTGGTGTTAGTTCTAAAAGGTCTTGTAGGTCTTCACAGAACCATTCAACTCCAGCTTCTTCAGCATTACTGGTGGGGGCATAGGCTTGGATTACCATGATATTGAATGGTTTGCCTTGGAAACGAACAGAGATCATTCTGTCATTTTTGAGATTGAATCCAAGTACTGCATTTTGGACTCTTGTTGACTATGATGGCTACTCCATTTCTTCTAAGGGATTCTTGCCCACAGTAGTAGATACAATGGTCATCTGAGTCAAATTCACCCATTCCAGTCCATCTTAGTTTGCTGATTCCTAGAATGTTGATGTTTACTCTTGCCATCTCCTGTTTGACCACTTCCAATTTGCCTTGATTCATGAACCTAACATTCCAGGTTCCTATGCAATATTGCTCTTTACAGCATCAGATCTTGCTTCTATCACCAGTCACATCCACAACTGGGTGTTGTTTTTGCTTTGGCTCCATCTCTTCATTCTTTCTGGAGTTATTTCTCCACAGATCGCCAGTATCACATTGGGCGCCTACCGACCTTGGAACTTCATCTTTCAGTGCCCTACCTTTTTGCCTTTTCATACTGTTCATGGGGTTCTCAAGGCAAGAATACAGAGGTGGCTTGCCATGCCCTTCTCCAGCAGACCACAACCTGTCAGAAGTCTCCACCATGACCAGTCCGTCCTGGGTGGCCCTACACAGCATCGCTCATAGTTTCCCTGAGTTAAACGAGGCTGTGGTCCATGTGATTAGAGTGGTTAGTTTTCTGTGATTGTGGTTTCAGTCTGCCTGCCCTCCGATGCCCTCTCTCAGCGCCTACTGTCTTATTGGGGTTTCTCTGACCTTGGACGTGGGGTATCTCCTCAGCCGCCTGCCGCTCCAGTGCCGTGCAGCCACCGCTCTTATGTAGGTAAGATGGAATCAGGAGTAACAAGAACATGTATTGGAGGAAATAACTTTGTTCCTTCAGTACAAATCTGGAGAGGGAGGCCAGTGAGGAGGATAAATGAACAAGATATCATGTGATGTGGAAGGGAGTTAACATATCCTTTTGCAAGTGATAAGAAGCTATCAAAGAAACTTACTATAAAGAAGGAAGCAAACGATGAACTATGTTAGAAAGTTCAGTGGAAAAGGCAGATTGGAGTGGGCCCAGGAGTGTTTGCCTAGAAGTACCTTGTTTCTATTCTGTATGATCTTCCCTTTTAAAAAAAAGTCCAAACTGTACAATTTCAAACTTTAAAAATATTCTGAAATTTGAATTCTTCAAGAATCTTCATCTTTCCCTCCACATACATTTTCTCCTAATAGGCCCCGTGTGTGTGCTCAGTCACAGATGTGACCCCATGCACTGTAGCCTGCCAGGCTCTTCTGTCCATGGAACCTTCCAGAGGATACTGGAGTGGGTTGTCATTTACTACTCCAGGGGATCTTCCCAACCCAGGGATCAAACCCATGTCTTTTACATTTCCTGCATTGGCAGGCAGATTCTTTACCACCGTGCCTCCAGGGAAGCTCCTTATAGACCCTATGGCAGTACAAAACAATAATTCCACTAACTCAGTCAAACTATCTCAGTAAATAAATAATCATGCTACAGCCTGCTCCTGTCCAAAGGAAAAATTCTTCTACTTTTGTTTAAAGATATTTAATACTTTATTTTTTTCAGAAAACCGAAGTAATTGATTCAACAATAATAACAGTTTGAGCATGCAGCAAATCATTTAACATCTAATGTTTAATCTTCTTATCATGATGTAGACAGTTTATTTTCATTCCGATAAAGTTCCCACAAGAAGAGTGTAGTGATAATAAATGTATTTAATTAAAGGTACTTCAAATAGCACTACAGTATATCTTTGACAAAATTTTTACAATATTCCAACTTTCAATATGAAACAGCTTAAAAAGGCGTGGGCAAAAAAAAAAATGTATAGTAGTATCATCTGGGAAACAAAATCCAATAATCACACAAACACAACACTGTTAGGATTCTCTGTTAGGGCTGGGAAAGGAGTATATAAATCATTAAGTTCAAATAAAATTACATAAATAGCTTAGGAAAATCCCCAAATAGATAATTTCAGACATATTAAAGAAAAAATCTTCAACTTTTATTCTTGGAAAAGATGAACTAGTTGTCCTTTGCTTTTACCTAACAGAAATGTTCTTGTGTAAAGCAAATTCTATAAACCAGCATCTTACTTGCACTTGAGGAACATATCTCAAGAATAAAGAAATCACTCTTTAAAACATGACTCTCCTGTATGCTTGTAAATTGTTGGGATTTTATCTGTCCTGTTATGTTTAACCTCTGTGAATCAAACCCAAGTTTCTCAAAATTCACTTGTAAAAAGCAGCAGACCAACTTTTTCTCCCCGCCCCACAAAGAGAGTTCTTACAGTGGGATGTAAAATTGTTCACTTGTCTATTTTAATAGAGGGCCTATCACCAAGTATATCTGAGTATGCTAGGATAAATACCCACCCATTCTTTTCACCTTAGAAAGATTATAGCTATTTTCTCTTATTACTAGGAAGTGTCATTCTTAAGGATTTTTAGATTAGTTTCATGGCAAATAGATATGGAAACAGTGACAGACTTTATTTTGGGGGGTTCCAAAATCACTGCAAATGGTGACTGCAGCCCTGAAATTAAAAGATGCTTGCTCCTTGGAAGAAAAGCTATGACCAACTTAGAAAGCATATTAAAAAGCAGAGACATTACTTTGCCAACAAAAGTCCAACTAGTCAGAGCTACAATTTTTCCAGTAGTCATGTACAGATGTGAGAGCTGGGACTATAAAGAAAGCTGAGTGCTGAAGAATTGATGCTTTTGAACTGTGGTGTTGGAGAAGACTCTTGAGAGTCCCTTGGACAGCAAGGAGATCCAACCAGTCCATCCTAAAGGAGATCAGTCCTGAGTGTTCACTGCAAGGACCAATGCTGAAGCTGAAACCCCAATACTTTGGCCACCTGATGCAAAAAACTGACTCACTGGAAAAGACCCTGATGCTGGGAGACACTGAAGGCAGGAGAAGGGGATAACAGAGGATGAGATGGTTGGATGGCATCACTGACTCAACGGACATGAGTTTGAGCAAGCTCCAGGAGTTGGTGATGTACAGGGAAGCCTGGCATGCTGCAGTCCATGGGGTCTCAGAGTTGGACATGACTGAGCGACTGAACGGACTGAAGGATTTTTATTTAAAATGGCAAATATGAAGGACAATGTGTGATTATAACTCTTTCACAATTTGATTAAATATTTCTCAAATCATGACAGAACTGTTTAGAATGACACTCTCAATTCCATAAAGATCTTATTTCTGTACAAGATTATTTTACCAATTAAAATAACAATTCATTAATGATCAAAATAACATTGTTTAGCATTAGAACCTTGCAAAAAACAGGAATAAAAACTAGATCTAGTCACTGCCATTTGATTAAATTTAATAGATTTAGTTAAGTTATAGAATCACTCAATTAAAGAGGTATTAAAAGAAAGCTTACTAAAGTAAAAGTCTTGTGGAGATGGAATCTACAAGTGAGCCTTAAGTCTACTGCTATCAATTATGAAAAAGTATGTAGATGAATTACATTCATTACTCTGAAAAGATGACACTACATTCATATCAACAAAAAGATTATGGCACTTGAACACTATTTAATGAGTAAACATGGTAAATGTACAGAGGTACATACTAGGCTCTTTTTCCCTTTTAAATTTTGGAGGGAGACAACAGCAGGCTGAGCAAAACAAACAAACAAACAAAAACCCAATCACCCATAGAACAGGATGTGAAGTTACCAAAGTCCTAAGAAAAAAGCTTGGAAAAGACCAACAAAAATAATGTTATTATTTTCTCATCTACCTTCACCTTTATTGGCTTTATATTTTTTAGCTTTTAAGAAAAAATTTCCCAATGGAATTTGAACCATAGACCTAAAATCTATGAAATAAATGAAATCTAGTAATGCTATCTGCTACATGTAAAATTGCTGCAGCTGAAAACCAATTTTTGCCTGTCTTTTGAGTATATATAAAAAGAGATCATGTCTTAAGGAATAATTCCTTCAAAAATTAGGCTGAATTATTTGTACCATGCCATAGATTTACAACATTTTCAATACAGCCAAAATATGTTAAAATGCTTGCTTTCTGACATCAAATCATATTTTTCCCTCTAAAAATTAATTCAGCTGCTCCTAAAACACTGTAATAAATGTCTATGTATCTTACCTCTTTGTATGCAGGACAAGCAACTGCTTATGAAATAATTCAATCTAATGCAGGCCTTTTGATAAAAATACATTTTAAATGATACAGGCTAAAGAACAAGGTCACCAGAGACACCACAAACTATCAGTGGTTCTGTCAGTTTCATAACTGAATTTAGGATACGCATTTTCTCTTGTGGTCATTCCTTAAAGTGAGTAAGTTGATGTCTCTTCCAGTGAGGAGCCTGTCTGAATGTTTTGCCACAAACTGAGCATTCAAATGGTTTCTGCCCTGCATGAATTAAATAGTGTCTTTCCAGTTTAGATGGGGATCTAAAACTTTTAGAACAAACACTGCATTGGTAAAGAAGGCCATCATTCCTCTCGGCATGCCCTGAATAACTGCAGTAATGACTATGATGGCTCTGCTCTGATTCCAGAAGTATGCTAGAGAGACAGGGCTCTCTGTTCCCACAGGGGGCACCAGGAATGAAATCCTCTGATTCTGCCTTAACTTTTATTTCTGACATTTGATCTGACTCTGAGACCTTGTATTTTTGAAAACCAAGAATCTGACATTGTTGGGAAGCACTGTAGCTAACATTATCACCCTGGTGAAAGAAAAGTTTGTTAAAATTTTCCAATTCTACTTGGCAAAGAGATTTTCTATAAGGAAGCTTATCAATATGAGTTAGTTTATGTCTTTTCAAGTGAGCTGACTGTCTAAAAGATTTCCCACAAACATTACAGCCAAAAGGCCTCTGTCCAGTATGAATTAAATAATGTCTTTGTAATTTAGACACAGAAGGAAACACTTTCTCACATTTGTCACAAGGACACATCTTATGTCCAGTATGTATGTTTCCACTTGGAACTGAAAAGCCACACTGGAGCACTTGACAGTTTTCAAAGAATTCCTCACCTGATGAACCATAGATAGATAGGTCTTTTTTATGCATAGGATTATCCATACTTAACACGCTTTCTGGTGTAAGAATACCTTTTACGTTTTTCCCCATATGTTGGCTCTGGCAGTGCTTTTGCCAAGAAAACGGCAAAGTCAATGTTTTCTTTTTATTGCCAACTGTCTTATATGTTCCATGCTTGCCAAGAGAACTCAGACATGTTCTCTGGGTTTGTTCAGGCCTCTGCTCACCAGAAATAAGATCACAATTTTTCATGAAAGTGTTTTTAAATACTTTTTTATCAGATCGAAAATTATCTAATTTCTTACCCCCAGCACGTTTAAGCTTAGCCAAGATTTTTTTAACAATGGTTTTATAGTTGCAGCTTCTTTTGAGCTTGCTTGGAATTTTGCCACTTCTGGCAGGAAAACACTTGTGTCCATTGAGAATCTGCTCTGATTCAAAACATTCTTCACACTCAGGACATTGAAAAGGGACAATATAAACAGAGTGGACATCAAGTTGATTATTCTCTTCAGATTTACCTATATCACCATTTTCAAAGCCATCCTGCTTTGCATTTAATTTATTAGGCAGGGAGCATGATTCTGAACTCTTCACCTTTAATGAAAGAGTCTGAAAAGTCTTATTCCTGGTATGGATTTGTTTATGCTTCAGAAGTTTGCTTTGAATCTTAAATCCTTTTTGACAGAAACAACACTGAAAAGGTCTTTCTTCTGAATGTGTGAGTTGGTGGATTTTTAAGTGAGTTGACTGTCGAAAAGACTTACTGCACAGGACACATTTAAAAGGCCTCTGACCAGTATGAATGAGAGCATGCCTATCAAGTTTTGACTGTGATGGAAACATCTTGCCACAGATTGTACACGCATGAATACCCTTTTTTTTCTTTGAAGGGCTGTATGTAGGATCAGACTTAGAGCATGGGTGTAATGCCCATCTCTCCTCTGGGGTAAAAGTATGATACATTCCATACACTGGCTTTTCTTGCTTGGCCTCCAATGGTCTTCTGACCTGCTTAACATCATTCTGGTACGTTTCATCGTGAAGCTGTTGGTGCTTCACAAATGTCTTCAGATTCTTAAAGTGGCGTTGACAAATACTACATTTAAAAGGCAGATTATGAGTTAGTTGATGTCTTTCCAGGTGAACTAGTTGCCTAAAGGTTTTATGACACACATCACATTCAAATGGCTTCTGACCAGTATGAATGAGATAATGCCTAGCTAATTTTGATGGTGTTTCAAAATGCTTGAAGCAAATATTGCAAATATATGGCCTGTTTCTAGGTAGCTTGTTGGCTGCTACACACTGCTGAATCTTTAGCATTTTAAAATTGTTTTCAGCCATCATATTCTTCAGTGATAAACTCTGATGAACTCCATAGTGTTCTTAAAATCCACAGATGTCTAAAAATTAAAAATAAAAATGTATTAATTTAAAAATTACTTATTCATGTGAAAAGAGATAATTTAAAATGTCCTTTGGCTAAAGATATTAAAGGAAATAGGGAACCTGAACTTTTCCTGTGTTTAACAGTAAGTTGATAACCATTTTAGATACTTTAGAATCATTAAACTAATTTCACATATATAGAGAAATAAGGAGTCTTCAAAAGAAATACTTTAAAATGTATATAATTTTAAGCTGTATTTCTAACTAGTTGAGATAATACATTAAAGACACTGAGTTGGATTTCTGAATATTAAATAGACCTTTTAATTCCAATTTTCTTAGTTCACTATTAAGTAGACTTGCCATTTTAAAAAACTGGACTAGAAAGGTAAAGACTGTAAGAAATATAATACTAAAAACAAGACAAGACATATCTGCATCCAATTATAGCACTCCTTGGATATGATCTGAGAATGGAATGTTTCAGTTATCAAAATTCTTAGCCACATTGTTAGTATATTTACACTAAATTACTTCTTTGGACCAACAAAGATAACACAGACAACTGGAAGAAAATGTTCCAGGAAACCTGAATTTTAGTCCTGGATTTGCTACCATATGATCTTGGTGGCAAGAAGGAAATATATAGACTCCTCAGCTCTACGTCAGGGAAAGTGCCTCCTGGCCTGCCTACCACAATCAAGGTGTTGTGAGAAATCAATGGAGATGATGCATCTGAAGGTGTTGGAAAACTAAAGCAGTATATAAATGTAAGGTATTATTTAGCTCAACACTAATCAAACTTGAAAACTTAATCTACTTAATATTTTTAGGGTTTCTAACTAAGAGATAAACACACTAAATGTATAGTTCTTTTTATTTCTCCTTTCCACTTTGTTGAAGAAGTCCTAAAAGACAAGTATAGAGGCAATAAGATTGACACAGTGGCTATCTACATATTTATCTATGGCTCAGTAATAGCAGGTTGAGTACAGTTCACTTTCAGGCAATATAATTAATAGTTCATTTTTATCTTAAGAGTTATTAAAAAGATAAAAACACTTTCCCTAATATGCCTCTATGGGACACATGCAAAAGCTTGTGAGGAACTTTCACAACCATTTTATACCATATATTCCATCTGAAAAGCCAATTTTCTTCTCATCCTTCTTCTACTAATCCCTTTTCTTTAAATAAGGAAGTCAGAGATTATAAAAAGGTGTTCCAGCTCTCTCATCCTAAAAGTTGAGATAAGAGACTCACTTTTTTTTTTTTTGTCAGCTGACTTAGGGGAATATCTGAGCTTCCCCGGTGGCTCAGATAGTAAAGAATCTGCCTGCAATGCGGGAGACTTGGGTTTGATCCTTGGGTTGGGAAGATCCCCTGGAGAAGGGAACAGCACCCTACTCCAGTATTTTTGCCTGGAGAATTCCATGGACAGAGGTGCTTGGTGAGCTACAGTCCATGGGGCCACAAAGGGTCTGACACGACCAAGCAACTTTCACTTTCACTTTTAGTGACCATCTGGCATATGTGCTGTGTGCTATTATCTGTTTTTGTGTTTAAGATGTCTAGAAAACACCTTAAACACAAAATCTCAAACACACCCACTGTAGTGCTCTTCAGCAATGATGTAAAAATAGGAAAAAAATCATTTATTGAGCAAATTATCTTCTTCTAGTTGTTTTATCACAGTGTTCTTCAATCTCCAAGTCACTATCCATTAATGGATTGTGAAATAAATTTAATGGGTCATGATCTGAATTTTTGTTTAATAAAATAGGTTAGAAAATATCAGATTACATAACATATGATAAGGACAGTGTTTTGTGAAACTTCTATAGGAAGAGATAAACTTGGTGAAACCTGTTCCCTTGCATATTTCTTCACACAGGAGACAGAAGAACCCACAACAAATCAATCACTTTATCCAAAAGTGGCCAAGTAATCCATTAGGTAAGACTGGGGCCCATAGGACAAGACAGGAGTTTCTAGGGATTACTAATTTTCTTCAACTGACCCAAATAACCCCAAAATATTACCAAAAAATTTAATTAGAGGTCAAAGGTAATATGGTACACAAAATAGTCTGACTGCAAGCCACTCCATTATAAATTTATAAAATACACACTATAACCCAGATATCCATGTTAGCAACAATCAGCTGTTGGTACTATTAGTATGCATTTTCACAACACTGAGTTAGAGAAATTACAGGTGAACAGCCTCCATATCCCTAACATGCTAACACAGCAGCAGTTATGAAGATTACAATTAGGTGAATTGGCCAAAATTTGGCAACTTATTTAATTCCTGTCAGGTAATCAGGTATTGAGGTGTCAATTAGGACAATGAGCCAAACTGCAAGTAATTAACAAATCTTTATTCACTTATGCAACAGTGCAAGCAAGAGGCTGAAAAAGTACTGGTCACCCAGTGGTCAATTAAACAGAACAACACTAGGTTAGGGTTAGGTAGATGCAGTACACACAGTCATATCTCAGGGGAGGAGGCTGAAAAAAAAGGCTACTGGCTCTTTATGGACCTGTGAGCCAGGGGTGGAGGAAGGAAGGGCTACAAGTAGAAAGATCCTGAGTCAAAATGGAGAAAGTACCTCAGCCAAGGGTGCCCCTTCCACATTCCCTCCCTTTGCAATAAGGAGGTATGGGTGGAGGCAATTGGGAAGCACCTGGGCCTCAGAATGGAGGTACCTGAACCAGGAATGCAGAATATGAGCATGGCTAGTGGGAGGGAACTGGTGAGTCCTCGACTGCAACTCCCTCCACAAAACTGCAGTGCACAAGGTCTAGTGTTGCGAGAGCAGCTTCCCCTGATGAGGCTGGCCAGGCAAAGCCATGCAATTTTCTACCGTTGGGCCTGAAAGATCACACATAGTACTTTGGCCTGAAGCCAGGTTTCTCCACGCCTATTGTCTATTTCTTTCCTTTAATAGTTTCTTTGGAACACTGACAAAAAATGCCAGCTAGAACTACACAGATGACAACCATTTCTGATTATAACAGGAATTGACTACCTACAGTTACTGTGCCAAAAAGAGACCATGGATTATCACATAACACTAGCCCTAAGACTGGGTACTACTGTCACTTTCGTCCACACCATGTGGGAAAGCACTGACTGGAAGCTCTATATTGTTAGAATCATTGGTGGCAAGCAGTGATCTCATCTGCTATTTATAAGTGACAGCTCAGGGATCCCCAAGCTCTAAGTGCAGTCCCACGTGTACTTAAGCACATGTACGTTAATTTGATAGAACTCCAAATCCCACTTCAACTGGATCTTGTGTTCTCAACTGATTTTTTTTTTTTTTTGGTCGATAATATTTTAAAAAACAAACCAACATTGTGTAATTTTTCCTACGCTCAAGTAAAAATAAAAAAACGGCAAATCTCAATGGTTCAACCCCAAGATTATCCTGACAACGGCAAAATACTCCTACAGGTGGAAGACTGAAAAAACTGATCTCAAAAAATTCCAACGAAACTTTAAGGCTGAAAGCCTACTTATTGGCTTTCCCGTCTCAAACACCATTAAAAGGAAGTGAGGACATCATAAAAATCATTGAACAAGAAACACAAGAACTGAGAAAATTTTATAGAACTTTCAGTTAGGGAATAATCTTTGGCGACATTTATCACACCCTTTCACTCTTTGTAGCTTCTGCTCTACTTCCCTTGGCCCACTCTCTTGCCCTTGAACCATCACCTCTTCCTCCTAAGGGGGTTGGGGGGGGGTGCACAGGACACAGGGCCCTCACAACTGGCCCTCGCCTTAATCGTCCACAACCAGTAAGCACCCAGGAGTCGAACGAGAGTCCAGAGACTGCAAAACCCCACAGCAGGAAAGGCAAGCCGAGGGTGAAAACTGCTTTGGCCACGGTGGGGCAGGGGGAGGGAATGCCACACGTGATACGATTCACTGCAGGGGAAAGTATGCTTTTTGCATTTTCCTTTCAGAGATTTCTGCTCCCCAGGAGACGAAGTCAGGAGTTGGGGAAACGAGAAAATCAAATGAGCTGAGTTCCTGGTTCCCCCATTCTGGGTCCCCGGGCACCTTGGAAGGACTGAGGCAGGCCCGACCTTCCCCGTGGGTCTCTCCACCTCACACCTGAACTCCTGAATTCTTCCTCACGCACCTGCAGCTGGCACGGGCCCGGGAGCCGCGCATCTCGGGACCAGGAGCCGCAAAGGCAGCGTGCGCTCGTCCTCCGAGCCGGCTCGGCGATGGGCTGAGTGCGCAAGCGCGGGACTCGGGAGAGCCTCCGGACGCGGTCCGACTGGAAACAGGCTCCCCACCAGCCCAGGGCCGCAGTGGCTTGGGCTTTCCTGGAAGTCTTCAGCGTGAAATGCGGATCCAGCGAGGTTTCCGACCCCGTCGCTGCTCGCCAGGCACTGAAGTTGTCGGGGGGAAGAGTAAAGTAAAGAGAGTAAAGAAGGGTGTATTTTCCGTTTCAGTTCAGTGCTTGACTAGGAAAACCACATAGTCTGGACCGGTGGGCTCAAGGTTCTACTGGAAGCTGGTGAGCCCGTGTTCAAAGCCCACTCTTCTAGTCCTCTCTAATGCGAGAGAAAAGGGCCGGTGATAAAACGCCCTGAGTCAGAACTTTCTGTGCCTCCACTGTCCTGAGTACTCTGCACGTCGTCAGACTATAGCGCAGGGGTCAGGGACCTGGGCTTCACTCTCGGCTCTGCTAATATCCTGCTAGCAGCGGGCTCTTTTAGCTTCTTTGAGCATTCCTTCAGTGTATTTCGGGTCGTCTGCAATGTATGAAGACCTGTTCTCAGAGTGTTAGTTTCTTCAGATTTGACAGATGAAGTGGATGTAAAGTGCTCATTGAAATGCCGGTGCATAATAAACCCCCAAATAAGTATTATCATTTATTAGTTACTATTTTTATTTTTAAATACAACAACTTTATGAAGTAAAAGTATCCCATT